CTGTACGAACTTCAACTGCGCAATCGCCCCTGAGGGTGACCACGCAACGAATACCTCGATTCTTGAACAGGGCCTTGACCCAACCCAGCTTCGGGCAAAGGAGATTTCTCCCGAATGCTCGGCAGAAGGGTTCCTATTTTAAGTGTTGGGGCCCAAAAGTCCAGGAGGTGAACAAAGATCGTTGTTTTGTCTCAGTTTGTGACCGCAAGCATCCGCAAAGCGTCCACACTGTTCACGGAGTGTCGCGCAGTCTCTGGTATAGGGGGAACTCTCCACACGAGGCGTGTCGCGGCGGCCCTCGGAATCCGTCAAGCTAAGCGGGTCGTGGCTGGCGGCTCCCCGAATCGGTCAAGCGAAGGGTTAATTACTCCACACGAGGCAGGCCGTGGGGGGTCGTGGCGGCCCTCTGAATCCATCAAGTTAACGCAGAACTCCGTGTCCTTGTGTGGTGTCCTCGCATCCTGTCCTGGTCGTGTCCTCGCATCGGGTCCTCCTGTCGCGTCCTCCTGTCGCGTCCTCCTGTCATGTTGTGTCTTTGTGTCGTGGCCCCGTGTCATGTGTTCATGTTGTGTCTTAGTCTTGGTGTCGTCTCCTCGTTTCGTGTCCTCGTGTCATGTGCTCAAGTTGTGCCTTCGTGTCGTGTCTTCACGTCGTGTACTTCTTGCCGAAACTGGTGACCCGTGCTTGCATTTGGGTTCGTGGCTCCTATCAGGCTTCCACGATTTGATGCGACCACTCTATTGCCTCGTCTTCAAACATGAGCATCTCTGCCAAAAACCCTAAACCAGCCCGACACTGAATCGCTGGTGAAACGCCGCAACCAAAAAACACCAGAACTGTGGCGGCAACCCACCTCTGGGGCTCCTGCGTCCACGCAAGGCCTCGCGGTACAGCGGCTCCGCCTCTCCAAACCGCTCTGTGTCCTGGAGCAGCACTGCAAGGTTGTTCAGGCTGCTGCGGAGGGGCTACTTGATGTATCTTGATGCTACTTCCAGTCATGACGCGGGTTACAAAGGCCCTATACCGGACTGCTTCAGGCGCCACAATAGTTGCAGTTTGCTAATTTAAGCATCATGCAAGTCTTTGGGAACAGGAAAATCTTGCACCAAGAGCAGTGCTTGCAGCACAACATTCACAGGCTCAGCACCAGGGTTGATTAGCCATCGTGTTGGGGGATCTCTTCCGTTGTTTGCGAACTTGCGTCCTCTGCATGCTTTCGCTGTCCCTTTGTGTGAAACCCCTTCGTAAATCTTCATACATCTTCATACAGGAGGCAGGAAGCAAAGGAAACCCGATCAAGGAGCTCTCTATTCGACTTCGCTAGGCTCCGCTTTAGGCTCTAGACTTCCGAAGGCCGCCAGGCTTTTTGGCATGGTTCTGGCATGGTTCTGGCATAGGCACAAGCCCGTCCCACCGCCCGCCCGTCTTCACGATACCAGAGAATCAAATGGAACAACGAAATTGAAATCGAAGCTGCTGCGAAACTCTTCCAGCATCGCGAGTTCCCTTTCCTATAGCAGCACGACAGCGAGTCCTTGAGCAACTCCGCCAATCTTACAAGACAGTCCAAGGTGTCGTCATGAAGGTCTCCAAGTTTCTCGCGACCTCCACGGCATCAGGAAGTTGAATAACGAGCTACAGCCAGGGTGGGCGGGACTATGGCGACTGTGCTCCCTATCATAGGTCTTAGGTCTGCTGAGTGATGACAAGGCGCAACCTTCCAGCTTCTGGGCCTGTACCCCATTCAGGGTCACGACTGTTGCAGAGAACCTACTGCGGGCATATGCGCACTACGTAGGGACATAGGGCCGTCCACAGCAGTGATGACGAGATACCACAGCGTCACTTCAGTGAAACAGGGCATTTCAATCAGTACTTTTGTTCGTGCCATTGTGGACATCTGGGGTCTCCTAAGCTGATATATAGGTGACATTTGGGTGACAGAGCAACGGACTTCTATTCTTGGACAGGACCTTGACCCAATACCCAGCTTAGTGCAACCTCAACCTCGCCAGGTCGTGTGCAAAAGGATGTTGCTTTCTCCAGGATTTGGCGCGACCACTCGATTGCATGGTCTTCAAACATGAGCATCTCTACCAAAGCCCCTAAACCCTAAACCCCCCCGGGACTGAATCGCTGGTGAAACGCTGCTGCGGCAACACTCTCACCTCTGGGGCTCCTGCGGCCATGCAATGCCTCACGGAACAGGGGCTCCGCCTCCTCACACCGCTCTTTGTCCTGGAGCACTGCCGGGCTACTGTATGTATCTTGATGCTACTTCCAGGCATGACGTGGGTTCCCAAAGCCCTATACCGGACTGCTTCGACGCAATATTCACAGTTTGCTCATTCAAGCTTTGGGAAAAGGAAATCTTGCGCCAAGAGCAATGTTTTCAGCACCAGACTGAGAAAAAGCACCGAATGACCCGTTATTCACGCGGGGTGGTCAACATTCACAGGATCAGCACCAGGGCTTTTTTTCAACTGTTCAACGAGTCTGGGGGGGTCAGCTGTCAGCTGGCCCAACCCTTTCTTCCTTTTTTGTGGACCCCCTTGAGCTGCGGACGTTCATACATCTTCATACATGAGGCAGGAGGCAAAGGCAACCTCATCAAGGAGCTCTCCATTGTGACTCCGCTTGGCTCCGCTTGAGGCTCTAAACTTCTGAAGGCCTCCAGGCTTTTTGGCATGGTTCCGGCATGGGCACAAGCATGGGCACAAGCACGTCCCACCGCCCGCCCATCTTCATGATACCAGAGAATCAAAATGGAACAACGACATGGAATCGGCTGCAGCAAAACTGCATCGCAAGTTCCCTTCCTAGCAGCACGGCAGCGAGTCCTTGAGAAACCTTGCCAGTAGCACAAGAGAGGCCAAGGTGTCCTCATGTAGGTCTCCAAGCGCCAAGCGACCTTGACGGCATCAAGAAGTCAGAATAACGAGCTACAGCCTGGGTGGGTGGGAGACGATGGGCTCTGAATGATGGCAAGGTGCAACTTTTGAGATCCTCGCGAAGGAGCTGCTCATTCTTCGCCTCGTCCTGTTGGCCCATCTGAAAAAAAAGCAAGGTGACCAGGTCAAAGATACAGCTGAGGGTGTACGTTTGTTCGCATATGTTTCGGGGTACGTTTCGCCTGCCCGCATCTGCTCCTCTCTTAAGACTGAGCCACTCTTCTTACTGTATTAAATGCTAGTAAAGGTTACGATTCTTGAGATTAGATAAAACTCGACAAAACTCCCTGCGTAGGGCTTTAAGAAAATTTCGTAAGCTGGGGAGCAGGCGATAGTGGCAGCTACCACCCATAGGGTTATTCAGCGAGAATTAATGCTCGGAATTTAGGACTTTTGTGGGATGTCTCAAGACAATCTCAAGACGATCGGAAATGACTGGAAATGATCTTCTACCAGAAAGGCGGACTAAAAATCTGCGATCTGCAGCAGCATTCTTGCCGTTAGGAAAGCGATCTCCGCAACAAGAAAAACCCCTCAGCTGCCAAAAACTCAGCTCACGCCCTTTCTGTTAGGTTTGAATACTCCACACGGCTACACAATGTAACAGTAGGGGGGCAAGGGGAACAGGACGCGCCTGAGTGCTGGGATCTGCCTCTGCACCCACAGATTGGGACACCAGCTGCAGCGCCGTGGTCAGATTGCTGCGGGCTTCCTCTGCCGGAGAATGAAGAAAAGGACAAGAACAGTACTGGCACTAGTGCTCACTGGTTCTAACCATAATCATACATTCGCCGCTGTCCGCCACTGTTCGCCACCCTTACTGAGGCATCTCCCGGGATGGCAAGGATCAGCATGTTAACGCCCAAGTGCACTGTGCTATTTGTGCTATGGGCCTATCGCCGCAATGAGAACCTAAAATCAGGAACGCACCCATGGCCCCAATGGCTGAGGCTTGGAGAAGTGACGGTCGTTATGGCCTCGGAGAGGCTTTGAACGAAGTCGTTGAGGTCATCTTGTGCAGCGTTCGCCAAGAGCCTGGGCTGTCCAGCTCCAAGCAGTTCAAGCACCGCATGAGCCCATGAGCAGTATACAGTAGTGACATCAACATCCATTGTGGAGTTCATATGGGTCTCTAGTCTTTTTGCCATATTTAAAATTATTTATCGCTTGCACATGTTCCTAACAGCCCAGAAGCCCTCTGTGAGCGGAGGCGGAGGCGCTGGATCCCATGGCTTTGCATGTACGAAGTGCTCAGAAGCAGAGGGAAACGCCTCTTAAAACGCACCTGGTCCAGGGAGTTTCTACACGAATTCTGATCGAGCCATAGTGCAGGCGAGGCGAAGCCAAATAATGATAGTGATTCTCGTGCGTGCGCGTGCGCGGGGGTCGGGGTCCGTAGGGGAAAAAGGCAGGAGGGCATGTTGCGAACTCTCACATGCCAGCTCTTGCTCCGTGCGGAGGCGCACCGGCATATGCCGCTAAGGCCCTCAACAAAGGGATGCCTCGTTTATAAGTGTTGATCCAGTTCTGCTTGGCAGTTTCGGGTCCAAATTCTTAAGGACAGTTGTTTGTATCCTCTCCTCTTACAGCCCAGGCCACAGAGTGGCAGCGCTGGTCGAAAACCCTTCGAAGCAAATCTTCCGTGCGCCGAGGCGCTTTCTTTGCAGCCCTGGCGCAGCTATGGCCGACTGCTGAAGCGTCGGAAACGAAAGTCCAAACGCTGCACTTCAGCCTCCTTGGGCATCGATGCTCGAGCCCGCCATGCTGTCAAGCCATTTAGTTGTGGGTGAACCTCGTTTCTCGAGTGCGCGGTGCGTGAGCCTAGAAGCAGTCTGCGCAACATGTTCGCTGCATGGCAACCCATCACGCTCCACCGGCTCCACCAGTCTTTTCACGTCGTTCGCTGCCAGCTGAGACTACTGCAAACCGAGCGCGGAGGCAGCGTGCCACCCAGCTTGCATTCCCATCAACTCACATATTCCTTATGCATGTCGAAGGGAATTCGCCGCGTGATTCGCTGCCAGCGGCTAAAGCTTCTAGACTGTGACCTAGGAACCTACGAACCTGTGGTGTGGGTGAAATTCAACATCCTCGACTCAGCATCTCGCCATGCCTCAAACATAGCTTGCACCAGAACCACCGAAACCGTGATGCAAGTCGAGGCATGCCTTCAGTAACCCATTTCGGGCTCTAGGACGCCTCAGCGACAGCTGTCAAAAGGTCTGCTTCGCTGGGTCAGAGCTCCTTGTCAGCCTCACCGCTGCAATCCGTGTCAACCGATGCGCTGTTTCGACCCAAGGCTTGTGCACAGTTCTGAGAAATGAGGGAAAAATTCTCATGTGGGATTGGCTCATCTCTGAGCGCTTGCAATGCAAATCCGCCGAGGCCTCGGGCCGAAGGTGTATAGGTTGTGAGAACAGGCACCCCCCTCCAAATCCTCCACCATTTTGCGGACCCCTTTTTTGCCTCAAATGGGTACCCCCCTAGGGAAACCGGGGTCCGCAAGCGCCCAGAGGTTGAAGCCCGTCCCAGCAGGGCCCCCCCCCCCAACCCCCCCGCAACCCCCCCACCCCCCCACACCCCACCCCCACCCCCCCATCCCCCCCCCCTTCTCCACCCCCCTGGGCCTGGCTCAACTTTACGATCGAACCCTAAACCCAAAAAAAACCCTAAACCCCAAACCGTGAACCTTGAGCCCTAAGCCCTCAACCCTAAACTAACCCCAAACCCCAAACCATAAACCATAAACCCGGAACCCTAAACCCTAGACCCAAGGTCCAGCGACTTGGGCGCTGCGGAATCACCATGCTCATGTGGATGCGCTGGGCCGGGCCGAGGCGGGTCGCGTAGCGTTAAAATTAAGCAAAGTCGAAAAGCTCAACACATCACGACTAGGGCCCGAGGTCAGTGACCAACGTTGCCGGGGCCAGTAGCTTGCCTGCCTTCTTCTTCTTCGATTTCTTTTTCTTCTTTTCGCCACCACCTTTCTCCTGGACTTTGACACAACGCGCGACACTCACATGGCAACGAGGTACAACCAGCACGCACACCAGCCTTTGAAACGATAACATGCCATGTGGCTTGGTTCCGTGGTTCTTGTAGCAGTGATACTACTGAAAGGAAGCCGAAGGAAAGCTCAAACCTTAAAGTCGCCATCGGACGCAACTGACCAAGTTGACAGCATGGCATGGCCGCTTCAACATCTTCATATCCTTCTCGATGGCATCCATCGCAGCTTTCCTGCCAAACACGAGGTAGGCAACCCGCTCTAAACAGAATGGCTTCATCGAAAGGAAGCAAAGCTATGGGAGCACCAACCACAAAAATGTTTTTTATTACTGAGCCCTATACATCCCAAACATCCCAAACATCCCAAACATCCCAAACATCCCAAGCATCCCAAACATCCCAAACATCCTAAGCATCCTACATATCCTAAGCGTCCTAAACATCTAAGTCCTAAGCATCCGAAGCCCTAGGCATCCTAAACCCTAGGCATCCCAAACCCAGCCCTCAAGAGATCGTAACAGAACTGAGTGCTACCCGCCTGGCCGCCTTCTTCTTTGCCCGCCACGCTGCCTTCTCGGCATCAACCTGCCAAGGTCGGCGGCGAAGGGAAGAGGAGGAAGAGGGGTTGGGGAGGGAGGGGGGGGGGGTCAAAAGTACCAAAGTTACGGTGGACACATTTTGATACAATCCCAACCGCTGCGACAGAAGCTATGAAAATGGCCGTTTTCAGGAGCGGGTCGTGCGGGAGGTCACAAGGACTTGCTTGCTTGTAAATCAGCGAATCGCTAGCCGTGCTACCATGGAATAACTGAGAAGTAAAAACAAGGTCATATGCTGCAGAATCACAGGCCTCGTCATCATCGCCGGAGGCCTTCGCAAGCGTCAGTGGCCACAAGCTTTAAACCCTACAAGAACGCCAACACTGCCAGCCGATCTCACTGCCGCAATGCATCACTGCCCCGCCCCTGCCTTCTTCGGGAGTGCGGCCACACAGCCGCTGCCTAAATCACTTGGGCTGGTCCACTGCGTCAAGCACGTCATGGTGTCGCCATGATAGTACCTCAGCAACTTGTGTTTTTGGTGGCACTCCTCTCGTTTCTCGCCGAGGTCTGAAAGCTGCCTGCTGCCAAGGCTGCATTCCTTGGCAGAACTGCTCGATCTCACTGTCGCAGGCTTTGTTCACCTCAACAAAATCCTGCTCAGCTCGCCGTGTGAGATCAAACAGCCAACAGTGGGGTCCTCTTTGGTTTTCCGAAGTATTGCAATGAGCCCTATACGTTTCGGGCTGCCGTGCCCACCAAAGGGGACCATAATCAAAGCACGCAAAGGATGTCCTTGCAACCCGCCGAGAGCTCCAGTGGCTTCTCCTCGGCTATGAGGCATGAGAGAGCAGCGAAGTCTAGTGAAGTGAATCGAATTACAGAAGGATCCAAGACCGGCCTTCAAAATAGGCTACTCTCTCTGGCACGGCTGAAACATCCAAGCACACAGCTATGGCAAACCAAAGGTGTCCATGAATGCGTTTTTGAACTAGGATTCTTCGGGGCATTTAAGAGAACGCATGGGTAAACATGTGAACGAGTGCACGAACTCCAAGTGATAACAAGGGAAAAAAGCCCAAGAAAGATAGAATGCTTGCTTGGATATGTTGTTCGTCTTCGGCATGCATGTCAGTTCTTGGTTCTCGAATGGGCATTCCATGAATCCTGAACCCTGAACCCTGAACCCTAAACCCTAAACCGAAAGGATACTAGACACAACAAGCTTATGTTCGCGACATCTCCTCCCGTTGTATTGGGAATTTGCTCTTAGCAGACACAAAGCCACAGAATTGCAAAGGAAAGTTTAGGATCGTAGTACAAGCAAAATTATACAAGGCTAGTAGAAGTCCTGTTATGCACCCTATGTCCGTTTCACAAGAAGCTTCTATCGGAATTTCAGTCTTATCTGAGGCGAGCCAACAAAATATACGGGTACTGTACAAATAACGACATTGCAATTTTACAATCTAATTGTTGAGTGTTCTTGTTCCCTTCCATTACAACTAAGAAATTGACATGTTTTTAGTGTCTGTTCCCGTTATCGACACAACCCAAACATTTACCTAAGCTTAAGGCCAATAAAAATACAAGGCTTGTCCACAACGTTGTCTTACTTCACCTTGCTCACCTACTGAGTCCGCCGTTCAAGAAAGGTCCCCAGCTGAACGCCAGAAGCTTCCACCGCAGATTAGATGGTGAAGTTGATGTGTAGAAGGGTGCACGCGAATCTTAAATGGAATGCATTTACCCCTATATACACCTATTCACATTCATTCGATTTGCAAGGAACGAAGAGACTTGCGAAACCGCGAGTAAAGCTAATGAAACGTCGCGCAAAAAATTAGCGCGCATGCAAAACTGAGATTCATTCACATTGAACCCGGAAGTTCACTCATGACTCTAACATGAGATGCAATCAGCTCGGCATCGCGATGGTCACTGCAACTTGTCTTGATCTTTTGGACCACCGCTCATCGATTGCTGCTGACAGTGCCCGGACCCAGGAAACCAAGTTGGAAAGGCTTTCGAAGCGCCGAAACTTCCCTAAGCCTACGTCCTAAACCACGACTGATCCACTATATATTATATACTATATAGCATAGATTATATACTATATACTATATATTTTATATCATATGACATATAATATATATATATATATATATATTCTGTATTATTGCTGAAGCATCAACCTGTTGCTGGCAGGCAAGATGCGCCAGGCTCTAGCTCGCGAGGGTTGCCGTCGATGTCCGTCAACTGCACGCGCACGGGCACATCTGGGGCATTACCAGATTAGGCATACCCTTCCGGGAGTTCCCTTTCTAGGACAGTCTACCACATTTGTGCGCAGAGAGGGGGCGGCCCAGTTTTTGGAAACTCCCCCCAAATCTCTGAACCCTTAATGCTGGTACGCCACAGGCTTCCTTTAACCCACTTGAATTCAACAAACTCTAAACCCTAAACCCTGAACCCTAAACCCTAAACCTGAGCCGATGCTCCCCGAACCAGCTCGATTTCGGCCTGGTGCTTGGAAGGGTCCTGGAGGCACTCACCTATTTCCTGCGCAGGCGTCCGGGTTGTGAGCTCGCTCGTCTTTGTAGGGAACTTACATTAAGTTACCACAAGAAGGATGCCATTCTGCTAAGCCTAAGTTCAGACCCTATACAGGTTCCTTCACAAGAACCTAGGTTAGTTTGGGAATGGTTGATCGATCATTTGCGAACGTGAACGTGGAGCGGAATCAGGCCTGCGCGAAGTACAACTACGTCATTGCAGGCACGGGTTGTTTACGCAAGAACTACAAGAGCGACCTGCCAGCCCAAAGAAACATAACTCAGAGAATGTGCGTCTGTACTTGAGAAGTGCGTGGGGCGTCTTGAGGAAAACTGTTCGACACATCCTGAGATCGCTGAAGCCCAATATTGAATGTGGAAAGATATCATTCTTCATCTGTTGCTATCTAGGGGCTGCAGACGGATTTGAAGAGATGCTGCCATGAGCTGACAATCGCAGCTGACAGCTCGCATGGAACAGAAGAACAAGGCCTCAACTACCGTGGCCCGAGGGTCCTTCCCGAGGCTCATCGGGCATACCCGACCGGCTTCGTCATCACATGGCGAGAGCGCCTGATATCGGCACAAGTGCAGGGAGGAAGAGCAAGAGGGCTCAAGGTTTAGGGGGCAGGGCGTGGCCAGTGGCTGTTTTGGGGACCTGCACGTGCTACAACTATAGACCAGATTGTCAGAATGGTATATAACGATATTCTGCCCACTTCGCTGGTAAGAGCCTACTCAGAGTGGCAAAACAGAGGTTGCTGCAGCTGAATACATTGGAGCGCTGCCAGAGCCTCCTAGTTGTGCGAATGGACGCAACAAGGGCAAGGGGGGGGGGGGGGTCTCGCTTTTCAATGGGTTCCCGTCGCTTTACTGTACAGGTTTTGGCATCGACTCAGGGGTGTCCTTTTGCAAGTGTCCCCGCCGCCTTACAAGGCCTTGCGCGTTCGTGTCCGCCCCCCCTTGCTTGCTGAATGGAAGGAGTATTTGCGCCTTGCTCACTTGACCGTGATCTCTGCTTTGAAGGTGAGACCTTTTTGTAGGCCTGATCCGCCAGACTTAGCAGAGGCCTTGTTGCTGTTGGCACATTCCTCCTGCTAAATCCCGAAGATTTACCTAGAACGACTGGATGCCTCGAAAGGAACCCAATGCCAAGCCCCAGACCCGCGCCCTTGAGACTCTTGACCCTCAAATCCTCAACCCTAAGCCCTACATCACCAAGTCCTCCTCCCGAAAACCCCCAAGACCCCGAATCCCCTGAACCCATAAACCCAAAAGAGTTTATGGTTTGGGGTTTAGGGTTTTGGTTTAGGGTTTAAGGTTTAGGGTTTAGGGTCTAGGGTCTAGGGTCTAGGGTCTAGGGTTTAGGGTTTAGGGTCTAGGGCCTATAACCCTAGCGAGAAGCTACGCGCCTCGGCGCCAAGCACGGCGCCGAGCGCCAGCAGCCAGCGGCCCATGGCACCCTGCAGAAGTCGGGGGAAGCTCGCGAAATCGATAGTTGGGGTCTAGGGTTTAGGGTTTAGGGTTTAGGTGGGGTTTAGGGTTTAGGGTTTAGGGTTTAGAGTTTAGAGTTTAGGGCTTAGGGTTTAGGGCCTCCCGCAGCTTTTTGCCCGCCCCCCCCCCCCACCCCCCTCCCGCCCCTGCAAAAAAGAAAAGCTCTGATCCTGCTTAAAGGAACCTCCTGGAAAGGGTACCCCCTGTTTGGGAGAAAAACACCCGATTTACGGGTGGATGGCATCACCGCAACGAAGGCCCTAAACCTATAAAGATTCAAACCCCCACAACTCTAAGCCGCAAGCCTAAGCCGCAAGCCCTAGAGCCTCAACCCTAGAAGTGCCAACAAGTTCGCAACTGGCTCCCAGGCTGCCAGGGCTTCGGGCTCTCAGGGTTGCGCGGTTTAGGGCTTTGGCGTAGCTTAGGGTTTTAGCATCCTCGAGGCCACTGGACATGCTTCGGATGACGGCTTGGGGCTGAAAGTTTTACTGTTCAGAGTTTTTTACTGCTTCCTAGGGGGGACTGTACGGGGAGACAAGGAGATGACCCAGGGGGGCTTCTTAGTCCGCAGCTCCTTCATAGGGGAACCTGCCTGGCTCCGGCTGCAAGCCTGGAAGCTGCCCCCACCAACTTGGGCCAATCAGCTGAAGCGAGTACCGGATGCCCACAAGTGATGATAGTTGTAGTCATAATCGCATAACCATAGCAAAAGTAGCAATGATGGTATAGCAGCATGAACATACTACTAACTACTTTCAGCAGCAGTAGGGCAGGATCGTAGAAATAGGAGCCCTCGATCGGAAGCCGTACGCAAGAAGCTCAGGAAAACAGAGCCACGGAGGGGCCGCAATCAGAGTTTAAGGGGGCGCCGGGGGCACCTGGTGGTATCCTGGCGCTTCGCTCGCACAGAGCCCGGAGGCATCACCATGTGCACGGAAAGCTTCCTCCGCCTGAGCCAGTGGCCCAAAAACACTAAACTGACGGAACCATTTCTCAAATTTGATCCTAAACCATACATACACCCCGTAATTGTCCTAACTTGAAGGCTGAAGGTGGCCTCCGCAAAGCCTTCCCGCCCGCCGAGGATCGGGAAGCAGTCGTGAGATGTGAGAATCACTGCCTGGACCGTTCAGAGACTGAGGGAGCAACAGAGGGGACACCAGGTATGCATGATCTTAGCAGTTCGAAACTCGTCCTCTTGGTGACCGGCGGTCGGTTTGGGTGCACGGGCCCGTAGGAGGTCTGGCTTGTCGATGCCATACCTCTCGAAAAAGCTGCGGAGGCGCTGTGGCCACAAGATGATTTGTCGTGGCATCGGGAATTCGTGCTGCCTTTTGCCCCTCCCCTGGCCCGTTCTAGGACTCATGCGAAGCCATCTTCCACAGGATTTGCTCTGCATCGTAGTTGCCTCTGAGAAGCCAGCTGTTCTCAAAAGGTTTTCACGTCTTCGGATGCGAAGCAGAGGCTCTGCCCAAGGCCCTTGCAAGTGCCAATCTCCAGCTCACGGCCTGCCACGTGGCTCTGTGAAGTTCTCTGTCAGTTGAAAGGCCCACTGGTGGAACTGACATGAGCACGGAATCTCCGAAACCAGGCCTAGAGTGGAAAAGTAACATGCCACAACCTGCCAGAGCACGGCTTTCTGCTCAGGAGCACGCGTTCTGGACTGCTGTCACCCTGAGCTCCCTGCCACCACAGCCACCCTCGGGTCGACCGCACCAAGGTAGGCACTGAGGGCACCACCACCTTTTTGCGCCGGGCTCTGTTGCCGTGCGAAAGACTACTGGGGCAAGTCTTCCGGACAAATGAACAGTTAAACAGTTCAACAGCATGGAACGTTCAGAGCAAGAACGGGAAACGGCCGGGTGATGAGCCGCTGCATCCAACGACGCCGATCCGCGAAGCATTGACGAAGGGAAGCTCCTGTATCGGACGACACTCGACAAATCTCGACATCGACATGTCCAAAGCAATTGCCGAGGATGCCGAGACTTAGGGAAGAAGCGCAACTTCATCCCTCGATGCATGTTCGCTCCGCGAGAACGTCGAGAGCTCGCTGCGCATCACCTCCCAAGGAAGACACTGAGCCGAAGAGGTGGAGAGATGGAGGGCACAGGGCTCTGCCCCAACCTCTCTGCCTCCCAATACACCGGGGCCCCAAGCGAAGAAAGAGCTCTTGAGCCCCCATGCCCAGAAGCCAGAGCTGCTCGCCTGGGAGAAGCTGAGAGCAAGTTCTGAGATGTTCGTAGGATCCAGGCATGTTTGTGGTTTTCAGAGCTCAGTGTCGAGAACTCCGTGGGGGCCGTGCCGAAGTGATTGTGCGCCGTGGAGCAGGGCGGGCCAACCTTGGAACAAGCGGCAAAAAAGAGGAGCGCCTACTCCGCCCACAGCCCTCAGTGGAAACTTCTGCACTGGTTGTGTCTGCAACTTACGCAACCGTCTTCAAGGCCGCTTAACCCAGACTTGCAGGACCAGCATCTGCAGCCTTGGTAGTATATCTCGGTAATATCTCGTTCCTATCCCCACCTTACGAGTACAGGTTTTCAAGCACGGCCGAAGCAAAGCTACACACGAGCACTTCCAAGTCTACCTGTATGCTACTCGCGCGCTGTGGCTTCAATCTGATCCTATAGGATAAGCTGCACAGGGCCACTTCTGCTGTATCTTGTCTTCTGGGGCGATCACTGGCAGGCTATTGCAGGAAAAGCTGCGGCCCAGAACTACTTATACTATACTCCTACCGACAGAGCACCGCAACCGTTGAAAACTTCACAATTACGGCACCTCTTGCAGGCGATTCAACCGGTTGCGGTCACATAGAACAACTCGACGGTTGCGTCGGTTGCCTCGCTGCTTCACACCCTAAAGCCCTGCAAAGGCCGGGGATGCCGAGCTGCCGACGCTCGGACATGCCTCTGCGCCATCTTAGCCCAAGCGAGCACAGGAACTCCACATGTTCGGAATGTTTCTGAAGCCTCTTCTAGAGAGTTCGGTGGCTCTTAGCAGCCAGGAACAGAATGCAAAAACAGAAGCCCGCGAGTGCTGACCTCGGATCAGTGGCTCGGGCATGTCACAAGTCCCGCCTGTCCCCAGCTGCCCCAGCGCCCCTTCATTTGACTGCGATGCTCGGTCACCATGGTTCACTCGGTGAGAGACTGGGTGGCTCACGCATGAGCCAGCCCGGAGTGTGACTTTCGCTTGCGTCTATTGCTTTCGATTCTTGCGCAGCTGTTCGGTTTGCAACGCCCAGCAGAGTCACCTCTCGAGATCAAGGGTTGGTTGCTAATGCTTGAAAAACGTGCAGGGGGTGGGTGGGGGGGGTTATCCATTCTTGCATTTCTTGAGGCTCGAGAAGTGGCACTGCACGGCCTGTGGCAGATGGTGTCATGTGGGCGCTTCGTCATCGATGTGCTTCGGTGGCGGCTGCAAGTCTGCACGGAGGCCAAAAGGTTGAAAGGTTGTGGGAGGCCTTGGGGTTCAGTGATTCTGTGGGTCGCTAGGACTTGTAACCGCAGTAATGAACTTAATGACAAAGAGAGGCAGTGAGCATCTGACAAAGTCAGACAAGGCAAGAAGAGCACTCAAGCGCGCTAACGCAGTCAACCTTCAGGGAAAAGGGACAATCGCCCTGAAACCAAAGTCCAAAGTCATAAGCCCACCAGCACAGCTGTCGAGCGCGCTCTGCGCCTGGAGAGTTGGTCAGAGCCTGTATGGCTTCATCGTCATGCCTCGGCACCAAAACTGCTTAGGGAACTTTGGGGTTGTGTCGTGACCTCTTAAAGAATCCTTTGAAGCCTTATGATCAGAGCTTTCAACCGACACCTTGCAGTCGGGCTGCTCACTGGAGTCACCTCCTGTGATATGCCATGTTCCTGCAACCAGGGCTGCTACGGCATGAAGGATGTCCACACTAGCAGCGCACACTGCTCACTACCTAACAGTCCAGCAGGGCCACATGCAATCTGAAACGTCCTTGAAGATTGCCTGTATCTTCTCCTTTGCTTCAACTTCGTCCTCCACAGGGCCAGACACTTCATGGCTAGCGTCTAGCGCGGCCATGCACCTTTGCAGCTATATGAGTCGATCCCAGTGCTGACAAGTGCACTCACATGCTGAGACAACATGTGCTCTTTGTGGTTTAACCCGCGTCCACGTCGGATAACTTCTTTATCACCTGCAGGAATAAGCAGGAAGCATCCCTTTGTGACTGCACAGTTTCGAATCCTAGGCCAGCCATGCTACTACCCCGACCTAGGTGGTTTAAGTTTGTCCAGAGTCAAGATCCAATGAGTACAGCCAATCGAAAACTGATGTGCTGCCAGTGTTAGTCTGCGAAGCTGAGCTTGAAGGCTGTACTTGCGTCCATGCCCTGGAAGCTTGCTGCCCTGGCACGGCATCTCCATCAGCTGCGGATCCCGTCTTGGACATCACATGAATAGTGTACTTGCACAAGATGTTGCCTCTCACGGCCGAGGCTGTGTCGCTGGAAAGTAAGAAGTGTATGGGCAGGAGGCAATGACGAGCAAATCTGACGTAGCCCACCGGCCTTTGGCTTTCTTCTGCCACTCAGCCTCGACAATCCTTTGAGGAATGGACAGCGAGACCTGAAATTGCGAGGTGACGGCACAAGCGTGCTCAGGTATGTAGATAGGTACTTCGAATCCGAGTTGGCGATTCACATGACACGCACACGCAACGCAGCGACCTCCACGTTCCTCGTGTCGACTTGTGCCTTGCCCGCCTTGAAACGGCCAGGAAACAAGGAATGAAAAGGATGATGCGCGTCCACTGAACGAGCCAGAGATCACCGCAATGGCCATATATATATATATATATATATATATACATACTAATGCAGGTATATGTAAATACAATATCATCTTGTCAGGCTACCTTGCGCCTTCTCAGCCAACTTTCAGCCAAGGAGCAATCAACAACTCGAAGGATTCCTGTGTCCCACACAACGGGGAAGATCATGGGTTATGGACGAGCAATCCTGCAATAGCTACTTGGGCCTTCTTTCGGGCTCGTCCACTATAGGACCGCATAGGATCCCATGAATAGAGGGTGTACGCGTATGACTTCACGCCCCTTAGAAGACTTCACGCCCCTTAGAAGACTTCACGCCCCTTAGAAGAAGAGTCACAACTCGCAATGTTCGGAAACAGAAAGGAGACGAGCACTAGCACTGAAAACAGAAACCCTGCTGCCGGAGATTTCTTCGAGGCTCTGTTTGGACCAGCAAAAACTGCCCCTCGGATTCAAGCACCCAAAACCTCAACTTCCCCCCTCCCCCGATTTCCCTGTGCAAAGGACTCCTGAACTTTCGGGTCGGCGATGAAACTGTCGGCGTGGGCGGCATACACGTAGAGATCGCCTCATGGTGCGCATCTGTAGCAGCACATGGACAGGTCTTCATGGCCCTTCCGCAAGTTGTGGCAGCCGGCCTTCGATCCTCAATACCTGAGCTGGCAACTGGCTCGGGGGCTGTAGGATGCGGCAACGGCAACCTTAAGCGCTAGAGCCACTAGAGGCCATCCGTACCAAGCCTGTGGTCGGAGGGGGGAGGGGGTGGACGGCTTTCAACCCGTGATGAAGGATGAGCGATGAACGACGAAGCCCTGGACGAGACATGTACGAAAGCTGGAGCCACAGCTGCTCCGATTGCTCCCAAACCCTGGAGGTTTGCATGTCAACTCCAGGATCAGATGCTGCTTCGGTACCTCTTTGCCTCCCTGTAGTGCTTGGTCAAGCTTCACAGCGTCTGGCAAGCTCCCTGGCTCAGGCGGCGCATCAGACAGAACAAAACAGCAGCAAGCAGGAATCCCGGAAGCCTAAGCCCGATTTATACGAGATTACAGAACATGAGAGAATGTTACGTTACATGATACAACATTACACTACTTTATATTATGCAGTCTTGTATGCTATCGTAACTTAAAAACGGTCATAATATATGTGTATATACACAAAAACTGAATCGGCTGTCCAACAACAACTTGAGTGTGCCCAGCAGCCTCCAGGCGACTGATCCTGGACCTCACTGCAGGAGGTCCAACGGGGAAGCATTCAAGTCATCTTCACCAGGAAAACATTTATCACCCCACACTCACAAGGCGAAATTTCAGAACTTTTCAGAACTGTTTTTTCTGCAGTTCTCGCACACCAGGTGCCTGTGAATGTCTGGTCGGGAATCTTCCATGCACGACTGTTTCTAAGCAGTGCTGGCACTAGTACAGCGTCTGCAATGAGTGTTGGGCGCTTTGCTCCGGTACGCTGGGTCTGCGAGCAGACCCAAACAGCTGCAAGCAAGGTAGCGGGGGGGGGGGGGGGGGGCGGGGCTGGTTTGGACGTGCACCGCACGTGACTCTGCGACTTCGCCTCGCGCGTGAGGCGTATGTCTCACGTGAAGACCCAGTTCGAAACCTCGTGTTCTCCAACCCATCCTCCAATAGTTTGTGCACTCAAGCTGCCTCTTTGAGCTTTGCAATGATCTGATCCATCTGACGGTCGCCTTGGACAAGCATGAGTTCAAGGCCAGCGTGATTCTGTCAGCACGGCCCACGCCAGTATGCGGGTATCTGAGTTGAGGGCCACCAACTTGTCCTTAAGGCAACGGGGGCATGGTAGGCTCATGTCACTGAAGATGAGGCTCTGAAGCTACGACGAGGACCACATCAGATGGCTGCGAGCCAAGCATCCGTATTGATCCACCGTCGCCTGCAACTCCTCCTTCGTGCAGGGCTCCGGATTCTTGTCCGTAGTTTCCTGAAGCAGCACTGATCTGAAGATCCGAGGGGGTCAGAAACTTCTGCTAACAATTGTCCAGCAGACAGCTGCATTAGCGACACTCTGACACAAGACCGCACTGTCAAAAACGGCATGAAATCCTTCACCAGATGCAGAACCAAAAGGCAGGGTCTTTGCGCCACGGATCTTTTGGTCCGCCCTGGCCGTATCACAGAGGCTCATCTGCGAAAATTCTGCAAAACGACGCCATGTTCTGGCACTGCCCAGCCTCGAAGGTGTGGTTGAGCTCGTTTGGGCTCTCCGGAGATTCTTGCGCGCCTGGGCCAGTTGTTCGCCACAAGTGCCCGACAGGCTCTGGGTCGAGTCTTCTGTGCAGATTCTGCCCAGAGCAGGTTCACGTCTGAGGAGAATGCGCCGTCAACCGTGTACAACCCAACTCCCAACTTGTGGTAAGGGACTGGGGCAGGGATGCCAAACTTATAGAGAAGTAACATCTAGCCACGAGATACACTATACACCAACTGATGATGCAATATTGGAAGCTCAGAAAGTTGGGCCTGTACCTATAACACACAAGTATACCATATGCAACAAGCAACGTCAAACAAAGGCATTCATTTGCACCATTTGCACAGAAGAGCAGCCCAAATCAACACGAGGTCAACTGGCAGGCTAGCTTTCGTGACTGGAGGGGGCACTCGTCGACTTGCTTGCTGCTACGTTCGATTTCGTTCGAGCCGAGGGGGGCTAGTACACCTGCAGCTACCGAAGACATCCGAGCCGATTGTGCCAAACCTGCCATACATCTTCGCCATAAGCTCCAAGTCGCCGCGGAAGTGCATTGGATCATAATCCGCGCCGGCTGCAGCCGCTGGTCGCGTAGCCTCGGCCTCGCAGGCCCAGGCAACATCACAAACTTGCGGATCGAGGCGCACCAAACGCTGGCCAAAGAATGCAAGAGGTTTGAAGCACGATTGCTACGCAACTCTGCAGCGCAAGCTTTGAAAACAGTTTCCATGCAAATGCGCGAACGATGTCATTCTCGAAGTTGCGGGCGCTGACAGCAGCCTGCTTCAAGTATCTCTTCAAGCCCTCCACGTCGCCCTGCTTCGCCAGCTTAGAGGCCTCCACGGCGTACCGGGCCGGGGGGGGGGGGCGGGGGACTTCAGCGAGTTCAGAAGTGAAGAGAAACCCTCATTTTTGCGGTAAGTTGAACCGAAAAGTGCCGGGGCCTCTTTGGCCACCTCGGGCGGAATTGATGGAGGAGCCGTCATGGTGGCGACACCGTATCGGTGTGACGTCGTCGTGTGCGTCGTGGGAAGGTCTGGGCACTGTGGCCTCAAGGGAGCCTCGGAAACAGGCGCTGCCCTAAACCCTAAACCCTAAACCCTAAACTCCCGACAGCCAGCCCGTTAGACGGCTCAACATGGCCTGACGACAAGTTTTGGGGAGCTGTGGTCAGGGCAGCAGACCTCAAGAGCTCCCTCCACTCTTGAGTGCAGCTGAGCGGCCACGTAGCACTCCTCTTCCTGCACAAGAGCCTGGCGAGGAAGAAACCCTCATCATACACAGGACCCCAACAAGGGATCCAAATTTAGAAGAACATCGAACAACCATCTTCTGGTGCACCTCATCACACGGAAGCCCGCCGAAGCGCTCGTTTTCGCGAAGCCTGCAAGCCGTCTCAGCTCAGAACCCTTAACCCCCCTTCAACTCCGAACACCGTCCTAAGACGCCTAATGAACCCCGAACACATGCACTCCTGAACCCGAACCTCATCCGAACTCTTGAACCCTGAATCTATCCAAAACCTCTAGCTCAGGGATGTTGATGCTACAGGGGCAGGGCTGCTCAGGGTCATGTCGGGGTATGCAAGACGGCAAGGCTGGGAACATCGACCCCGCATCTCTAGCGTACCCTGAACCCTCAACCCTAGCACAGACGAACTGCCTGGTCCGCACTCGCTGGCCGTGCCCACAGGAGGTTGAGCACGTGCTCCACTCCCTGCGACCCCGACACCTCTAGCTAGCAGTCTATATCGCAGAGACCCACAAGAGCTTAGGGCGTATGTAAGTCTAGGTGTTAGTCGTCGGCTTTAAGAGGGCCTTTGGGATGCGGGGCCGAGGGCCTACAGCTCAAAAAACCAGCATTTGCGGTGGAGAGTGCGTAGCGGTTGAACACCGGCAGCTCCCTACGTCATTCGGATGGAGGTTGGCGGGCTCTCTGGTTTCTAGATGGTGAAGCTACTAGTGGGCGATCCAGGTCCTCCAGTCACCCAGCGTGCAGTCGATGGGGCATGGGTCCTCAGCGCGTCGAAAGCAGACCCAGCAATGTGGGAGCCATCATGAGCCATCCAAAGGACGCAGAACCAGCAAGCCCAGTCTGGCGCAAAAGTAGGAATCAGACATGGAGGACGATGGACAGTGAAACACGGCCTACGCATCTGCTAGTGAACATGCCACGTACCTTTCCGAGCTTTGGACCGCTGAGCATTCGTGGGACTCAGTCGGGTTGGGAGGACCTGAGCCAATGATGCCCATAACGGTCGCACTGGGCCACACAAGTCGTGCAACGCCCGTGTTGGTTCAGCCATGCCACACTGAAGCCCTCCAAAAGCCTCGGCTGTTCTCAAACACCCTAGGCAAACAGGAAAAAAAACTACAAGCTGCCTTCAGGATCTTGCGCGTTCAGGCTCCGTCGAGTGGCCGTCGAAGATGCTTGCGCCAACATCGCAATGAATGAAACTGTATTTGTGCATCCCCTGTTGCGACTTGGGGTCCGGACCCCGGCTGCTATTCTACTGATACATCACAGCATCCCTTCGGTCCCTTCGTAGAGGCTTATATATAGTGCTTGCTTCCGAGGGTTTTGCTTAGCGGGACACGGCACAAGAAGGGAATACCCAAGTGCTGCAACTGTCATGCCCAGCTGCCGCTTCAACTTGGACAACTCTGAACCTGCGTGCACGACTAACGACCAGCTGGCAGAACATGTCGATCAAGCTCTGGCAGCCCCTTTGCAAACATCTCCATACACGTAACTCGCACGAGGATCCTGAACGCATCGGCGCGGATCAGAGCGAATGCTGCCCGGCTAAACTTGGTGCGCACAATGGCCTGACTGTGACTCCGCCATCGCAGGTAACGGAGCAGGCCGACCAGTCCGACCACTCTGTGATCACGCAGTTGACAGGGCCTGAGCGATCACAGCCGAAATCACACTAGCTGATTGCGCATCCTGAGCCATATGGGCACTTCCCAAAATAGGGGTACCCCCTTCAAGCCCCAAATAGAGGTGAATCCCCTTAAAGCTTTAGAAAGGGACCCCCGAAAAAGGGCACCGCTATTCTCGTAAAGCCCCATAACCAGCATAAACGATTCAACAGCCAGGTGACATGCGTGAGCTTCGCAGGGCGCTTCCTTTCCACAGGGCAACCAGGCTCAACAAACATCGCAGTCACTCAGCTGACTTCTCCTCTTGTCTTAGATGTGGTTCTGAGCAGCGGGCGACTTAGCCACGACTGGCAGAATCAAGAAACGGTGCGACTTGCAGCGTTCGGAAACTTCCAGGTAGACTAAGCTCAATTTGCTAAAGATTCCCCAGTCCAGAAACCCATAACAAAGAAACTGGCGAGTCTCCACCTTGAGCGCCCGACATGGGATCGATTCACCGTTCTCATGGTGACCAGAATCTGTAGAACAACCCCCCATGCAATCCGGACCGTCAACGTCCGGCCTGTGCTGCGTCGCCCAGGCAACTGGAGCCTCCATCGTGGCCGGGCTCAACGACGTCACCTAACGGCCGTAGCAACGCACGGTTCGCATACCGCAATGAAGCTGAGTCAGGATTAACAGCATCACATTCCAATGTCAACGTACCCACGGTGCGCTGGATCTCTAGTCGCTACACCGACCTGAAGGTTGGACAAACCCTGAAAACCCCTTTGAACCCCTGATCTAAGCAGCCGGCGGAATCGGCGGATCACACCACCCCCACAGGATTGGCTGCAAGGAGTCCACGAGCTCCACGAGTTCCACCTCGAAAGGCTCTCACGCAGCTTTGGGGGCTCCTTGACATAGGTGCGTGCGTGCGTGCGTGCGTGCGTGCGTGCGTGCGTGCGTGCGTGCGTGGGTGTGTGTGTGTGTGTGTGGGTGGGAGCGTGCGCGCGCGCGCGCGCGCGTGCGTGCGTGCGTGCGTGCGCGCGTGCGCGCGTGCGCGTGTGCGTGTGCGTGTGCGTGTGCGTGTGCGTGTCTTTGTTTGCGTGTGGGTGGGTGTGGGTATATGGATATGTATATGTATATGTAATTGTAAATGTAAATGTAAAAGTAAATGTAAATGTACATGTAAATGTAAATGTAGCTGTAAATGTAAATGTAGATGTATATGTATCTGTATACCCCTATGTGTATGCATATGTATACGTATATGTTCATGTAAAGTGTATGTACGTGTATGCAGATGTTTGCACATATATATATATACACACACATAGTATGTACATGTAAACAAACATAAATACAAGTGTACATATCCAGAGAATATACATGTAGACATCCTGTTGTATATGTATATAATGCACATAATATGTATGTACATGTACGTATCTATATACGTAGATGTATCTTCACTCTCATGATAACAAGCTGTCTCTGTTTTTGGGTTTGTGTGAGCTTGGGCTCAAGCTCTGATAATCACTCCGATTCTCTGACTATCTGAAGCCAGGGTTAGGACAAGCTTTTGGCAAGATTCAGCGTCTCAGGCTGCTTCTTTGAAGTTTGTATGGAGAGGCAAGGTTTGGATCAGGTTGAGGCCCGGCTTGCTTGATTGCATACAGGCAGTTGTCGCATCGCGGGGTTGTGAGCAATCTTGATGTGACTGCACGCATTTCAGTTTGCAAAAGCGATGTGCTGGATCGCTTTCCAACTCGCACGTTGTATGGAGAACAACCCTCATTTGACCGAGGTCCGCACACGCAATCGACAGGGCAGGGCGCCTCAGGCGCACCGGAACAGGCAAGAATGGAAGCTTGGGTACAGCGTGGACTCACGGCACGTGCCCAAGAATAATCAAAGCAACTCCGGACATCGTAGGGAACTGTCACCCGCCCTGGAAGGGATTCCTCCATCTGAGCCTAGCACGCCGCCGCAGTCGCGATTTTGCAGTGTCTCACCAGCGCAGTCCTCAGGGCACGAGAATGAGGAGGACGACGACAGAAGACGGAAAGCGCATCATGGGCCACTTCACATCCCTGACCGACTGCCTTGCCACCATACATCTTTTCTGCTTTGACCTTGGGAAAGGGCCACACACATGTGAGAAATTCTGAGCACTTTCCGGTCTGCTTTCTGAGGGATCTCAGGGTCGGGCCATGCGTGTGCGAGAGGAGTGGCCGTCACCGCAGCTCACCGAGCAAGTCCCCCAGTCCTGGGGCACAAATGGCAATGAGCTCAGATTTGAGGAGTGATCCGCCATCCTCAGAGAGCCTAGGCCAACAGAATCAAGCTCTAAGTCTCTAAGGGCTTGGGGTTTAGGATTTAGGGTTTACAAGTCAAACGGAAACCATAAGACCCTGAGAGCTCTCTGACGAGGGCGTGCCGTAGGTTGTAAACCGAAAGAAGTTGCTGTTGCTTGGCGCCCGACCAACCAGTCACTCCACTCGCAGTCAATAGGACATGTAGGCAGGCTGCATAACCTTACCAGGATCCGGATCGATGGCGTGTTTTTGATAGATGACAACGTACACACCGCCTCTGTGTCTAGGCCTCACTGGTCGATTTGTGCCGCCAGGCGGCTTCTGATCGTAAAGCAAGTCCTGGCCCCATCCAAGCACATGCATATATGTCGGGTCGTTGCTTCTGGAGCCAATATGGATGAGAGAATCGTTGCTTCAAGATTTCAAGATTTGAAAGTTTTGCCCCCCCCCGTGTTGACGGGGACTAGCCAGACATATCGGAAGAAATTCCTCAAGGCCATGCCACATTAGCTTGCTCTTCGAGCTAGCTTTCCGTTCGTCCCTAATAAGCTAGCTGAGCGCTAGCACACGTCAACAAAGGCACATGTCCGCATGTAGCAAAATTGCACCTGTAACATGTCTGGACAAGAACTAGCTTCCGCAGGCTAACCGCCAGGGCGTTAGGGGGGAACACCTTCGATGTTCCCCCAAGAGCATCAAGAGCATCGGCTAGCATACACTGTCGTAACAAGTCACGAATGCGCGACTCTTCCGCGACAGGGCTTTGGATAAAGCTTCCCACTTCGGTCGTTCGGAGTCCTGGGAGGCGCAGTCCGCCCCGCCATGCTCCGCTGCCCTGTTCACGGCACGACTCCTCTCCATGAGCCCTGGCACCAGGGGCTGATTCCACATGCTCATCGCACACACACACACACACAACTTGTGGGTGCCTCTTAGCAAGTTCAGCGGTGTTTTAAGGTTTTCTAGTGGACTTCGGGTAGGGACCGGTGTAGACACACGGGCCTTGTCCACAGGAGACGCTGCACTCCGACCAGCTAGACCACTCGGCCAGGATGCAGTCTACAGGGCAGTCCGGGAAACCTCAATTTGCGGACGAGCTGAGTCTGGAGTCACAGAACGTCACAGCAGCATACAGCACGCGATACTAACATTGCCTGACTTCACATGAAATAGCGTAACAGTGGCATGGCGACATTACAAAACCGAGCATGACCTGTCGTGAGGTGTCGCAACATGACATAGCACAAGCAACACAAGACAGCAAGACAACACCACACAATCGATCATACTGCAAGATAATGGAAGAACAAGAAGAACACGACGTGTTGAGAAGTAATTCATCGCTCACAACATGGCCAGGCCGCTGCACGTGACTTCTTCTGCGGCGTCGCCAGAGCAGGGCTTCCCCAACTCATTGGCCGCGACGAGGACGGTTCCTGAAACGAGCAGGAGCATCGTTAGAGCAGGTAGAGGAGCTTCAGGCTTGCGCTTAACAGGACATGGCTGTGTCCGAGGCTGACAGGAGTGCTGCGCGAAGGCGCACTGGGTGGGTGCTGTAGGTGCTGGTGCTGCGATATCTGGAAGTAAATATCGGATCCAAGGGTCGGCTGTGCCGTGAGGTCCCCTGACCGCACGTTGCAGAGCAGGCTTCCCACTCGCTCCACTCACTCCAGACGCAGTCGACAGCGCCTTAGAGCCCATTTTGATTGTCCGTTCAGGTGCTGCCCAAGCTAGGCTTACCACTCCTACCTCGGTTCCTGCACTCCCTCGACTCTACGGACAGCTAAGACCTCAAACCGCTCGACATCGAAAAGTCTAAGCTCCTACAGTATCTTAGCAGCCACACAGATGGTCGACATAGGCATAGACATTATCTCAATCAATCAAACAAAACAATCTTACTCCCCGCATAACTGCCTAAGGCCAAACCCTGAACCCCAGACTCTGTCCAAATCGTGCGCCGCATCTTTTGAGACCATACCTTTTCTGTACTACATCCCTATTTGCTGCATACGACCCCATATTAATATTCAACAAAATTAAAATGGCATGTAAAACAATCTAAAACAATCCGCTCCCTGAGCGGTTGCGTGCAGGGTGCAAATTGCAGGGCTGCAGGACTTCGTGTCCTCAGAGGCTGGGCACTGGGCGCCACCGTAGGCCTCCCAGGGGCAGCTTCGGATTTAGGAGCTTAGAGGCTACAGTTTACCGACTTGGGCTTGGGGGCTGCGGGTTTTAGGGTTATGTAGAGGCCAGCCGTCGGACTTGGGGTGTGATGTCTGTCTAGACGATATCCGAACAACTCCAAAACCTTACTTTAGACATTAGATACAACTTTACACTCAGAGTCTAGAATCACCCTTCCCAGCTGGCCGGCGGCTGGACGCTCCGCGTCCGCTGCGTGGTGCCATTGCCGCAGGACACGCTGCAGGGTTCCCAGTCCAGCCAGTCGCCCACCACACAGTCCTCAGTGTCCGGCCGGGCGACCCCAGCGCATACAACGTTGAGGCAGCTACCTGCGCTTTCCTTATCGCCAAAGCCGAAGAACGTGTGGGCAGTCGATCTCACCACCGCAAGCCTCCTCGTCCAGAGCCTGGCGAAGTCAGCAACAGCACACCACGAGCTCGACAAATGGGAGCTCCCCCTAAGCACCTGAAACAAATGCTCGTTGACGACAGCCTTTCCAGTAGAATTCACTGCTCAGGATACGTCACCTTGCTAAACCTCTACGGAGTCTTTGCCCAGACTTATTTGGTACAGAGGTTGGGCTCTCCTACAGGATGGAGCATAGCCTCGTTGGGGGTTCCTTTTCGCAAGCAGATGTTCAACATCTGACGTGCCTCGTGGCACGGAAGGCCACCGAAGCTCTCGGTTGCGTGAAGCCTGCAAGCAAGCGCAAGCGATTTCTTGCTTAGACTCGTCGTCACTCGTCGCAGGCCAAGCCCCCTAAACGCCCTTAACACCCCAAACCCCTGAACTCCCGAACCAGCCTAAACCTCCCAAACCCTGACCCTGAATCCCCCGAACTATCTGAAGCAGACGCCTGGTCCGCACTCGCTGGCCCTGCCCGCAGCTCGTTGAGCACGCGCTCCAGTCCCTGCTTTTTCAGGGCCCTCAAAGCCAAGAAGAACGAGGCCGCTTGGGGTTCCGTTGCAGGGGTTAGAGTTCAGGGTCGCAGGGCTCTGGATTCAGGATTCTAAGCAGGATTGTTCGGGAGGCCTTCCTTGCGGGACTTGATAATGAGGCTGCCGCCATGGCAAAGCCACTGCAGGGCACGATGCGGGTCCTCCAATCGCCCAGCGTGCAGTCGACGGGGCATGGGACCTGAGTGGGAAGAAGCAGATCCACAGATTTGGCAAAACTTGTTGCATATGGATACATGCAACCTGGCGTGCTGTGAGATATCGGCTGTGGTGAACGTACCGTTCTGGGTGCCGGGCTACTGCGCATTCGAGGTACTCAGTCAGATTCTGGGGACCTGAGAGGGTGCCCAGAAAGTGCTGCGCTCGGGCATCGGGCATCGAGCGGCTGCGTTTTCTGCAGATGCCCTTCACTGCCCTTTTGTGACCCATCACGTTGAGCCATGCCACATTGAAGCCCTCCAAAAGCCTCGGCTGTTCAATCCAAGACCCAAGAGGCAAGCACAGGGAAGAACAAGATGCCTCTTTTAAGCGTTCAGAGGCCCCGTCGGGGGACCGCCGAACCAAAAACTCTCAAGACAGCTTCCACAGCGTCTGCCAGCATCTTCTTCAAGGTGCTTGGAGGTGCGGGGTGCACTATGGCATGTCTGCTTAAACGACTTGTCACGCCCAGTTGCTGTTTCAACTTGAACATTTCTGGACCTGCACGCAGACAATGATGCAGAGGCACGCTCTGCAGCCCCATTTGCAGTCACAAGAGCGTGAGGGATGCATGTGGACCACGCGTATGCATGCTCTGCAGACTTGTCGGCCGAGCTGGCTGCCCAAAGAAAGCTCGCTACTACGCTATAGCAGACTCCCAGGTCAATTTGTACACCTGCCTGGCAATGACGCCACCACCGCATGTAGTTGAGCAAGGCGACCAGTCCGACCAGTCTGCGACCACGCAGTCAACAGGGCCTGAAATCACAGACGAGACCGCAGGTCGTGCTCTAAACCGTGCTCAGACCCTGAGCCACGCCCGGTTCAACAATGAATTGCAGCCAGGTGACAGCTGACGGCTTCGCAAGGAGCTTCCTTTCCACAGGGCAACAGAGGTTTAACATGACTTGCCATGGCTGACGTTGCCCTGGAAGCAGAAACAGAGCGAGCTGCGTGGAGATTTTAAACATTTTTCTCGAGTGCAGGTTTGGCTTGACATGGGAGGCCCGTTCCGTGCCGTTGCTCCAAATCACAACTGTTGGCTCAACTACTGCCATGAGCCCTAGAATCAACCGCCAAGAAGCAACGAAGCCTGAAAACCTGAGATTCAAAACTGCCAGTGCCAGCGCTGCACACGGTCACCAAAAACGAGCTAGCCAGGGCTAATCACCAGCCAAATGTCTTGCAGGATTAAATCGCTTAAGCTTAGTTTGGTGATATTTGATACTCTCCCGACTCGTGGCATCTCGTGGCCAGCATGTAGAGGAGCGCACGACACATAGGCCCGTCAATGCCTGGCCTCATCCGCGTCTCCTGCACAACCGGCGCCTCCATCGTGCCCGGGTTCAGCGACATCACCTAGCGGACGGCACAAGGAAAGGCACGACTCGAGAAAGACCTCAAGGCCTCAAAGAGCCGGCACTAGCAAGGTCTTGTTATGTCGGCTCACCCAAGCCCTTTGCATGCCCAAAGTTAGGAGACTCGATCCTCACACACAGATTTAAGTAGCCGACGGGAGCGGTGGATCACACCACCCCCACAGGATTGGCTGCAAGGAGTCCAAGAGCTCCACGAATTCCACCTCCCAAGGCGGCGGAGCTGCTAAGATGTGGTAGATACTACAAGTTACTACAACACTTTTCATATTGTACAGTGTTACACTACACCTCTGAGCCACTCTTTCGCCATCTGCCACTCGGCTTCTACTGCTGGAGCTCTGCAAGCTTCGGCTTGCAAACATGGACCGCTGTTGTAGCATTACGCAAGCAGCACAGACGTCCACGTGATTCGCTCACTCTCCTAATGTTACCCTTGATGATCCTCATCTACATGTTGTTCTGAGCCTGCCTTCAACAGTGAGGAGCTGAGCCCGCATACTTTCTCCCGTTTCAATGCCCACGTGCAAAACAGTGCTCTTGGAATTTACTGAGCTCCGCACACACAATCGACTGGGCAGGGTACCTCGAAACAAGCAAGCTCTCATCGGACGTGGCATTTTCCAGAAAGGAAATCGCTTGTCTTAAGGTTCAATCTCGGCGGCCCTTGCAAGTTGCTCCCCCTAAACATCCTTGCTGGGGCAATGAGAACTACTGATGCCGCCACTGACACAACTCCTCTGAGCCCAGCACATCGTCGCAATCGCGATCTTGCTCCGTCTCACCAGAGCAGTCCTCAAGGCAGAAAGAGGCCATCGGAGCCGACAGAAGAGTCTTGCTGACTTGTAGCCTGCAGCTTGGGATGTTCCCCCTGATACTAACAGTCCTTGATAGGGATGATAATTGGGGGTACTGTAGGAGGACTGCTAGAAAAAGGGGAACGAACATCCCAACCTGCAGGGCATATTCATGAGCCACTTCAACAAGCACGTTTTAGAGCCAACTGCCTTGCCGCCATACATCTTCTCTGTTTTCACCTCGGTCCGGAAAGCATGCCCTGACGTGCGAGCACAATTTTGCACCCCTGAGGGATGGGCCATACGTGTGCGGGAGGAGTGGCCGTCGCCGCAGCTGGCTGAGCAAGCGCTCCAGTCCTCGGGCACCAGTTGCTTCAGGGCTCTCCGGATTGACAAGTGCAGCATCAGCAAATAGAGGCCGATAGCTTTAAAGCGATGGACAACATGAAGCAGAAACCATCTTCCCTGAAAGCTCCCCATCGAACTGACAAGAACCGTGGCAGAGTACTTGCTTGGCACCCGGCCAGCCAGTCCACCCACTCGCAATCAACAGGACATGTAGGCAGGCTGCAGTACCTTTGGGAACTCGGGCCCGAGGGCATACAACCAGGCTCAACCTTTACTACACAAGCTACGCAGACGTAACAGGAAAAGCTGAGACTGCGTTCACATAACTGGCGGCCAACCTCCCTTTCCACTCTCTCTTTTTCTTTTTGTTGGGGGCTTGGTGGGAGGTGCCCATGTTGGCTACACCTTAATTTAGAGAGTTGTGATCATGGAGTCATGGACCCATGGATGCTGTGTAACTCCCAACTACCCTGTGCGCACACCATTCCCGCCTCACCCGCTTGACAATCGGCTTGAGTGCTGACAAGTTGCTTCTTCTCATAGAGCAAGTCCTGCCAAACATCCACATGCTATGCACATATCTGTACATACTTTGTCATCCGGAACTGCTGGTGTCAGCTGAAAGCGTCATTCTGAACCACTTCCACCGATTCTTGAACCTCCTGACCCATAATTCACTCAATAATGAGACATGACTGCTCCCAACGAGGGTTCTGCATTGAGGAGAAGGGGGCAAGGGGGAAAGGGGATGAAGGGGGCGCGGTGCCCCACAGAAGCTGAGACTCCATCTGACCATCAGGAAACAGCGGAGTTCGAACACGCTTTGAAGTGTCAGACCTCTGCCCATCATGCGGAGTCCTGGACGCCGCAGTCCTTTCCGCCGTGCTGCGCCGTGGTGTCCAGAGTGCGACTCCGCTCCATGATGCCTGGCGAATGTGGGGGCAACTTCACAAAAAATTGATGAGTAGTGGCAGGGATGCTCATGCCGTTTATGGCATTTGGCAGCAAGGTTAGAGCAGAAGCACCGGGCCTGGTCCACAGGATACGCTGCAGTCCGACCAGTCGGACCATTCGGCCAGGACACAGTCTATGGGACACTCCGAGTAACCTTGGGGGCCAAGGTGGAATCTCTGCTTGTCTGACGTGACCAGGCAGTGGCCAGGCGGCTGCATGCGATTTCCTCTTCGGCTTCGCCAGTGCAGGCCTTCCCCAGTTCGTTGGCTTCGACAATGACTGTTCCTGAGACAAGATGAGACCAGACAAGGCCTCTTGAGGACATGAGCTCATGCGCCTTCGAACCTCCCAGTACGACACGACGCTAGGCGGGTGCTAAGGATGTAGCATCCCAAGGTTCATTCACGATCAATCCAAGCGTCGGCTGTGCTTCGAGGTCGCATGGCCACAGGTTGCAGAGCAGGCTTGCCACTCACTCCACTCACTCCAGACGCAGTCTACAGGGCCTCAGTGATGGAAGGAGAACATGGTCAGATGGGTTGGTGGCTTCTTCGTTCGTGGCACATGGATTTGGAAACGAAGCAAAAGTAAAACACCCATGACCATGACCTGATGTGAAGAAACCGAGGCATGAAAACACATTGCTGGTGCATGCAGGGTGCATATCTCCTCAGGGCTGCAAGGCTGTGACTCTACAGAAGCTGGACACTCTTCGCCGCCATAGGCCTGTCGAAGGGCCATGTGTCTCATAAGGTGACCCGCCCGGTACTACAGTTTATCTTTTGAGACCTGCTGGGACCTTAGATTAAATGATAGATTGAAAAACTTCAGACTTAACAACACTTGCTTGTTGCTGCTTGCGACTTTTGTCAGCCACTATGAAGACTCTAGACCACCCTCCCCAGCAGGCCGGCTGCTGCTTGACGCTGCGCTTCCGCTCTGCGGTGCCGCTGCCGCAGGAGACGCTGCAGGGTTCCCAAGCCAGCCAGTCACCTACCACACAGTCCTCGGCTCCAGGGCACAGCCAGTGGCCCCAAAAAGCGTAAACCCTAAACCCTAAACCCTAAACCCTAAACCCTAAGCCCTAAACCCTAAACCCTAAACCCTAAACAACCCTAAACCCTAAACCCTAAACCCTAAATCCTAAACCCTAAACCCTAAACCCTAAACCCTAAACCAGCCAGAGAACTGTTGGGCACATGTTCTCGGCACAAGTCCTGGTGTTCAGCGCCTCCTTGGATCGGAACACACGCGCAATCTGCGCGGACCGGAACAAAAGATGCGTCTGGCCCTTGGGCTTAATTTAAGGCTTAGGGTTTAGGGTTTAGGGTTTAGGGTTTAGGGTTTAGGGTTTAGGGTTTACGGTGAACACCTGAGACCTACTGAGTAGGAGCTCCAAGCCAACTCCAAGAATTGGCTTATAACTGAGAAGGCCAGGTGGCTCCAACACAGGGCTTGCCCTGTGAGTTGCCAGGAGTGCTCTCCCTTGATCGGCTTTCCTGCACGGGGCTGATTCTGAGCTGGGAGCCCTTCTCTTGGCACCCCGAACTCTTTGGAGGCCAAAGTACAGTATAAACTCTACTATTGACAGCGACTCCTTCCCACCGCCACATGTTTTCGAACAGCCGTGCCAGTCGGACCAGTCGGTCCACTGGCCTTGGTAGAAGGCGCATTGTCCAGGTGTGATTGCAGACCAGGATCGCACTTTGCATGTGCAGCCCGAGCGGCAATCCACGGGGCAGTCATCCAAACTACAGTCCTGCAGCACGGCTATAATTCCCGAGGGCCTAAGCACCCGAAGCCCTAACAGCAAAACGTGCATCCTTAAACGCTTAACCTTTCGATTGCCTCCGCCCTCTGCGACGAGCCCGCGCACAGGCGCCCGCCGAACCTCACACGTGGAGGGAATTAGAGAGGGTTAGTGCCCAGGGCCAGGATTCGATGGTTCAATAAGGTTCAGACAAGAATTGCCCTGAAGCTGCTTTTGGAGGCAGAGGGTTGCATCATTTTTCGCAGGACAGAAAGTGAGTGGTTTGACCAACGAGGGGGGAAAGCCCAAACCTGTAACTTACTGCCCAAAGCCCCAAACTCTAAACCCAATTCCTGCATTCTAACTTCCCAACGTCTGGTACCTCAGACCCTAACCCAAACCCCAACAACCCTAAACCCCAAACCCTAAACCCTAAACCCCACAGTTAGCCTAAACCCTAAACCCCAAAAGCCCTAAACCCCAAAGCCCCAAACCCAATGTCCAGCTCCGGTGCTCGGCGGCACGGCTACCGCGCTGGGCGAAACGCTGAGCCTCGCCGCAGCTCTTGGAGCACTCCGTCCTGGCGTTTTGGGGTTTAGGGTTTAGGGTTTAGGATTTAGGGTTTAGGGTTTCGGGTTAGGATTTAGGGTTTAGGGTTAGGGTTTAGGGTTTAGGGTTTAGGGTTTAGGGTTTAGGGTTTCGGGTTTAGGGATTAGGGTTTAGGGTTTAGGGTTTGCCGTTTCGCATTGAAGCCTTCACCTGAAGAAGTCAGGGTTTTGCTTGTCAGAGAAGTCGTCTAGGATGTGGGTCCCAGCAACATTTGGGGCGTCTCGAAGCCACGGACTGTATTCCCAAGGTAGGGATACCGCAACTACTATCGAATCCCCTTGAAGGGACCCCTTTAGGGTATGCCGTGGGGGGGGGGGGGTATCTCAAGGATTCACAATAGGGTCGTCGTACCCATTGAGAAGCCTCAGGGTATGTGCGAAAGCGTTGGGGATATGGCTTAAAGGATCAGGACTGGTGCAGAGCCACGACAATGATGGTGGGAAACACGAACCCGAACAATAATGAAGATTATGCGAGAGATGATAAAGACGACTGCGATGATGATGGTGCAGTGAAGACTTCGGTGAATCAATGAATGACAGTTCGAACAATAAACAAGACCTGTCAAGCATAAAGCAGTACCCCACCTCTCATCCCGTCCCTGGCAGCGCGCTGAAGTTTGCACTTTTTGATACGTTTTTGCTTGGTCCCCGGCCCCCTCGCCGCCGCCCCCTCCCCCCCGGCCATTTCCGCCACTTCTTCCCCCTCTCTCCCTCTCCGATCGCCTTAACCACCTTGTTCTGGAGCTCCCCCGCTCCGCCCGCCCCCCACCTTCCTGCCCCTCTCCCCCCACTCCCCAATTCGCCATCCCGCCATCCCCACTCTTTGGCCCCTCTTCGTCGCCTTGTACTGGCTTTCTTTTGTGTGTCTTCTCTTCGTCTCTTGGTGTCTTTGTCGGTTTTGGGTTGCCTCGCCGCTGGGCAGGCCCCAGCCGAGGCCGGTCGCGCAGCGTTAAAATTAAGGTTTAGATTTAGGCAGAATACCATAGATTCCAGCATTCGGCTTCCAGTGCAAACGGACCGTCTTGACAGCTGCGCAAAAAGCTTTGGGCCTGAATCACGAAACCCTCATTGTTGCTTTACTCTGGTTGCACAGCAAACGGGGGAACTCGAGGTGCTCACGCTCCATCGCTTCATTTGTACAACACCCTAGGCCCTAGGCTGATAGACCCCAAACCAAAAAAAGAGCTCAAACCAACAAGGAGGCGCTCTCCACCCCTTCCATTCCCCGTCGGGTTCAAACCATCTAAGCCGCGCCCTACGCATTGTAAACCAGACAGAGTTCTATTCCTTGGTTCGATTCAACACAATTCCCTTGGATGGGTTCCAAACCGCGAAGAGGTGGGGTTCCTGCACATAGGATAACCGCATTCGTACGGAGGCATATGGATATTTCCCAAAATAGGGGGAACCCCTTGTCCCAAATAGAATAGAATCGCCTTAAAGGGACCCCCAAGAAAGGATACCCCTATTTGCGAAAGCCCCCCATATTAGGGGCTTCCCTACTTTGGGCAAACCCTAAACCCTAAACCCTAAACCCCTAAACCCTAAACCCTAAAGCCCACCTCGACCTGGCGCGTTGCTTTTCTATGCAGCTGAGGATCCAGTCGGTCCAATCCTCCCACTCGCAGTCCACTGGGCAGATTGTTTTCTTGCAGTCCCTTTCTTCCCTGCAGGGTCGATGTAGGGCACTCTTGGGGTTTTGGGGTGATGCAAGAGGCACGAATGAGGTCTAGGGCATGGGGCTTAGGAAGAAATCGCCTGGGCTGGCAAGGCGCTGCTTGCTACTTGGGGTCTTAAGGCGGCAAAACGCGACCTCTACGGCCCGGAATCTCCAGCCTGTGGCTGTTGTCGCAGGCTTTGCCTCAACTTGGGAGGAACGCCGTCAAGTAACCACATGTGCACACAGCTGCATCAATAGGATACAACATGCGGAACTGCCTCAGCTACTCTAGCTTCGTTTTGATGCTGGCCTGATCCTTGCGCCATCTGCTTCACAGCTCGGACTCTCACTGCAATACCTGAGGCGGACAGCCACGAAGATTGTGCGTTTTGAATGTACAGGCAGGACGTGAGAGTGGAAGATCGCAACTCACCGCCGCCACAACTCCAGAATCCCGACAGCCCAACGGGAACCGCAAAAGTCTGGCCTGTCTAGCAAATCAAAGTGGCAAGCACCCCTGCCGACCATGCTACATCAATCAAACCCAAAGCCCCACTCCATGCGCAAACTTGCCACCTTCACCGCAGGTGAACTGGCAGACGCTCCAGTCCTCGGCCATGCTTCCCTAAAAAGGGGTCCTGCCAGAATTCGTTTGTGAGGGTTGGTCAAAGTAGATGCCTTCCGCCATGTCTAGACGGGATTCTCTGCCTCTCATTGGACCTGATGTTGAATACCCCGCTGGAAGCACGACAAGCACTCACAACTCAGCCGCCGGCGGCCCAGTCCCCCCACTCGCAGTCTACATCGATGCCCTGGAGCACTTGGCAAGACTGAGGGTTCGAAGCTTCGGGAGCCGTTGCGGCATGCTTTCGAGGGCATGCTTCAGAGCAATTCACACGCATACATCACGACAAGTCACCCATGCTTGCAAGTATTAAAAGGATAGATATGCTGGATGCTTGGCTCCCCCGAGCCTCCTGGAGGCCGGTCCTCAGCCGTGATGAAAGCATGGTGCACAAAGACACGAAGACTGCGCTACCCTGCAGTGGAAATAGACCCGCTGATGGCAGTGTGGCGATGCCAAGCTTCTTCCCCTGCGCATCCACGCTGTACGCAGCAGCCTGACCCAAAGATGCCATTCCAAAGCGCACGCCAAGTCAACTCCGTGCAAAACCACGTGCGCCTGTCTTCCAGATTCGAGCAGGACTTCGCCTCGAGCTTCAGCTCGCATCATTCCTTGAGAGGTTCGCACCCTTCGTATCCAACTCAATGGAAACACTTGTTGCTATTCTGGAACATGTCAGTTGGAAGCTAAGCCGTAGCAGAGCAAGGGACACACAGGGCTTTGCCACCAGTGGAATGGAAGTACTGATTTTTCAAGCACGGGCCCTCTCTTCATGAATGCTAGTCCAGCTTCTAGCTGCGGCAGAGATGGCCGCGCTTTCTGGCCAAGCTTTTTCTGCCTTGACCAGGTCTCAGATTTGACAACAACAATGCTGTCTTTTCAAGTCCGTCATCAAGGTCTGTGCGACTTCTACGTGAACAATTGAAGATGCTTTCCAGTGTGTTCCCTATTGGTCTCGTAGCTCGGAAGTGCTAGCTGAGCACACTGAACACTAAGCCACATCTTCAACCCAACACCCAGCCGTCCTCAACTCTGCCTGATGCGAGAAAGAGTAAATCAAACCTGTTGTGCGAACCTGGCCAAGAAAAATTCCTCAATTTGAGGACCCCGGCTTGAAAACCGGTGCCGACACCAGCAATGTCCGGCATCATGTCATAAGCAACCCTAAACCCTAAGCACAAAACGGCAACACAACCTAGCCACCCTGAACCCTGAAGCCTGACTCTGGACCCTAAAGGTTTTGTTGTATTACTATTCTGTTTTGATATGAAATTACCAAATGATTATACTACGAAATTGATGTGTTGTAGTTTATCATATTCATATTAGTATATTGCTATACTAATGTCTCATTATATCATGTGAAGAAATCCAGAGCATCAAGCAGGCTCTCGCCTGTTCTCTAGAAGACGTGGGTAGGGCTGCTCCGCCCGTGGCGAGGGCAGCAAAGAGAAACCTGAGGCTGTTTGGAGTTTGCGGTTGAGGCATCTTACTTTTTAGGGTTTAGGGCTTAAGGTCCGGAAAGCTCGCCTCAGCTTTAGGGCTCAGTGGTCTACCGGGCCACAATGAAAGTTTGGAGCTTGTGTCTGGTTTCGGGCGAACCCACACATACTCACAGGAAGCGAGCAATTGGGGGTCATTCAGACTGTATACCGGGAGAGTGATCCCTAGCCGCTGTGGAGGCGTCTCAACATGCAAAGGCCTCCAGGGGCTATACGGATTCCCAAATTTCTACTCGAACACGCAAGCCCTCCTCAGGTTTGAAAAGAGAGCTTTCGTCAAACCAGATTTCGTTCCATTGCGGGGGAAGGACTTCTTTGCGTGTAGGTTTTTGAGGGATTTTCAGGCTCTTGTAGGCTCGCAGGGTGTGAGGCCCTTTTAAAGAGGGCCCTGGGATCCTCAAGGATGTGCTGGCGCTGCAGATGCTACTGCGCGCATCGCGCACACGTGAACCGTTTTGGAGGTTCAGGGCTCACAGCTTAGGAAGCCTGCACCCTAAACTTGGGCACAGGAAAAGCTGGCAGCCCACGCCACCATCAATCTGCAGAGGGGCCTCAATCTGACCAAGCTGCATCACCGGATGCGACGCTTGCACGCAGAAGCTCCGGGAAGGCGCTGCAGACTTAAGAATAGTATGGAGTTGTGTCCTCGGCTGCCCCGGTGAGGATTTGGGCACCCTGAAACCTAAACCCTATCCCTAAACCCTAAACCCTGAACCCTAAACCCTAAACCCTTAACCCTAAACCCGTGTTTTGGAGTGTACCAAGCATAACTTTAGCGCCCACCCATCAACATCAGCTATCCAGACGCTGAACCCACAGCTTGATGAACCAATCCCAGCAGCATGTATACTACTGGTCAGAGCACACGGTACCTCCAGGGGGAAGTACGCATGATCCGCCGTTCCATCAATCAAGCGACTGTGAACTTCTGACACTGGTGTCCCAAAAACGACGACTACAACAGTCCCCGTATACTGCCCGTTCCTTAATAGGGATCGTAATAGGGGGTACGATAATCCCTACTAAGGACGGATAGTATAAGGGGAACATCCAAGTACTACAACCAAGGCTGCTTGCTGAACAGCTTTACTTTGACTTCCACGAGCTGGCGGCCTTGAGTCAAGCCGGGAGCAGCGTGGTTCTGCATGGCATAACCCCCGCTTGGGCCCCCTGTATCCAGGCAATGGCAGCGGGGATATCAACACGCCTCGATTACAAAACCTAGTTGCGGGCGTCCCAGGAGTGAGATAGAAGACAACGTCCCAAGCTGGAGAGAGAGGCACGAGCCAGGGAATCTTGAACAAAAGATGAGCCCCAACCCCGGAAGAACACCAAAGATTCTCTGCAGCTCTGACAGAACTCGGCCCCAAGTTCCCAAAACCCTGAAGCCTTCCTCGAAACCAAGAGATGCTGAGGCGGGGACACCTCAAGCTGCACCTCAGGTTAAGGATACAGGGCTTTAGGGCCTTATCAGGATTATTTGCTCGTGTTTCCCGCCCTGATACATGCAGCTTCCAGTCTGCACGCTCTCCCTCGACCACTCACATTCTTGGGCACTCGCTCGATGTCCGCACCACGCTCCCCGTACTGAGTGCGCTCGCCCTGCCAGCATGCTTGCTGGGAGGAAATGCGTAAGTTGCAGATTCAACCATGTGGTACGCATCGCGGCAATACCTACCAAAATCTGCCAATGCTTACCCATACCTACCAATACCCCAAATCAAAATGCCTCTAGTGTGTGAATGGCTTGCGATACCCCCGACCTGGGAGATCGGGTCGAAGCTCATAACAACAAAGCCTGGTCATGGTGGGCACTACTGGTGCAGAACAACTTTGCCGACTTTGACCAGAATAAAGAGTCTCAGTGCCAGCGGGGCCTCGTTGAGCCAGTCCAAGGGACAAGCGCTGCCTGGCAAGCGACATCAAAGGTCCAGATCACGTTCACCCCATCCAAAATCCTGGCCTTTAGAGCAGCCAGCCAGTGCCGCACGGCACTCATGACATGGGGTTGGTTGTGCTCTGCTCGGCTCTCAAAGTTGCCCATTCTTCGGGGTCCCTAAGCTCCGTCGGAGCGATTCGACTCGCTCAACAAGCTCAGCATGACGTTTGAGGGTTTAGGGTTTAGGGTTTAGGGTTTAGGGATTAAAGTTTGCCGGCAGGACTCCTCTGGCTCCTGGCACTCTTGGCATGCAGCATGCAAGATGCACGCAAGGCCTCCCCTTTAAGCTGATAGCGTGCTGGCCGCATGGAGAGATTAGGGTTTAGGGTTTTTTTTTTTAACAACCCTTCACTCCTTTTCGGGCGAGCTTACAGCTAGGGTAGGTTACGAAACCGGTTTAGGGTTTAGGGTTTAGGGTTTAGGGTTTAGGGTTTAGGGTTTAGGGTTTAGGGAGATGTACAGCGCTGGGATGCAGGTCATTCACACATGGTGCCCATGGGTCTGTCCCGCAGGCCACGAGCATAATGCCCAGGCAAATGTAGAACCTTAGTCCCCGAGCCAACGGCGCATCAGCCGCCGCAAGAAGAAGAACATCAACACAAATGGTATAGCTCGAACATATGCGAAGAGCATTGCAGCCGACTGTGGGACGTGGCTCTCACTCACATGCTGTCGTGGTCTTGGCTGCGAACCGCTGGTAGCTGAGCCGAGCCTAAGCTACAGTGATAGATGCCGGCCTTTCAAACTTCTGCTTCTCCCACTCATCTCTTCCGTCGGTGCTGGCGGCTGCGCTTCTGCTGGTCCTCCTGCTCCCACTGTACTCTAGGGCTTGGTGCCACCAAGATACTGTTTTCCAAGCCCATGGGCATGAAGATCACGGCAGGCACTGCCTGTTGCCAGAGTGCAGCTGGCACGGTGCAGTTCTCTTGCTTGAGACTTGTTGATGCTATTAGGCTATAAGTGTATGAGAGATGCTTTACTAAGCGCAGGGGCTGCGGCGGCTACTGGATGCAGAGCTTCATCAGTCCAGGCCGAGCAGGATACAGAGGAGAGCACCCGCAAACAACTTGCTCGCCTGCCCTTGCCAAGCTTCAAAAAGCAGCATCAGCACCGTCACGCCTCTTGGCTCGTCCTGATCAAGGGCTACACTTCGTCACCCTGCGGCCTCTCTTTAAGTCCTAATTACCTGACTTGTACTGGAGCAGAAAAGGGCCCAACCCTGGGCAAGGGATGCCGCGCCTTCAAGCGTCGCACCTGAGCTGAAAGGCATCCCCAAGACGTCACTACTTGGCTTTCACTCTACCGCATCCCAGTCCCAGTCCCAGGGTCCCAGAGCAAACATCTTGCAAGTGCTGGTTCTGTTCAGAGAACTCGTTTTCCTCGTTGCTCCAGCCAGAAAGCCAGAGCCTCTGAAATTCGACACTCCGGTCAGAACCATAAGCCACAATATTGGGGCGACACGCTGTGCCTGAGGCTGCATGTTCATAAACCCGGCTCATCTTCTGGCGGCGAGTGCCAGGCCCCCCACCAGCCGCACATTGGGGGACTTCTGCGGGTCGCCAGCACCAAGCATACGGCGAAGGATGCGCCTTACCTGCACAGGCAAACAAAAAACTCCTAAGGCTCTCGCTCATGTCAGATACCTTTAAGGGGGTTCACAGCCCCAGCTCAAAGCCCCTTCAATAAGATAAGAACTCGAAAAATCTTCGCATTGCATAATGGCCCTGCTCTTGAACTGCTTATATCTGAAGGTAGGTCTGCTTCCCCGGGTGAGGTGCGCTTCCCTCCATTTTTTCCCCAAAACCCCTAAAGTCTAATCATACCTGGGCCCTAACAAACCTAATTACCCCCCCCCCAAGGTCAAATAAACCGAACCCTTAAAACCCAAGATTACTCTACCAACCCAAATAACCCTGCGCCACTCCTGCATCTGCTTCGCTAGCATGGCGGAGGCATTTTGCAGAGCATCGAGCTTCGCCGCACGGCGCTGAAGAGATTGATCCTGGCTCAGTCACGTAGGCCTTCTCGGCCACTTAGGGTTTAGGGTTTAGGGTTTGGGGTTTAGGGTTTAGGGTTTAGGGTTTATAAAGTACAGGCTCTAAGGGCTTTGAGGATTAAGGCATCAGGCATGCGGCGTGAGGGTCTCTGCTCATTCTTGACAATGGCTGGTCACAATAAGCCGGGCAAGCAATCTCTCGGGCCTGAGGACTGCAGGGCACGGCAACATGTTCACAACATCAACTCACGCTGCTGACGGAACCAGGCTTGTGCTGATGCCTGCCTCTCAGGCCTGCACCCACATCCGATGCAGCATCATTCCTGGCCTTGTGGGAGCTTTCGCGAGCGCGGCAACGCGACCTCCTGGTACTGGGGAAGGCCTGGAGCCTGAGACCCACGCGTCATGATGCCCTTCTCGAAGCAGTCGTCCAGTGATTCGCATGACACCTGCAGCATTCGCATCTGCAGTGTTTAGCCGACATGCCGAACCCCTCACCCATTCAGAAGCGAGGCCTTCCGAAATCGGGCGTCGGACCGACGAAAATGAAAGGAGCGCACCAAAGATCGGCTGGCCTCTCGCACTTCGCCATCGACCAGGTCGTGGCGGTAGATCCTGCCAGTCGTGTTCACAGCTGTTCAGGGCTGCTTAGGGGGTCTCTGAGCAGATATGAATAGTAAGGTAAGTAGCTGCGGATACTCGAGACAGGAGATCAGCGGCTTGCATTGGGCGGAAGGTCTCAGTCCCGGCAGCGGCCAACCGCAACGCCAGGCAGCACGCCAGTCGCAGCATCACTCTGGCGTGGCACTCTCATTTGAGATGTGCGGGCTGAAGCCTTCATGTCCAAGCCGCAGCCCCCACGAGACTGCAGAAGAGCGTGCGAAGCATATTGACAATCGCGCGACAAGCTACAGAGGGCTACCGCCCGGCTGAGCACTGTTGCACTTTGCATGCTCCATCCATGATGTCTAGGCGTGACAGTGTAGGGAAACGACCTGATGTTCTGAGCCATGCGGGCAGAATCACAGGTTGTTGTTGTTGTGCTTGTTTCGGACTTCGGCACACGAATTGTCACAATCCCCTCTGTGAGTCAGCAGTCAAAGCTGCAGCTAACCCCTTTGTTTTTCCGCATTTGCCAGATCCCGCTCTGGGACCTGTCTCGACTCACTGAAATCCGCCTGCCTGGCATGCGGCAAGTCCAGGTCAACATTTGGAGACTGAGCACACGAGCACACGAACCATGCAGGCGCCGACCCATCGGCTTGCAAAGAAATACGGAATGCTGCCCAGTGGCATCTGAGAGATCGTTGTATCAGAAACCATTCAATACCACCCGTCCCTTCCCCCTCCCGCTCCCCCGGCTACCCCCCACCCCCCCCCCCCCCAACCCCGGCCTCAAAAAAAAACCCAAAAGAGGACCCCAACTTGAGCGACATCTGCACAGCTGGGGAGCCTGTTCACCTCCGGAGTTCGGCTTGGTGAGAACGAACGTGACCGACTGCTTGCGAAAATCCTCGAAGGTGAGCTCCTGACAGGAGTTTAGGGTTCAGGGTTTAGGGTTGAAGCTTGGGCGTATAGTGCTTCAAAGGCTTCGAGTTTTGGGGTGGCTGGCCATCTGATCGCCCCTCTTGCAATCTCTCTTCAGAGGCCTTTTGTGCCCCCCAACTTTCGGGAGATTCAGGGGAGTTTTGACGGTCGGGCGCCTTTGCAGCGAGCTCCTGCAAGCCGGGTGTCTGCGCAAGCACCTTGGCACTCGGAAGTTTGGGTTTGAGGATGGCTCAGGCGTCTTAAGGTTTATAGGGGTTTAGGGGGAGTATGCTGAAACCCTCACTCTCAAAGGATACTGGGAAAAGCCACTGGGTGCTCCGGGCAGGAGTCCTGAAGACCCCGATCCCAGATCTCGAGGGCAAGGCTTCTCTGTAGTGGCGCCCCAATGCCATCACTTTCTTCTCATCCTGCGGCCGCTCTCAGGCTGTCACAAGTGCAACACAGCCTACAGCGGTGGTGGTGTTACTCTAAGGCACAGAAGACCGCATGGAGCCTTCGACGCGGAAAGCCACAAGGCAATCTTGCTAGCGCGGCTCCTGCTCAACAGCGGCGCTCCCACATGCTCCCGCAAGATTTGAAGGAGGCTGGAAGCTTCGGACAAGCTCAGCGGGTCCGGACGGAGACGATGGCGCCACACACGAGGTCGCCCCCATGTTCCAGGAAGTCCTCACACACCGCGCAAGGCTCAAAGGGGGGTCATTCTGGGGGTAGTAGAGGGAATGCTATTCGCAAGCAGTCTCTGAGCACCCTACCTCACCGATGAGAGCGAGGCTAAGAGAGAGCCACAGGTCGTCCAAGCTCTGCGCCTCAAAAGCAGAGCTGGCTTGGAGTTGTAGAATTTAGGGTTTCGGGTTTAAAGCCTAAGGCATACGGGCCTTCACCTTCTCCAGTTTGATCACCCAGCGCCCACCGTTCTTGAAGGCGGCATCCTCACACAGCCGACTGCTGACTCTGAGTAGGGGGTCTGGTGCTTGGCCGCGGCTGACCTTGCAGCCACCAACCCCAGGAAGTGCCCAAAGCAAAGATGTCTTTCAACTTTCGGAAGCTTTGTTGCACTTACATGACATGCTAAGCCGGCCCGCTGCTGCATCCACGTTGGGGGAGGGGGTGATCTGACTTTGGCCCCTTTTTTCCTCATAGTCCTCATACAGTGAAGGGTACCAAGAAAAGGCATCTCAGCTCAACCGTTGATAAACCCCATTTTTGGCTCAAAAAAGCGCTGTGCCTCCCAAGCTGGTGTAACACCTGAAGCGAGCAGCAGACAATCTGTCCCGCTTGGCGAACATGTGTGCCAGCGCGCCAGAGAACAGCCGCTGGCCTGACTTGAAGAGCGAGTAGTCCACGTTCTCTAACTTTGACGGCGGGTAGGAAAAGTGAAACATACACCAGAAGTCCTGCCAAGGGCAAGTCGGACGCGAGCATCTGGAACACAGTGTCTGCAAGGCTCCTCAACCGTCGAGAAGGAGTGGACTTCCCGCTGGCTATCGCCCCAGGCTTGGCCCTGGGAACTTTCAAACGGCGCGCAAGTGTTCGAAGCTGAGCTGCGGGATGCTTCCGGCCTTCTGCGCCCCTGGCCGCTGATGTACCCAGAGGCACCTGCCATGTTGCAAGGCTTCACAGAGCAAGTGACTATTATCATTATTATTTCTAATATTATTATTATTACTATTACTATTATTATTACTAGTATTATTAGTATTATTATTTATTAGTATACTTCTTCTTATGATTGTTCTTATTCTTATATGTTTTATTACACATAGGTTACACGGGGCCAGGACTCAAAAGCGTGCCGAGGCTGGCCATTTGTGTTGCAACTCGTGTTTGGGAGCCGGCGCTTGACCATCTTCCTCCTTCTGATCATCACAAGGATGCGCGACGTATGTGTAATAACAGTAGCAATGATAATCATAATAATAATAATGACATTAACAATGATAATAATAGTAATCATCATAAATACTAAACAATAACGAATCATCATAATAATAATAATCATACTAATAAGTAGATCAGTACGAGGAGAAGCAGAGGCCTTGGCCTCCGCTGCCGGCTCAGAGCCGCTCGCCATCTGAGCCTGGGCTCGACACCCAGGGGAGGGTTTAGGGTTTAGGGTTTAGGCTATTTAGGGTTTAAGGTTATTTGGGGTTAGGGTTTAGGGTTGAAGGTTCTGGGCATTAGGGTTTGAATTGGGGTCTCGGGCTTAGGGTTTGACATGTCGGGTTTGAGGCTCGAGGTTTGGCAGCCTGCATGCGGCCCTGGGGGTTGCCACGTGCTGACGACAGGCCGGGCTTCGAACTGTGCGAAGTGCACCAGCATGTATACATACTTTCTTGGAGGTTCGTGGGTAGCTCTGAGTAGGGTCATCAGTAATCTAAATAGGGCTATACAGTGTAGCTGCCATTATACTAACCATACTCATGTCCTACCCATGAACCTCCAAGTTTCTGCAAGCTCAAACACGACGAACTGCGTCGCTTCTGCTCCAAGGAGCAGGGGTGGCACGATAAAGCCACGGGCCCTCAGCGTAAGCCTAGCTACGCTTTGAGCCACATGGACCAGACATCCATTCGGGCTGCCTGCCAAAAATCCTCTTAACGCGCTACGGACTCAGAAATACAGCCTGATACAGCAAAATCTTCAACTTGAACTTGTGGACCACAGATACCAGTCGCTTTTTTGGCACGTTGCGCTTGTGGCCACAAAGGCCGAGTTGGGCAGGAAGAGGGGCTTCAGGCTCTGCAACTTCCGCTTTGACGACATGTTCGATAACTTTCGATAAGTGTTGGGCTATTGGATCATAGTTGGGCCCCTTTTCCCTCAACAGGCGGCAGTGAGCGTTAACATGATGGCACTGCATCAGGGCCGAAACAGCCCTTCTCCACGGAGCAGGCCAATCGCACCAGTTGAGCACCCAGCTCAATCCTTCTCAAGAGGATCCTCAGCACACGGCACCAGCAAGACATATGTGGCTTGCATGCCAGGGGGGAGCCAGTATCCATGGACTGGCTAGCCTTGCATACCTCAATGATGCACGCATGACCTGAGTGTCCCACATTGATGTGCCTCAGCCGACCACATGCGAGACATGCGAGATGACTCAGGAGAGCATCTTTACGGGCACGAACATGAGAGCGTTGGGAGTTGAGAGTTACGGCTCAGAGGTATGGGCGAAGATGCTTAGTCCACTGGGTACCACCACCTTTCATGAGAGTGCTCACAAGCTATGTTGGCAAAGGATGTCACTACCGCACCCTCACACTGCCAAACCAAAACGCTGATGCTCCCCCACTTGCTTGCAAGAGACTTCTGCCGCCGATGGCGCTGGCTCTTGAGCCGATCGGCCATTGTCATCTGCAGCACCAGGACATACGTGCACACGCACAGGTGATGATTTCACAGGGACCACTCGAGGCTTCACTCTAACTCAGGGTCCCTCGTGAGGGTCCCCTTGCATTCAGGGATTCCAATAACAAAACAATAATAGAAATAATAATAGCAATCATCATCACCATAGTAACAATAATAATAAGAATAAGAATAATAATAGTAATAATAATAGTGATAAGAGTAGTAATGGATAATCATTAAAAAAAAATAGCAGCAACAGCAGGGTTCCCTTCAGGGCAGCGCCCCCCCCCCCCCCCCCCACACCTCCGCATCTCCGGCGTAGGCGTCCTTGCGCAGCTCGCGGAAGTACTTCCTGAGAGCACCGCAACGAACCCTGCGGCTGACATTTCTTTTAAACAGCATTATGTTTTCTTATTGCTATGTTTCTTCTTGTTACTGCTATTATTTGTTATTGTTATTGTTGTTGTTAGTGCTGTTATTGTTGCTATTGTGTATTCTTGCTCACCGCAAGCAGGGCCGCAAATGCTGCGACCAGCTGTGGGGTCAAGGTGCTGATCGGACTTGTCGCGCATCTTGGCTTCCAATTCCTCGGGCCAAGGATTTCGGGCGACAGTTGAAGTAAGGTCGGAAAAAGTTTCCGAAACTCGACGGAGGCAGATTTCCCTCGCTGACGCGCCCTGTCCTCAATTTGCTTCTCCCGTTCTTCGGTGCTGGCAATACGCTGATCCTTCATCCTGGCGCTTCGCGGATGGGAGGAAAAGACTGCCACCGACAACGCTCTCAACGCGGCCAAAGTGGCTTCTCGTGCTTCTTGGCATCCACCTTCGGGAGCGAATGAACCGATGGAACCCCGTTAAGCCCGCGAAACTCCAATCCCTAAGTCCGAGACCCCAATTCTCCCGAAAAGCCCTAATCCCCCCCCCCCCCAAGGTAAAAGCCCCAAGCCCCCTAAGGCCCTAAACCCTAGACCCTAAACCCCAAACCCTACATCCCCTCTCACACTGGCTGGGCACCCTCATCTGCTCCACACGGCGCTCTTTCTCTTCCTCAGTGAGCCGCCTCCAGGATTTACGGTAGTTAGGATAGGTGTGGGGTGGTTCTGAGCTTAGGGTTTGGAGGGTTGAGGGGGTAGGGTTGAGTAGGGTTGAGTAGGGTTGAGTTGGGGTGAGGGCTTAGGGTTTATGGTCAAGCTAGCGTTTGGGGTCGTTCCGGCTTCGGGCTCCGAGGTCTCGACCCCCGCCCCTATGGCATCCTGCCCCTGAACCCAACCCTAATCCCTGGCCCTGAACCCAAACCCAGCAGGAACCACAGGGGGGAAGAGCCCCTAAAATCTGAACCTAAAGCAGAGCGAAAGCCCTAACCCTAAGCCCAACCATTAACCCTAAAGCCACCATGACCCCACAGGGAGAGACAGAGAGAGAGAGAGAGAGAGAAAGAGAGAGAGAAAGAGAGAGAGAGAGAGAGAGATAGAGAGAGAGAAAGAGAGAGAGAAAGAGAAAGAGAGAGAGAGAGAGAGAGAAAGAGAGAGAGAAAGAGAGAGAGAAAGATAGAGAGAAAGAAGAAAAGAGAGAAACGAGCGAGAGAGAGTCAGAGAGAGAAAAAAGACAGAGAGAGAGATAGAGAGAGCGAAAAGAGAGAACAAACCGAGAAAGAGAAAAAGGCATAGATTGTGCATTGCACTGGGGGGCTCATTCCCAACGGGCCTCCCGATACCCCGGCTTGCCAGAGCGGCTTCTTTCTGCTGCTGCACGCGCTGCTCCTGAAGAGCAGGAAGAACAGTACAATAATGACAAAATATTATTAATAATAAGAAGAATACTGGCAATAAGGTACCCAAAACCGCATGCACCGGGTTCTTTGCATGCCGAGGTGTGAGGTCCCCACGAGCTGTGGTACTGCAGAGAAACTTGGGCTCGGGCGTGCTCCATCCGCTTGCTCAGCACGACATTGCTCGGGCCCAGAGCGGAAAGGTCGGGCCTTGGCGACTCGAACTTTACAAATTCGATGCCCGAGCAAAAGAGAGTGTCGCAAATGAAACTGACAAGGAAGCCACTACGCCCTGGCGCTGTGAACGCCCTCTTCCTGAAGGCGAACGCCGGCGAACACCGCAAGACCAACGCCGTCACAGCTTTCCACTCGACAGGGTCTCGACGAGCTAGGAGAGCTCCCCAATAGAAAAAAACTCACCGGCGCAGCCCCGAAATGTAGGGGATAGGATTAGGGGGACGCTTGGGGATATAGGCCCTCTCTCAATAAGGTCCCTTTTTTAGAGAGCCCGAAGAGCGGTAAGAAGGGCTCCGTTTAAGGGTCCCCCTTATCCTACCTGGGAAAATGCCGAGGGCCGTGCTCCTCTTCTCTTGGCCGTTTTTGTCGCGCCTCGGGCTGCAGGTTTTGAGCCTGGACTCTACAACCTATACACCCTGAAACCTAAACCCCAAACCCAAACAACAAAACAACAAACCCAAGCCCGAACCGAGAAACCCCTAAGCCATGAAAACCCGCACCCTCAACCCCAAACCCCAGCCCCAAACCCTACTTCGGTCCATCTGCTGGGGGTTGTCCTAGATCACGGCCCCTTTTCAAGCCCCCTCAAAGGCCCTGCTAGACCCGAACCCTAAACCCCAAATATAGCCTTCGAAACCTGAACCCTACTACACCCTACCCTAAGCCCCCCAACAGAGCCTGAAAATCCAAAAAACAACCCTCATTCCAGCTAAACCGGTGGGCCTACTAAACCCTACCCTAAACCCGCCTAAACCCCCCAACAGAGCCTGAAACCCCCCCCCCCCCCCCCCCCCCCCCCCCCATAAAAAAGCCCTCATTCCAACGAAGCCCCCCCGGGCCTGAGCTTGAGCCGCCTCTGGCTCCGAGGAGTCGCTGGAGTCTTTGGCCTTCTTGGCCTCGGGTTTGGGGGTTTGGGGCTTAGGGTTTCGAGGGTTGAGGGCTTAGGGTTTAGGGTTTAGGGTTTAGGGTTTAGGGTTTAGGGTTTAGGGTTTAGGGTTTAGGGTTTAGGGTTTAGGGCTGGGAAGGGTTTTAAGGCTTAGGGTTTCTGGGGGTTAAAGGGCTTGGGGTTTGTGGGGGTTTGGGGCTTCAAGAGGTTTAGGGTGTAAAAGGTTTAGGGTTTTGAATGGGTTTAGAGGGTCAAAATCGGGCTTGGGTTTACAGGGCTTAGGGTTTAGAGGGGTTAGGGTTTCTAGGGCTTAGGGTTCAAGTAAAGGACTAGGGTTTTATAGGGTTTAGGGTTTATGGGGTTTAGGGTTTAGGGTTTAGGGCCTTTGCCCCCTTTAAGTGTGCAAGGCTTGGCCGCTTTTAAGGGCCTGGGGTTTGAAAGGGTTTTGCGGGGTTGTGTGGTGTAATTGGGGTTGTTCGGTTTTCGGGTTGAAGGAGCTTTCGGTTTCAAGAAACGGGTTTTCGGAGCCTCTCTCGACTTGAAGTACAGGAAGGCACCCTTCTGAGGGGCTAAAGCCACTGATGAAAGCAAGGTGACCAAGCAAATCAATCATACATGCACGGACCGACCGAAAGCTGTCTCCGTGCCGCTCCAGGAGCTGCTTTGGCCGCTTTCTTCAAGGCCTTCGCACTGCCCACATCTGCCAAAACATCTGCCAAAACATCTGCCCAAACCTCTGCCCACATCAGCCATTCCTGCCTTCTCCTCTTTTTTGGCTGCCTTCTTTTCTTTCTTCGCGGCCTTCCTTGGTGCGTCCAGTTCACTCTGCACGCCTCAACACACACAGAGACACAGACGCAGGGACACACCCCAAGTCAAGCGTGGCAATGTCGAGGGTCTTTGCATCCTTCTCCTGCTTCTTTTGGATCTTCGCCCTGATGAGCGGATTCGCCATCCTTGGCTTAACTTTGGGGCCCTAAATTGCCTGGCACAACAGAGTGCGATAGATGGCGGGAGGACCCGTCGCTGAGAGGCGCGCATGCTTTCTCGGGCTGCATGCTCTTGCCGCCGAATTTGAAACAACGGGTCTTCTCGGAGCTTGCGCACCATGTCCTCTGAGGGCACAGGTTATCTGAGTCCAGCAGCTCTTCAACAACGGCTTCCTCTCCTCAGTCGTCTTGGTCGCACTGCCCAGGAACAGCGACCCGGCTGTCGCGCTCCTCCACACCGAGGCAGCCGGTCAACCAACCCTACTTGGTCCACTATTTCCACCTCAACTGCACGTCGCAGGTCCGAACTCAGAAGTGTTGGAAGGCCAAGGAAGATCCCTATATCCCACACTCTGACCCTCAGCGACTGTGGTTTCCAAGGCGGTGGTGTGGCCGAGGCACTGCAGGTTTTTCACGTCTTCGATGTCCTTGTCCTGTACAGTAGCTGCTGCAAAGCGCTATACAGCCAGTTGGAACCTTTGAGACTGAAACTGCAGGGGTGCATCTGCCTGAAGGAACGGACTCATGCATGCCACCGGACGCAAGCAAACTAATTACTCCCCAATGCTCATTCCTTCTGCGCGCTGATGGGCATGTTCATCAACGTGTCTTCATCAGGCTTGACGGACGACGCGCTCTGTTCGTACATCCAGTCCAGCCTGTGCGTTTGTGGGAAAGCCAGAACAACGCGAGACAACGGCATGATCCGGATCCGAATCCGAGCCTCTCGGCCGATTGCTTGACGGTGGTCGCCATGGCTGCAAAGTTTTTCTGCCTCCGTCGAGGCAAGATGGACTCGGAATGTAAAGGCAAAGCGAGCAAGGGCCTGCAATCTGCTGCCGTGAGAAGGGTTGCTTGATGTGTTCGTGGATGTTTGGCTAAAAAGATCCTGTATTGTCCGTAAGGACCTACAGGCCATGAATGCCATGAGGTGCTACGCCAGATTAGATGGGTCTGCTCATGCGCTATCCCATCCCGACCATGTGGCCAACATCCTGTATCATGAACTGTCATCTGCTCCGAGCCGCATCAGAGCAGATCAATGCAAGGCTGCGTGCTCAGAACACCCCTCGAGATGGAATCCCTGAAGTACTGTAGCAGATCACACCATTTTGCTCGCAATTTGAGATCGGGAGCCTTCGGAGCATAAGCTCAAAATCAGCTGCAGATCATCCGGCTCTCTTGGAGAGCGGGGTCTTGATAGCTGGGCCATTAACCTTCGGAGCGAATCATGAGCGCAACTCATAATTACAAGCCGGCGCGATGCCGAGGCTGAAGCGCCCAGGATCATAAGTCAAACATTCCCCAGAAATTTGGCGCCCCACTAGAACGACCAGAACTGCCGATATCTTGGGGCTCACAATGGTATTTCCCAAAATAGGGGTACCCCTATTCTTCCCCAAGTAGAATCGTATCCACTTAAAGGGACCCCCACAAAGGGCACCCCCATTTTCGGAAACCCCCCTGACAAGTTTCGACTACCAACGTCCAACAGACCTGGGCGCCCATCCTCTGACTCTGCACATGCTCGGAAGCGAGACATCAGTGGGCTTGGATGCTGGCCATGCACCTCGTTGACTTCTTGCTGCTGCTGACGATTCTCAGAATTAGTGAAGAAATTGAAAAGAAGAAGGACAATCACAACAAACTATAAAGATAGATCTGAAAAGGGCTTCAAGAAAATGACAATGAGAAAAGCTTCAGATGAGAAACTTTATGTACTTCTGTATGCCAAGATTTGGCGTAAGGTTTTTGTACTCGTGCTGAGCCAGGTCTGAATTTCCATCGCCTTGCGCACGACGAGTCGGGGAGGTGACTTTCAACCAGCTTGCCCACAGCCGCCGGGCCGAATTGGAAGCTGTGAGCCCTCAACCTCTCAGTGTTTTTATGAACACAAGATATGTGTGTATATATATATATATATCTGCGTGTATGTATCTATGTATATGTGTATGTGTATATACATATATGTATATTGTGCAAACACACATTTCGATTGCAAGCTGCGCGCTGCATGCCACGATGCAACACGCTCAGCGGTCTTCGCCTGAGGACGGCTCCTACTTCCAAGGATGGCGACGTTGAGAGTTGTTAAAAGTCTCCAAAAATGGTAGCAGCTGGAACTCTTGGGCTCTGAGTCGGTACGTCTCTTGCTTCACTGATATACGACTCCGCATGAATGTGTCTTATAAGCTCATAGAGAAGCTACTCCCAGGAATGAGATCCAGCCGGCCGAGAAGCACTAACATGAGCAAAGGGCTCCTCAAAGGTACACAATGTACACAAATCAAACCATGGCCCCTGGTAAGGGACGTTTTTTCCAAATCTGGGTTGAGACATCCGACACATCCGACAAGCTGCTCGGTGGTGGCTTCCATATAAAAGCCGGAGCAGGAAACCAAGGCACGAAAAGTGCACTAAACCTGCAGCCATACGATCTACGCTGCTATGTGCAGACTCTCTCCACAGCTCTCGCTTCACCGAACCCATCTTTGTTCAACCTAACCCTACCTGGAGGCTCAGGAACCGTGGCTGTGGAGGCAGAGCGACAAAGCTTGGCATCAATGCGGAAGGTCGAGAAACCACTGATGCGACTGCAAAAAGCCAGTCCAGAACACCAAAACCGTCATCGAAAAGACTTCACCCCAGATCTGCCAGACTGCCGTATTCTAAACCTGTCTAAACCTGGAACTAGACCTGACCGAAGAGGCTGCTCGGCTAAGAACTAGACCTGACCGAAGAGGCTGCTCAGCTAACCGTGCAGCACATGTCCTTGCCACGTCGATGCCTGAAAGCCAAGCCAAGTGCACAGCCACAAGTCGTGCAGCATTTACTTTAGATGCGAACACGCTGGAGCCGACCTTCAACGGCCACCTACCACAGGCCTGCGCAGCCAAGCGTTCTCGACAGCATCCGTGGCAGAGGGTCTCCCAGCATCCTCTCGGCAGCAAAGCTCAACACGAACCGGGCTTGGCACAGCCTATGCGTTGTTGCCCAGCCCCGCAGCACACGACGCCATGGTGAACTCACAAAGCCGCCTCGCGCAGCGTGAGCTGGTGGAAGAGATCCTGCGCACCCTGACAGGCCAAACTGGAGGCTAAAGGTCAATTGAGAGACCGTGAAAGCACGTGCTGGATGCACTGAGTCCAAGAGTCCAAGCAGATGCCACTCTCGTGCGGAAGTGGGTGGTGCCAGCATCGATTCACAACAAGCTATGGCCCCCCTCTGGGCATTTGCTTATGAAAGGCTTAGGGCATCTGCTAACACTACCACAGCGGCAGGCCTCACCATGGCTGTTCCTCGTTTCCGCTTCTGCAGAATTTAAGACTCCACACGACTGCAATTCTCTCTGAAGCTCTCTCTGATCTCAGCCAAGCGGCCAGTGTCGGTTGCGAAGCTCGGGTTCTCAGAGCCAGGTGTTGATAGCACCACAGAGCATGGAACAGCCTAGCCTCCGCTTACTCCGCTTTACGATTCCTTTGCCGGGCCACTTTGCTGCAGGATCATTCTCTCAATCACCGGCTCCTCCTGCGCTTGCCACAGGGCCTCCCCCGTGACCAAGTCCTGCCAGATCATGGGGTTTTGGGGTTGAGCTTTATGCCTTGAGTTCAGGGCGTAGAACTTCATTTCAGCACCTACGAAATCCTACGAATAGCTCCCAAACACTAAGCCCTAATCCGTAAACTCCGAGTCCTGGAACGTCACGCCGATGCTCCAAACGTCACAGCGTTCCTCCGCCCAACCCAGCTGACTTCTACTGGCGTCCAGCTGCCACAAGAGAAGGTTTAGGATATGGGGTTTGGAGTTTACGACTTACTTAGGGTATATTTGATATGAATAGTCTGCAGGTCCACGGTCACCCCTCCAAATATGCAAAAATGAAGGCTCCTTAGCCAACTAGTTCATAGTTCATATAGTTCATAGTTCATAGTTCATAGTTCTCAAAGTTCATAGTTCATAGGAAATAATTGAATAGGTAATAGGTAATAGGTAATAGGTAATAGGTAATAGGTAATAGGTAATAGGTAATAGGTAATAGTTAACAGTTAACAGTTAACAGTTAACAGTTAACAGTTAACAGTTAATAGTTAATAGTAAATAGTCTATAGTTAATAGTTCATAAATAGTCCCAGTAAACAGTACTAGAAAGTAGAAAATCGTCATAGAACTAGTACTAGTACTAGTAATGGTCATAGCAAAAGTAATAGTAGCAACAGAAATACAATATATGCATATGCATATGCATAGAATGTATATTAAAAGGTGTTTCCGAAAGTTGCAAGCTGCACACGGGTGTCAGGACTTCTCAAAGCCAAGCTTCCGTGTAAGATCTCTGTATCACTTCAGGCGCCAGGTACATCAAGGAACCGCATCGAGAGGACAGCCGCTGCCCCTTGCGGAAGTTGCACGCAAGATTGAAGTCTGCGAGCTTCCTTGGGGTGGTGCACTCGCTGGTTTCTGACACAGGCCGCCCCGTTTCATACTGCTGCTAAATGCACACAACACATCACACAGAGGCACCGCGATCAACGCGCGATTTTGCCTGCGTGGGATGCAAGCGCCCAACAGTCTGGGACTGATGCAGCCTGGAGGCAAGGTAGCAGGAGCTGATGGATCCTCGAGGAGAAGGTTCCCTGGCTTAATGTCGCGGTGCACAATCCTGGGACGTGGACCAAGGCCCTGCTAGGATCTGTCACACATTGCAACACTGAGGCACTGAAGAGATCATGGGCCCTTTCAGCCTACCCTGCATGCCAAGTCGAAACCACTGCGTTGCCACATGTTGAATGCAAATGAATGCATCCAGTTTGCTTGTGGTGGTGGAGATAGGCCACGGCCGTCAGCATCTGCCACACGAAGGTGGCCACCTGCCCAGCACACAGCAACTTTATCAGGCAAGGGCTGACCGTTAGCCTCTGGGTGCGTCGCTGGTTGCAAACAGACAGGGGGCAACCTCCGGCTTCTTTTTTTTGGGCGGAAGCCTCAACGTCAAGCCATCCCAAGGCCCTAAGAGGCCTGTCTGGTGCCTCCAAGGTACCCACTAGTGTTGCCCCAGTTAGGTTTCTTGGGGGCTTCTAGGCTGCCGCTACTCACGACCCTTCCTCCCAGAATCAGCGAACTGGCGGCGCACCACTATCACAAGCAGACCACCCGAAGCATCATGAAGGGGTTCAACACCGTCGCAGAGAAGCTTCAGGCACCCGCAGAAATCCCGCAGGCACTAACTAGCGACTCCTTCAAAACCATTCTTGAACCATTACACACCATTACAGGCTACTCGGAGTTATAAGTAGATTCAAAAGCACTCAGTCGCCCCAATTATAACCAAACTCACTACTGGAACGACCCACGAACCTCCAAGTATCCCGCTTGAGCCACAGAACAGCACCGGCCTCAGCGCGGTGCGGCGTGCGATACTGGCCCGGATGCTTGTCCTCCACAGAATTTGACTCCCAACATGCGAGGCCCCGAAGGTTCATGGGTACTTACAAGTTGGGTTGGAAGGACCCGAAGTAAGGCCCTAACCATACTTACCCTACTCATATTCCTACTTCCAAGCGCAAGTGGGTACCTTCGCAAGTTCGGGGTCTCATGCGGAACGTACCCAAAAAGGCGGCCGGACAAAAGCCCATGGCCCATATGGTTATGCCACCATCTGTGAATAATTCTATCTGATGTGGCGGCTGCTTGGCGAAGCGCACAGTTACGAATTAGAATTGCACCCTACAAGGAGATACTACTCTTGAGCCAGAAAGACAGGAACCCTACATCGTCTCCTTTGCTGTAGTGCTGCCATGATCACGATGCTTTGAAGGCCGAAGCTGAAAGCTGGTACTACCAGTAGAGTATATACAACCCAGCGGGCCCGGTAGTCCGCAATACGTCTAGTCTGCAATGCGTTGGCGTTCTGTCCCCAGTTTAAGGACTCCAGTCTTCATAGTCAGGCAAGGAAAGTGACGCTGCAACGAGTTCAATACGAACTGGGTTTCTTGGGATGCTTCACTGATACATATGATTCCACATGCACGTACATACGAATGCTGCCCCCGTTCCATTGAGGATGGTTGATCGTTTCTGAAACGATGCTCAAACATTCCCTAAGTCGGGGTTTGACTCGGTCTGAATGCGAGTTTTGGATCGCGATGGGTTTTTGAATCGGGAGCTCTCCGCCGGTAGAGTATAGCTCAGACATGCTCAGACGCCTATTCGAACCGACAGCCACAAGCATGATGACATGGCTACACACGGCGGAGGCCAGCTTGAGTTTTTGCCCACTCTTCCTTCAACAGCTCGAAACAGCCCTCACTGGGCACTTGAAAACTGCTCAGAGAGGTCCTTCCGGAAACGCTGCGAGATCCACTGGTGAAGATCTCCACCAAGGCAGAGATCCAGAATGAGGCAAAGGGAGCTCTGGCTACGGACCGTCTCCTGAGAACAGATGCCGGAATGCTGCGTTTTTTCAGATTCATGGCAGCCTATCGTCTTGTAAGGCTCTTCCTAACTTCTTGCACCTAAACCCGTCCAAACCCGAAATATCCGCACATATCCCCTTCGGCACTTCTGAGCTGATGCTGCAATCCACCCTTGAGGCAGCGACGTGGAGCCGGACAATGTGAGGATGGCTGAGACATTTGGTGATGCGCATCTCCTGATCCTCGCATGGCCCATAAGATCTCGAAAGCTGGCAGGGCAGTAGACGGGGCTAGAGGCTGGCTTGTCCGTCGACTCGTTTCGACACGTCACAGTTGAGCTTTTGGTGCAGCCAAGGGGCTCCATATGCGGGCATAACTTTGACCGCATACTTCTGGTTGGTACCTTTCTTTACCTGGGGCCATTTCAGGACAGGTTTCACGCTTCACGGGTATCCTCCAACTTCGACATCGACAACCTTGCTGAGCTCCCGACGGCCAAGCTGACAGTGCCAAACCTTGTGATGAAATGTGATTCCAGGACTTGTCTTTGCAAGTCTAACACTCTGCAGACATCGAGTACACGGCTTCCCTTCACCCAGTTTTCGCGTCACGACGTACCTGGACGGCCAGCACGGAACGACCGTGAATCCACTGCGTGACAAGTCAGTCTGGAAAGCGTCGGGGGCACCGCTCTTCCAGCGGGGTGTTGATTGTCGGCACTGCCGTTGCAGACCTGAACTCTACACCGTCTTTGCCTGTGCCTGCAGTCTCCACACGAAGCCTTGGGTACTTGCGCGATACCCACATGTTCAGATGCAAAGAAACTGCCAGGCTCAGGTCATTCTACCCTGACCGCGCCTCCATCCCGTCATCATGTTGGCGACCTTTGACATTCCCGCATTAGTGGGTGGGCCGTGTTGCACCCGTGCAGTTTTTCCATAGTCTTCCATGGCTTTTTCCTGTCTTGGCGTCGTGCGGTTGGGCTGAGATGATCCATGGCGCTCTCAGAGCCTGGGTGCATCAGACATTGGAGCAAACACAACTCATCGCAGCTTGCGAAGCTGAGGCAGGTGCTGGCGGTGGACTTGCTGCTGAGGCTGCTGAACTTGACTTTCAGCCTTGAAGGCTCGTTGCCCTGGACAACGGACGATTCAGTGCGACGTAGCGCAACGCCAGTCTCCGGCCGGCTCAAGCATCCAACCCCTAGCCCTCAGCCGAAGTTGCTCCCAAGTTTAGCTCCGCACTCTGCAGGGCACATGTTTTGCAAGGGCACATGTTCGTTTCTGCCCCCCCCCCCGTCCTCCGCGGCAGCCACGTTTGGCGATGCCGCCTCGCTACAGGTTTCATGATTCTTCGAGGAGTATGGGGATCTGTCAGCTCTAACATGGCGTCAGGTTCAGAAGCCACAAAGGGGATTCTCCTATGTCCTGACTTTACAGGAGAGCTTGTAAGCGCTGGACATTTCCGAAGCTGATTTGCTTTCTTGTTTCCTGAGTTGCAGCCAAGACTTACACGGGCCACGTGGAAGAAAAAGGGCAACTGCCACATGTCTGTCCACGAGACTCATGCAACATGCTTCCAAAGCTAGCAGGCAATAACTGACGGACAACGCGACAAACCAAAGTCATGATGTCTTCAGCCTAGGAGCCGAAGGCCCTTCAGGCACAGCACCCAAGGTTCTTCCTGCGACAGAGTGAATAGGCAGGCGTGTGAAATAGCAATACTTGCTGCCAGCACCCAAGAAAACAACTACCAACCAAACCCGTCCTCGCTTGCCGGCTTTGGGACAAGGCATAGGCGTGGAGGCTGGGCCAGGCAAGGTCCACGCAAGTCAGCGACGCTCGCCACCCAATGCTGGAACAACAATCCGACATGATACGATGAACGAAAACATGCCTTGATTTAAACCGAACTGAGTGAGGAAGTCTAGCCGCGCGTTAGAATAAAAGACCCCATGTTCCGACTTCCATGAATGCACAGCCTAGCAGCCTAATTCGCTGAGATGGCCACGCGCACGCGTGTTGGAGCATGATGCGTCGTCCGCAGTATCGAAAGCATATGGGGCTCGAATCATCCATATGGTCAATCGCTAAAGTGTGTTCCCTTTTTGGTTACCCTTAATAGTCGGGGACGCCTCAGAATAAGGAACCCAAACAGACCCACATTTTGGAGAAGTGGCCAGATTCATTTTGCAAAGCGGCTGCAGTTTGCCAAACCAGTACAGCGCATAAACACAGAATGCCACTAAGTAGCGATCCGCCAAGCACATGCTCTCCCGGATCACAACCGAATGAAATGGTCAACTCTTGGCCAGTTAGTGCTAGCTGCAGCTTGCCCGGTGAATAGTGTAGCCAACATTGCTCAACCATTGATGGTGCTCTTGATGAGCTGCGGCGGCAGCATCGCAAAGCCTCGTCGGCCCAGCAGCGATGCTCTCAGATGTAAAACTATTCAACAGCAGCAAGTGTCCAGAGGCGCGACTGGCCTGAATCAAGCGATGATGATGCCGGTCTACGGAACAGACGCACATGAAAGGACAGTCGTACACTCTTGAAAGGAAACCTGTGGAAAATGTCACTTTCACGTCATCCGCTCCTTAGCGTTTCCTGGGTCTCCAACCCTCCCAGGAGGCAGAGCGGAGGGCATGCCACAAAAATCTGCTGGGGGCTTGCCAAAGCCAAGAAATCCTTAAAGCGGCCGGACGGTGTCCGTGCTGGTTCTTGAGAAATCCCCACAAGACATGCTCCAAATGATGGGGCTCCACCTGGGTTCTGGGAGCTGCCTGGCTATGTCACAGTGCGGCAAAAGTGACTGCCAGTTGCTACTTGGAAGTTCATGGCTACTTATAACACCAAATTATGAGTCTACCTGTCGCCTACTTCGGGCACTAAGGGGACGTGGGTCGCTTATAAGTACAGTCATAACTAGGGTTAGAAGTGCCCTGAACCTCCAAGTGGACCTGTCCGCGCGAACTTTGCAAAAGGGGGGCGGGTCTGAGCAGATGGAGCCCCGTGCCAACTTGGTGTGGGCGTGAGACTCCGTACTCTTGGAAACAAATTTCCACCTTGCACTTGGTGCACAAAAATGCTCCTGCATCCAGCATCCCCGCCACAAGAAGACAAAGAACAGCGCGAAAGTGCGAGCTGACGAAGTTTTGACAGAAGGGAAGAACACGATGCTTTTCAGGGATGAAGCAGATGCATCCTCAGGCGTTTCATCCTCTGTTAGGTCACAGTGGCCACGAACTTAAAAAACACCTCAGCAGCGGCACGGAAATCAATTTTTTGGGGGCGGGGAGCCACCCTGAGCTCAGGCGAGCACTTGGGCTGACACATGAAGAATCGATGCCTGAGCCGAACTCCGACTACAAGCTGCAGACTGCCTGCAACTCCAACAAGCGAGAGGAGCTCATAGACCCCATGGAGCCCCTGAACAACTGATCGCGAGCCCTGCAGCACCACCTTCCAAGAGTTGCACTGAAGCGCACTGCGAAGTACACCAGAATGCCGACACTTGAGGGTGCAGCATGGCTGCGGAAGATCTGCTTCTTCAGAATCTGCCCATAGCGTCCCAGCCTGATGAGAGCCGGCACGCTTTTGCTTTCATACAAAGTATCTGAGTGGGGATTTGAATTCAGAACAACCCCTATGTGAGGAAGTAAAGAGAAACAGTGTAACAACGCCACAAAATCTGACAGGAGAGCTGCCCTTGCCTTGCCTACAGCTACCCCGATACTTCACAGAATGGCAGATTGCCCCATGGGCGCGAGACCAGAAATACCAAGCCACGCTGAATGAAGCCAAGGCTCTTCCATGCTCCGGCGACGCCATGAGCAAGCATTCTAGATGAATTTGGTCAGTTCAGTAGAAGAGCGCAGGTTGAGACTATGACATCCGTACATAACAATGATGAATGCAACAGCCTTTGTATCTTACAAGGCTTGGATTGCCTGATGTTGCTCTGCGTGCTTGGCGCTCTCCCCTGGAAAAATCTACAGCCTGAGCAGATGTCTCAGTCTTTCTTCCCAACGACCTCAGGCCAGGTGCAGAAGGAACACGCGATGCCCAAGGGGGCCCCAAGGGGACCCTGAGCCTTAAACTCCAGCTTCCCAGGAGATCGCATGTCTGAGGTCAAGGCCTTTGAGAATGAAACATACTTGCTCGCATTGGAGGCCAGCGTCACCCCCAGATTCACGATCTTCCTGAAAGCCCACTTGCTCGATTCACACGCTTTACTCCGGCTGCAGCATCTACACGAGAACGCGTCTCATGCGTACCCTAAAGCCTGAACCTCGTGCCTAAACTCTACCCTCAACCTATGACCCTGTGACCCTATGACCCGATAGCCCTATAGCCGTAGAATCTACGCCGCTATAAAGCTTTGAGACTCAGCTTGGGGCTGGGGAGAGCGGCCGACGATGCCGTTCGCGGCACGGACGGCCTGCGATTGTTTCAGGATGGTTTAGGATTTAAATTTGCATGCACCTTCCTGGACAAACTCAACACCAGGCTTGGCACCTTTCTTCTTTTTCAATCTTAAATGTGTCGGTGTCCTGCAACACTGGAGGAAGGCTGAGAAAGCCTCCCAGGGAGCTGCGATCCTGTGGAGTGTCAGGCTTAGCCAGACCTCTCCAGACTCAAAGACACCGACGCCCACTCACAGCGCGTCTTCGGAAAGGGAGGGTCCTTTGGACTTCCTTTCAAACTCATGGGGGCACCTAATTCTGGCATGAGGTGAGGGAGCTGCTCCGACAAAAGCCATCATGATTCGGGCTCTCTTAGAACTCTGGCAAGGAGCAGTGCCTGAACACTAACCCGGTTGAAGCAGCTGCCGTGACGAGAAGGGTGGGGATTCGAGGCTGACAGTCCGGCCTCCAAGCCACAAACATGCCATGACGTCATGGGACTGTGACGCTACCCCTGGCACCAACTCAAGCTGTCAAAGTAAGAGTCAAAAGCAAAAGCGGTTCATGCACTGACCACAGCCGGGGACAGTAGTAGGAATTGAGGGGGGGCTCAACAGCATTGCAGCATAACAGGAATGAGGAACCAATGTTGAAGGTGCATTCTGCATCCGGCTTCAGAAGTACAACGAGGATTTCCTTCTCTACTGTCACCGCCACGGCTTCCGTTCCATTGTCTCTCGAATTGTTGTACCTAGGAGGCTGCGAAGCCAGGATAAGGCTGCAAAGGCGTGGGAACTGTCGAATTCAACGGCACGACAATCTGGATGGTCGACCGGCTGTCGAATACCTCCATCAGCAGGGAACTACTATCAATGAGTTGGTAGGGAACTGTGGGTGCGGCTTGGGGCACGAGCTGCGCGCGGGGTGCTCATCAAAGCATTCACGGCATCCTGACAGATGGCGCAGACTTGTAATGAGGGTGGTGACACGAGTGTATCAACAAAGAAGTACCCGAAGACGGCACTCCACACAAAACTGGCTGTCCACTGATGCGAACTAGAACTCCTGTCGTGGTTGCCTACGCGTGAACCAGCCGTGTTGTCCCATGCTCAATGTCCTAATGCTTGTGGACACCCTCACGCCACTGAGGCTCTCAAAACCTATAAACTTTGCAGCACATTGCCAGCACAGTAAAGCACCCTCTGAGAAAAAAAACACACACACACACACACACACACACACACACACACACACACACACACACACACACACACACACACACACACACACACACACACACACACACGTGTGAAAAACTCTCATTTCTCGAGCCTGCTACAGTGCTTCGAGTGCTTGAAGCCCGCCGTAAGTCACCTGGCACAAGACTCCACACACGTATAGTGAAGTTGGTTGTGTGATAGTGGTTGCACGCTCATCATATGCATCCGCCATCCACGATCATCGACATCTTGCATGTGGGGTGGGTTGTTCTAAACCAGGGTCCCACATAGGCGCCTTTCGTCATGGAAGCGATTAACTGAATAACAACCCCCCCCCCCCCCAACAAAAAGGACTCTCGTAATGTTTAGTGTTTAAGTTTGGTTTCGAGCAATACCAACATGCCGACCAGCCTTCCCAATCACCGGACCGCCGCGGTGAGGAGGAAGACCAACGAGAAGTTGCACCTCGGGGTCGCTACAAGAAGCCTGATCCACGGGCCGCCTGTGGGGTAAATTCTTGAACCACCCTACAAGACCAAAACGCTGCCTTGAAAACCCTACCCCTCTCCACCTTCGCAAAAAGGCACCGTGCTACAGCAGATTGCAGCGGAACGCCAACGAGCGCCGGACTGTTCTCGGCATCGTGAAATTTGGCGAGGGGACCGAGCAACCTCGGCACAGCAGAGAGGTCATATCTTACGCAGCAGTGCTGTACCGCTGCCCTTCTAGCTACCTTCTCTGCATGGTGCCTGCGGAACTCCTCCTCTGCCAGAACGGCGAGGGTGCAGTCGCTCACGGCAGTCACGGTGGCCGCGCGGGGACTGGCAAGAAGCTAGTCACTTACTTCTTCGACGTTTAGAAGAGGTATAGTGACTGAGTGAAGATGTAAGTCCTTAAGTTTTGCAAGGCACCGAAACTACGCACCTGGCGTACATGAGCGCCAGCTCTCCAAAGTAGTCCCCTGGCCTTCCAAGGGCTGGGCCAAGAAGGAAGTGTGCTTGCAACATTTCACAACACAGCAGACTTGGACTGAGCCTGTTGAGGTTACTTAAGCTCGCACACATAATGCTTCTCAGCTACTCTAATGACTCAATCGACTGTCGCGCACCGAATTCCCCCGGGCCCCCCCGAGTCTGCGGCTGGTAGGTCTTGACATCGCGGCCGTTCTTCAGAGCGAGTAGCGGGATGTGGAGCGTTTCAAGTCAAGATGTCAGGCAACTTCACATCAACGCAGGGAAGTCCTTCGACGCGATGGCTTCCCCCTCTAGCAGCAAGAAGAACTCGTGTCCTTTCAACTGTCACTGCACCACAGCCGGACAAGCTGCACCGCCGTGTAGGTTTGTCCTTCATCGCCTTCTCGGATGATGACTTGGCCAGGGTCGTAAAGACGAGTCCTGGCCAACATCTGAGACTGTCGAGGAACACAGAACAGTGAACATGTGGTAAACCAGGTGCGTCCTCAGACATTCGATGACCTGCGCAGCAGTCTAGGAACTGAGCTGGTACAGCTACGAAGATCTACGAAGTATCTGCATTCAGCGAGGCTGCCTGGATAGGTGTGTTGATGTACTACAGACACACAGACTTGCGAAAAAGACGATACTCCAACATCCCCACCCTAAACCTCAGCAGGCTGATACTCTGCGGCATTTCTCCGCAAAAATACTCTGCTCAAGTTTTTGCAGGGTTCTGTGCGATTCTCTGGAAGGGCACGGCACTGCAGGGTTCTTTGCAATATTCTCCTCCAAACTACCCCCCCCCCCCACCCCTCCCCGAAAACCTTTGGGGCACCTGCTGACGCTCTTCCTCATTGAGGGGCTGAAGCACTTCGACGGACCTGGGTTTTGGCTCAAAATCCCGGGTTCAAAGTATGGGCTCCAAAACCTGGGTCGCTATATATGATACAGCAACCGATATACACCTCTACCTGTCAGGGTCGGCACATTGCACCTACAAAGGCCAAGGGCCCAGACTAAAAACCCATACTCCTTCAACCTTAGACCGAATGAGGCTTGTGGCATCTTCTGTCATATTGATCAGAGCGGTCTGGAGCACCCAGAAGAGGACTCGTGGCCCATTTTCTAGCACGATTAAGAGTAGTAATGAGATTTGTTTCATGCCCAGGGTTAGCCTTTACCCGGGTTCAGACATCCGGGGTTCGTTCCAAGAAACGAAGAGAGAGAGAGAGAGAGAGAGAGAGAGAGAGAGAGGGAGAGGGAGAGGGAGAGGGAGAGGGAGAGAGGGAGAGGGAGAGGGAGAGGGAGAGGGAGAGGGAGAGGGAGAGGGAGAGGGAGAGAGAAAAAGAACAGTTCCGGCACGTGCGCAATTTGAAGGACTCAGGAAAAGACAGCAGCTTCCGATCGTAGTACTTCCGCTTTGCCTCCTGCGGAGCTGTAGGGCTTGGTCCACCACTCCCCTAAAATTGAACCTCCCACTTTTCTCCGACCCTAAATTATTGATGCGAGGGTTCATCCCTTTGAGCCCTGGCTGCGCAACTGTGTTGCAGAATGGGGGCATCCTGGTACGAGCAAGTGATCGCGTGGACGGTCTGTCTGCTGACAGACCAAATCATCGAATCCTTGCTGGCAACTACTCGGCGAATCTCAAACGGCGGTCACTTGCGAGTCAAGGTCGCAGCAGTTCGCGCAACCACGGTCGCAGCACGAGGGGCCTCACAATTTCAAACATTCACAGAATAACAACGGGACTTGACAGCGCGGTCACGGCCACCAGCACGGTTCCACTAAACATCGGGCCTGATGGACCACCGCCAGCTCACCAAAGATACTGCCAGGCCTCAGGGCGTGCCCATTGAATGCACCATAAGTGAACTCCTTCTCTCCAAGGTCTGCACTGTGTGTAGGTCTGCACGACTCGCTCCTGGTCCCGAGATGTCCCGAGCGCTCGGAGGGCGCCCTCCCCCATCTTGACGGAAGACGAGCTGCAGAGGCACTCCTCGTACTTGTCTGCTTTGAGAGCTTCCAGCACACCGTCCTGCGGAGATGGATGAGGACGGCATACGGGAACTTTCAAATTGAACTTCCAAACTTTCCAAGAACACTTGCAGGGCCTCTAGCACGAACAGGCCAGGCTTGTCTTGCTCCACATAGTGGCCTTGCACGATGACGTAGGCATCCCTGGGCACCTGGAGCATTAACAAAGGTGAACAACAAGCTCGGTGCTGTGAGTGCAAGGCGAGCCGACCCACGTACCTTGTGTGGCCGAAAGGCATCGATGAGCTTCTGGAAATGATCTGCATCCAGTTCCTGCCCGCGAGAATGCCATGCACAGCTCCAAGTTCGATGCCGTATTCTTGGTGCTTCACGAAGCATCGTCAGGGCCTCCAGATAGCTTCCCAAAGGATCTGCGGCCTCGTTGAGGGCCCTGCTCAGCAGGCGACGAATCCTCGGGCTTCATCAGGCATGCATCTTGTGGGGGTCTTCGGAGTTGCTGAATGCTCCATGGGCTCCCCTCCTCTCAGGCTTGTCGAAGAATGGCGTGGCGCCGTGCACCTGCCCAGTCGACCGTCGCCATCCGGAGCTTCCATCCCCTTGGGTCCCTGTAGGCCCCAAGAAAGACTCACACAAGCAACATTAATAATTAATTAATAATTACTTAATTGTTAATTAATAATTAATTGATTATTAAGTGCCCCCCGGCCCAGCTGTGGCACCTTGGTGGAGCGGACAGCGGGCTCTGCCAGGATCGCCGTGCGGCGAGCTGTGGTTTGCCTGGAGTCGCAGCTCTCTATGATGCTACCGAGCTCATGCCGCAGAGAGCCGCCGTGCTGCTGCAAAATTGTAGGGGGTCTGCTTAGCAACGACTCTCTGAAGAGCGAAACAGCAGCAAAGCTCGCAGCTCCAGAACTTGACAAGTACATCGCGCCTACTTGCGGATGCAGCATGCAGCATGGCAAAGGAGAGTAGCCTCTCGCGGATGTGCGGAAACATCGAAACATCAACATGCGCCAAATAGCACCAGCATCGGGCCTTGGTGCAAGAGGGAAGTGAGATGAAATGAGGCACACCAGGTACGCCGGCTCGAGCCGAAAGGAATAGCCAGAAGACAGGGCACTTCAAAAGCTGATGACTATGCCCGAGGCCCGAAGCACCCGGACATCTGATCCCGACACACCAACTCGCCTCTTCCTCCTCAACGCGTTCGGGAAAAATGCGCGGGAAGTAGGGGCCTGCACACATCACCGGAAGATGTCACCGGCACCCTGGTTTTGCTGCTTCTGATCGGCTCAGGCACCTGTAAAACTTCTCTCCCCCAAACGCCCCCCGAAATTAAACAGAAGTTGTTCCAAAAAGCTCTCTTTGCTGAGAAGGGGGCCTCCGAGCAGCTCACCGTTCTTCTGGTCATGTCCTCGACCCCAGAGCCCAAACTAGCCGGGAAACTATCCCAAAGAGGCACATGCCAAGACCACGTTCGCGCCTGCAAGGTCACTGATGCCGCTGGCACCGCCCTTGTTGATGTACTTTGCGCCAGCCTGCCAAGGCCAAAAAATCGCATCCTTCAAAAGGGAGACTTCAAAGCAAACGACCTTGGCCATGGTACCACCGATCGCGCGGCGCTGAGTGCCGTCCTCGAGAAGCGCAAATGTCAACCCCGTTAGGCAGGCCCTATGTGATCAGATGTTATGATCATATGAACATATTTGTGCACTATTTGTGCATTTTACAAAATGTACTAAGATTCTATACTATATGAAAGTACGCTATTGTTATTCTCATGTCACAACAGTGATCGGTCACAAGAATATTGATAGCACAATGCCACAATTGTGGTCGGTCACAAGAAGTCGCAAGCGGTCCACCCACTTCTGGCCCGGCGGCGCCACGATGCGGTGAACTGAAGCCACAAGTGTTCGCAGTTTGGGATGCTCTGCAAAAGCTGCGCCCACAGCAAAGCAGCAAAGCGAGGTGTGAGAGAGCTGCATCTTGACTAGGGTCCCCACTGGTGCGGGCGTTCCAGATGATTAAATCTCCCGGCTCAGGCGTGTACCTGGCAAGCCGGTTCTCTGACGGCCGACAGACTCAGCCCTTCTACACCGGCAGCCAGCAGTACGGCCTGAAAACTGGCTCAACTTGCATATCACTGCCGCCGTCAAAACGCCTGAACCCTACAACTCCGGGAATAGTTCTTTGCTTCCGGCTTCTGGAGACTCACCCTTAAGAGACCTCGACCCTAATTCCTTAACACCAATCCTACCGTGCAAAGCTGCAAAACTTCCGCCTGGTGCTCCTGGGAAAGCCTGAAAGGTCGCCGTCCTTCGGGTCAGGGCTAGAAACACTTTGCGGTTCAGGGACGACTCAAGATATAGCAGCGAGTTTAAGCTGGAGCCGACTGTGTGGCCGCAGTGGAACGACCCTATCAAGCTCGCCCTCTTTCTTTTTGCTGTGTACAGCTCTTATGGTGTGAGGGCCCTTAGCTTGTACAGGTTTACGCACATTTCGGCCAGTTGATATCATTTGGGATTTCACTTTCTTTGGGGTAAGTGCAAAGCTTGGCGGTTGGCAGGAGGTGGTGCAAGTGTCCTCCAGATTGACGAAGACCTGCCACATCTCGTCACTACTACAGAGCTCCTAGGATCTTCAAGCTTCAGCTCTCCGTGACAAACAAGGCAGGCGGGCAGCGTCACTGCTGACAGACCTCAAGTTACAGGGCATGCATCCCTGTCCTCATTCTGAGGGATGGTCTCTGGAACAGTGCTGCGAGCTGAGCAGCCGGCTGGTTGCGGTGCGACCCCAACAAATACTCAGGAGCACCAATTCCATCCTCACAGGTGATGCATCAGCTACGCGCGTTTCCCGGCCTTTCCCGCCCTTTCCCGGCCTCTCCCGACCTTTCCCGACCTTTCCCTGTACAATACCAAGCCTAGGGCCTGGCAATGCCTAGCACGCGAAGGTACGCAGAGGGCCCAGAGGGCCCTAATTGAGTCGAGACAAGTCGGGGCATGAAGGAGAGAACTTCGAGAACCAGGGGACTCCGAAAAGGAAGAGACGCTTGTGGGGGTATTCAGGTGTGCTTCAAGGAGATGTTACGTACTATATTTGGGGACATGAAAGGATCATAAAGGGAGCCCATTTTCTTGATACTTTTCTTGGGGCAGAGGGGTCAGACACGTGCAGTCATCAGCATGGCGGCAACTTGCCTGACCACAGGCATCCATGGCCACCCACCTCAGCTTGGGCTCAGGATCAGATTGAGACCAGGTCTCAGGTTCTCACAGGCCACTCCACGCACCCGAGTAACAGCAAGAAGAGTCAAGAAGAGCCAACAGCAGCTTACTCAGGCGTTCACCATCGGACTGCATCGTCAAACTCGATGGGACCGTTCTGGTTGTCCTGGTGCAGGTGACAGATGGTGAAAGCTATCCAGAGGCTCCAGGATTTTCCAGTTCCACTTGGGTACAACCGACCTGGTGCCAACCGAAACCGCGGTTCGGGTTGACGAGGAGCATGTCCTAAGAGCGAACGTGCCCACACCGCACCACATGCAGATACGAGTACCTCCGCTTCAAAGCACGGCCCTCACATCTCAAGCATATCGAGCGACTTCAACATGATGCTGTTTGGCATTTCCTGGGCCCCTCGCCGTGGAGCAGCGAACCTCTTCCGTTTGCGCAAGCCTTAGCCGCGAAATCTCCAAACCCAGGGTCTGTAGAGCTTTAGGCGATGTTCCAGCCGACAGACTGCAAGCAAATCCTACACACACACACACACACACACACACACACACACACACACACACACCCACACATGAAAGTCTCGCAAGTGACAACCTGGCCTTCGACACTGACTCTTTTCTATTCTCCAAACTATGTTGCTCTGGCGCAGGTCCGGCAACGTCGGGTGGGCAAAAGCAAGACGGCACTGAATCAACTGGCTTTGAGATGACTGGACAAAGAGCTTTGGCCACCCGACATCTTGGGGGCATCTGCCAAGAGGCAGCCCTCCCGCCACTGTAAACTTTGGTGGCGCGGCAACATTAGCTCATTAGCACCAGCCGCCTCACGAAGACTGGGCTGTCCTTGACACGAGCGCAGAGTTGGGAACTTGGTGCTGGATGCAGAGAGCCCAGCACTACTGTGGTAGGACCCGCATAAACCCGACATCAGCTGCAACATGAACATCAAACCCCCTTGAACCCTCTTAACCCAAAAAGCCTTAGTATGGTAGTCCCTAGCATGGACCAGCTCATCGCTCTACCGGATAAGCTGAGGAGCTTCGGGGAAGCGCGCTGCAGTGCGCCAGGGGCGCAGGCCGTTAACCTCGGCATGAGGAAGGTTGGGAGGAAACGGTGGAAGCCCAAACGAACGCAATTATGAGCGTAACCAGAGCTCCTCAGATCAAACTGCGTCTTGAACAACTTTGAACCCCTTGAACCCCCAAAAACTGTCCACATCAGCTCACTTACCCAAAGCAGCACTAACTCACTCTGAGCCGCATTGACTCCAGAGCGCTCAGCTGAGCCAAGGCGTCCTGTTGGGGACTTGGCGGGCGTTGATGGGCTCGCACAGCTCACGAGGGGTAAGAAGCTGAATTGTTCAAGTATGGTGGGGGCTTCCCTAAAAGAGCTTTTTCCCCCAAAAAGATGTACCCTTTTGGGAGGTCCTAGGATAGGGATGACAATACCCTCCACCCTGGGGGCCTCGAAAGTGCCGTCAATGGCAGCTGAGACTTTGTCGTGGCCGCCACTCGCCAGACCACCACCAGAACCTTCACATGCGTATGATTTACTTCCAGGCTGTGACAGGCTACTTCGCCCGATGGGCCAGCTGCGCCAACTTAGCCAAGCCACCGCGATTCGCGCCTGATGCCCACGCAAGTTGGATTTGCAAGCCATGATGAGTTGACTAGTGACTGTGATGAGCACAGTTGGGTGTATTGGCAACTCGCAACTTGGCCGCCCTCCTCTTAAACCCTGGAACCTTAAACCACTGCAGAAACCCAAAACCCTAAACCCTAAACCCTAAACCTAATGGGGAGGCCTTGGCGCAAGGCATCCAACTCCTCGTGGAGCTTTGCCAGCTCCTGATCTTTGGCCCGCAAGAGCTGGTCCTTCAGGGGTCTCACATTGGGAAGCGAGGGGGGTGGGCGGGGCAGGGGTGGAAACTTTCCTTGTTTGCAGCCTAACCTTCAGGGGATGTGCTTTAACGGAGACAGGAGGACAAGGGCCTGTAACCATAATCTCGATCAACTGTCTGTCTGCCTGTGGCTGGCACAGCATGGTTGAGTTCTCTGAAAACAGCTGTAGGCTATCTAGTACTAGGGCGCGGCAGTCGACACACGCATCCTGCAGCAATTGATATCAAGCCGACAACCACGCCCCTAACAACAAACCCTAAACATCCCCAAACTGGGATGTTCCTCCTTATACTAACAGTCCTTGAAAGAAATTATAGTACTCCCTATTAAAATCCCTATTCAGGACTGCTAGTATAGGGGGGAGCATCTTATTCCCTAAACCTTGACTGACCGTCAGAGTGCTCCAGAACCCATCCTTCAGTTGCAGCTCCCGCTTCTTCTGCTCGAGCTCCTTCGCTTCGCGCGCTTGGCGAGTTTCAACTTTCATGCTGGGTTTGGGGTTTAGGGTTTGGGGTTTATAAAGTTTAGGGTTTAGGGTTTAGGGTTCAGGGTTTAGGGTTTAGGGTTCAGGGTTTAGGGGTTAGGGTGGTTCTGGTGTCCTCGGCGATGTCCCTCATCTCACCGAGTCCTGCATCTCTGACCCCTAGGATGCAAAGATGCGCATGTATGAGCCGAACCGTCATCTGCTGATTTGGCCTGGAAGGACTTGGTTTGGTGAGAACAAGCTTTGCCGCAGCCGCTTCTCGGTCAAGGACCTCCAAAACAAGGACAAAGTTTGCCACATCCCGCCACGCTTGCGAGGAGAGCATTTCTGAACTGATGTTTTGCCTCTTGGCACGGGTCTCCTCCATCCTCGGCTGGCTTTTGCAGAAGAAAACACGAACTCCAAAGCAATATGTCTTCCTCCTTCTGCCAGGGAGCTGTGCCTCGAAGAAGTCGGCCTCCCCAGAGGCGATGAGGGCCTAGCGGAGGCTCTCATCTTCAGAGCGTATGTATGGCACATAGTATCACATAGTATATCCCCAGATCCGAGCCCCACCTGCCTCCGCGCTGCACTCGGTGGGCTTCACGAACACGAAGAAACAAGGGCCTCGGTTTTCCGCTTTGGGCTTTAGGGATTTAGGGGGTTTCTCACGAATGCAACTCATTGAGTTCTCCTAGCTGTCTTTAGCCAACTGGTGTGGACTTATGGTTTAGGGTTTAGGGTTTAGGGTTCTTAGGGTTTTTAGGGTTTAGGGTTTAAGTTGACCTATGAGTTGACTTATGTTGACTTGGTGATGGGCCGAACTTGAGGTGGTCGCGGTGCTTCAGCTCGAGGCCATCGCCCAGCAGTTCGCGACCACATGGCCTCGGGTCCTGCCAGCATAGGTGTTTTAGCACGGGAGGATCATTGCTGCTCACTGGTCATGGCGGCACCATGCGGCACCATTGCCAAAGCCTCGCGCCTCCAACAGCTGATCCAGCGGGAAGCCGTTAAGGCACGTCGCCTCAGTCTGGGAACTGATACAACAACAGAGGCCTGCAAAGCTGCCCCCAAGCCTTGGCAGCGTCCATGCACAGGGCGGTCAGGATGCAGCAGCCGTCGTCGTTCACCACACTGGCGTGCAGCCTGGGGGGAGGCGCTTGGAAGAGCACCCTGGGGATGGGGTCTCCAAGACTTGCCTGCGGATGCCAGCACCAAGAAGGGAGACATCCGGCGCAGGTTCGGGCTCTTTCTCTGAGCTTTCCGTGTCCTGTGCCCAGCTTCTGAGATGTTGACGTTTTCACTTCCGGGATTCCGGTATGACATCATTTCCTGTTGTTGCCCTGCGCAGTGCCACAGCCATGCTCAGTCGGAAATCGGAGAAACTCACGAGGCGCCTCGCTGCCGGAGAGTTCGTTCTCCTCACTCTCCTTATCTCGCTCGGTGACCGGATGACATTTCAGGATGCACAACTAACCTCGCCAAAGACACCGAATCCGAATCGTTCTGCGCAGGTCCACCGATGATTATCTTCTTCCCTTCGGGGAAGTAGTACTTCACCTGTCGCAAGATGTACGCATGGAACCGTGCCAAGCACAAGGGCTCTTGACCGTGGTATGCTTGGCATGTTAGGCTTCGGGGATGGCTAAAATCGGCTGCAAAGATGGCTGCAAAGGGTGCACCCAACGAAGATGATAGCAGAAGCTACGAGAGCCATCCAGAGACCAAGATCGTCTCCGCCCGAAGCCAAAGAAGACAGTTTAGAGTTCAGGGTTTAGGGTTTACGGTTTAGGGTTTAGTGTTTTTTAGGGTTCAGGGTTTAGGGTTTAGGGTTTAGGGTTTAGGGTTTGGGGTTTAGGGTTTAGGGTTTAGGGTTTCTTTGCACCCGGGCGACTCGCCCTTGGAGCTGGGCATCGGGATTCAGGTTCACCATCATGGGCACCGTGGGGCTGATCGTCGTCCCTGTGACACACTCTCTCACACACACAACTTCATCACACAATCACACTCACCTCTATGAGGTCCAATTGAGGTACCACATGTTCCCATGATACCCTGTGATGCCCAGAAAGATCACAGACGAGTCTTTCGTGGTAGGAGGCCACGAAATTGCGCCGCTTCGTTGCGCCGAGTCTCGCCGCTGGGTGCTCAGCTCCTCCTGTCGTTGCTTGTCCTGGGAGAGTTTTTTCTCACAAACGTCTCAGTATTTATCAAAATGTTGCACAGAGCACTAGAGTCGAATGGGGCCTCTTGCAGGCGCTCGGCCCAGCTCTTCTGCATGTCCTGCAGCTTTCGATGGCATCCATTTTCACATAGCGAGGCTGCACAGCAACCGCCTTCGGGTGCTTGTTGCAGATGAAGCAAAGGGAGGGTCCGGGCAGTCATGAAATAGGTTCCATCGGCTTCGGTTGCCCGCACTTTCTGGCCCAGGTCTACTTGATGCCGGGTTCGGCGGGCAAACGAGCCCGATAGACCCATGAGTTAGGACTCGGGTCCTTCAGAGCCGCCTCAGCCTCGGCGATCTCTCGCTGCCTGAGCCCCCGAGAACATCCGCGGCACGACTGCAAGAACACGGCGAGAAAGTGACCCAGAGGGCCCCCCACAAAAAGGGAAGGAAGCTGGGGCCACCCGCTTCTTTCCCAAGTTCTCAAAGGTCTGGGCATCGAAGCCTTGCCCTGCGCTGAGCGCCGCCATCATCTCCCTGAGCTTCTGGTTCTCCTCCTAAAGGGAAGAACGGAGCCGGCGGGAGGTTGGGGGGACTTTGCGGAGCAACGAAACGGGGGGGCCCCTTTTTTTTCGGGGAGTGTGAGAAAGAGAGCCCTTAGTGGGTTGCGATCGAGCTTCCATCAGCTCACGCATCAGCTTCTCCTTGCCAGGAGGCGGAGCTACCACAACTCGGAGATAGCAAGATATGGCCCGCTGACACCCAGTCCTGCGGGTTCTCGTTGACGACCGCCTTGTTCTTGATCCTGGATAAAGGCAAGGCATGGCTGAGAGACGCTGAGTCCAAGGGAGCCGAGTGGCTTCTTGGCACGGTCGGCGTAGCGCAGAGTCGACAGCGTCTCATCGTAGTTGGAAGACGCGGGCGACAGTGCGCAGATCATGATGGTCTTGCTGGAGCCACCTTTGCCAGCACCCTACTCAAGAGCACCATATGGTTCGGTCAAGCCTTGCCCCCTGGCCTAGCGCGTTCTGCAGCAGGCGGGTGAGTTTGGATTCACGGTACGGGACGACGATCACGGCTGCCTTGGCTTCAAGGTCTCCCGATGCACCCCCCCCCCCCAAGTTCCCAAGCATCGCGGCAAAGGCGCCTTCTTCGGGTTCGTGGACTTCTCGGCCAGCTTCTCAATCACATTCCCCAGGGCGCTCCTGACATGTCGAAGCTGAAAGGTACTTAGCATCTAGTCATCTGCAGAACAAGTATTTAAACCGCCAGTGAACCACCACTAACCACCACTAACCACGGGGAGAAAGGTTACCTGCTGGTGCTGTTGGCTTTCCGGATCGTTCCTTTCAGTTGTTGCCCTGCTTTTTGCTGTGCTTGCTGCTGTTGGAGCAAAGCGCAGGGGCTTCAGAATTTTGCCAACTGCAGAGGAGCAGCAGGGATTTGTTGATCATGGCCTTGGCGCAGGTCGGAATCTTAACTGTCAAAGAAGCCACGTGTAACGGCAGGCTAGCCTATGCTGCGGCCATGGGTAACAGCAGGCTAGCCTATGCTGCGGCCATGGGTCTCCCTCCTTCATTCGCTCGCCTTCTGCACCTGTTTGCTTCACCTGTGCAAGAATTACAGCTCTGCGCAAAAAAACAATTTGATCTTCGGATGGCAGCTTTGAAGGGTGTTCCATGGTGTTGCCACCGGCCTTCTCGCTCCCTGCCAAATCGACGAGGTTAATCATCGAGACACGCGTAGATCCTGCTCGCCATGCTGGAGCTGGAAGGACAGGAACAGCGTGTATGATTGCAAGCACTCTCTCCTGCACTCACGGCCTTAAACTCCACCATTAGCACCGTGTGGGCGCGACTGGACGTGGCATTCCTGAGCATCAAAGGCACAACACCACCACAGATCCCGCGTTGTGAAAAAGCATGCAGCCGAAGGGGCTTTACATGTCACAGCTCCCGGCTGCAGCTGAGCAGCATCAGAGTCGATCCTACTGTCCGATGGGTCGTTGCTTCCTGTGACAAGCTGATGCGTCTGTCTGAAGAGCATCCGAACTTCCGAACTACTTCTGGCTTCTGGTCCAAGCCAAACATCGTGAGCGTCAGGTTGGGTCTTCTACTTTTCTGAAACATCTTTCATGGCTCATAGAGCTGCGATTCCGTGTCTATATCGTTTGGTCCCTTGCAGCTGCCCAACTGGTGCTCACAACCGCTCACCAGATTCATCAAACACTAGCGAAAAACAATCAAACTAAGACATGAAGTGGGGCCATTCCGTTGCTCTTCAGGGCCTTGCTGGGCAATGTCTGTCTGCATTCATGCCTTCATGCATACGGTTTGGGCAGTGGCTCCTCGATGGTGTCATGAATGGCACGGTACGAGTCGACTGGCCTGCCGATGCCATTGGGAGGTTGATCTAAATTGGGGGGAAACCCCTTTTGGGGGGTTCTCTCATGCTGAGGATCAGAAGCTCCCAGGATGGAAGCATAAGGGAGAACCATGTGGGCGATGACATCTCTAAGCACAAGCGTTGACCGCCCAGCCTCTTTGTAATCCCATCGATGTAGATTCCTGACACACCGAGTCGGACTGAGGAATGTATTTCAATCACGCTGCCGCTCGCCGCGCGAAAACACCACCACGCCTAGAATCTTGGACTCGCGGATCTCGAAGCCTTTTCGCGGGCGCTGCAAGACCGGAATCAGCAGGTCCTGGTAGGGATCGGACTGACGACATGCTTTGCACGTACATGTGCATCGCTCCCCTTTGCTGGGCTAGGGACTCCATCGTAGGTCTAAGAATGTCTGAGAGCTTGCATGGCCCGCTCCCCTAACCATGGTGCCCAATATAGGGCATACTGCAGCAAGGACCCTGAAAAGGGCCGCACTTCGGGCCCCTGGTCCTGCACTCCCTCGTTGTAGATCTCGATGGCAGAAACCATCACCTTCAGGTGAAAGGAAGAAGAAGGGCTTCGGTTAGGGTTTAGGGTGTTGGGTTTAGGGTTTAGGGGGCAGATCTGTTTGTAAGAGATCCTAACCCTGCAGGGAATCTCTGGAAGGGAACGCCGCAAGGGCCTCGTAAGAGTTGCCGTTGTCATCGTCCTTTGCGATGCGGCGGAAAATTTCCTCGCAAGAGATCGGCACAATACCTTTGTTGTTGCCGTATCCCACCATGGAGTAGCTCTTGCCAGAGCCTTGCCAGGGTCGTGCTTCGGGAATCGTTCATCCGGATTGACCCGACTGATTGCTACCCCTCTGTGCAGTTCAGACTTATTCGGAAGGTGTGACATACAAGCCGGGTTGACTTGGTGCTGCGCACCTGTCTGCCCATACGCGAAAAGGCAGCAGTGGTAGCCATTCCAAGCGTTATCCAGCACCCTTTTGCCAAAAGTGTCGAACACGTACTTCTGGTCCTGAAGTTCAGGCATCTACACGCAGGTGAAGGGGCGTCACAAGAGGCCCCCCTGCGTTCAGCATTCACTCACTCAGCCAAAATCTCTGCCATGACAGGCCGCGCGGCAGCGTACTGGCTTCCACGCTTGGGCCTGCCAAACTGTTGCAGGCTTTCGAACTCCCAGACTTCTCCCACTGCCCGGCCTGAGATATCCTGTGCCATCATCCTCGAAGCCATCGTGGCTCCAGAAAGACTCATTGAAGGTGAACATCTGCTCTTTTCCAGAACCTGGCGTCAATACCGACACTCACAAACCTCCACTGAAGGCTGGTTCAACAGTACCTGTTGGGAAAGGTCCAAGGCCCAAGACCCAAGCCCTGGACAAGAGCAACGGCGACACTGAAACAGAGATGACCGGAGTTCGGGGCATCGGGGCATACCTCGCCGCCAGGCTGCTGTCCTGTATGCAGGTCGACTTCTGGCTCATGCTGAGGCACAGCGTGGCATTGTTCTGAAGCTCCTGGGGGCACTCAGAAACGACAAAACGACAGCGACGTCGACAGCGACAGGGCCCCATGGCTTCCCCAAATTTTGCGTACGGGCCGCGCGCTCGGCGAAGGGCCGCACGCGGACACCCACGACCACGGCCTCCGCCTCTGTCATCCTCAGATTCCTCAGCCACAACGAATCGACGAAGGCCCCGGAAGAACTGGAAATGAGCCTGAAGCACCTGAAAATCCTGTTAAACCCCCTCCCAAAGACTAGAAAACCTAGAGTCCCTGGAGAAGATCCTATGGGCCCAGCGGCTGAGGCCGGCCGAGTCAGCGGCCGAGCAAGGGAGACTTCGCCAGCAGAGTTCGCTCCCATTGGAGGTGAAGTGCCCAAGAATGTAACTTGTTGTGAAGAGCTTCAGGAAGTCTACAGGGATAGAATGGGATAGATTTCCTGTGTTCAAGTGCCTTTGGGCGGATTCGAAGGCGTTGGGTTCGGGGGATGAAGAGGTTCCATGCAGCAGGAGCAATACTGGATTCAACAGCTCCTGTGAAGCCCTGCCACTCAAGAAACGCAGTGTTTTGGATTGAAGTGGCTATGGGACCAAATTCGACCAGCAGCTTCCCCAAGCGCATTTTCTTTGGAACAATCACAGGTTTCAGATGACCCGCTGCTGTTACTCCTTCACAATATCTAACAACCACAGGCTCAAAACCACATGCGCGAGCCTCTAGCTCCCTAACTTGGGCACTTGCCCTTGTGTGGACAATCGGAGTCACTGGCGGCGTTGCGCTTCACTCCATTACCGGGTTACCATGGGCCGACACCACACTCCTGCTGGCATGAGCCTCACCGCATGCAATTCGCAGCTTCTGAACCGGGAGATGCCGTCAGCACTTGGGCCATGCCCCGCAGTCAAATCCAATCCCCGGCCACGCCAGAAGCACCAGGCAGAGGATGACAGAGTGCCAATTATGGACGCCCACGTCGCCTTCAAGCAGTAGCAGAGGAAAGCATCGGATGTGCACCCGGACCAGAAAGCACCAAGATTGCCTAGACGTAGGATCACCATCACCATCACCATCTGGACGGTTGAGGACGCAGAGCTCATCGGAGAACCTAGCTCCCGCTCGTGCCGGGCCTCAGCCGGTCCTCAGCAGCTCCGCTGTTGCTTCAGGTACACGTCCAGCAACGCCAACTCAAATGCATCGCCCTCGGTCTCCTCACGCTGAGCGGATGTTTGCTCTACAGCCCATGGGCATGCTGATAAAAGGCCTACATTCAACGTCAACTCCCCACCCTTTACTGACCGAGACCTTGCTGTTCCATTCGAAGTGGTGCCTCAGCTCGAGAACTTTCCTTGGCCCGCACCGAGCTCGCGTGCGAATCGACTCTCGAAGCCTCTCTGAAGCACAGCAGCTACAATAACAAACAGACAGAGTCGGGCAACTTAAGCACCCCTGTCTGGCTGAGCGACTTCAGGCCTTCCTCTCGGTCTCTTAACCATGAATCACATGAAACAGGCTTCCTTCTCATCGATGTCAGACGCTTGGAGTCCGCAAGGTAGGGAAGGATGATCTCCCCCGCCTTTTCGCCAAGCGGCACCCAAAAAAAGGCAATAGTCGGAGAGTCGGACAGGGCAGGAGGGACCGTCACTAACGGGCCTGGTCAGCCTTCTCTTCAGGCACGATGATGGTAAACTCTGTCCAGTCGAAGAAGCAGGCTCCAGGAAGGTAGTACCTAAGTCAAGACTAAGACTGAGAGCTTGTTGCGGCAAACCCACGCAATCTTGGAATCGTGTGGTTCTTCATCTGCCAAGAAGGCTGTTTGGATGGCCTATAAGAATCTCACCTTTGCAAGCCCTTTTGGCCCTCTACGAACTTGACAGCCCGAAGAGGAAACCCAAACAGCTTCCTCTGTCCCCCTCACAGACTTCGCTCCGGAGCTGTTCAGTTTCGACCTGCCCAGCATGAGCAGCTGAATGAGCGTGTTTCGTGCAGCACGCATTCATTCAACTCCTCACTGTTTGAGACGCCTCACAGCCTCCCGCAAGGGAGTTGGCTGACGAACTGTGTTCAGGTGCCTGCATCCCCTTACCGGACAGGGCACCCCTCCCCAAGCAGCGACCGAGATCCCCCAAGTTTTCAGGTGGGGGGTGGGGGGAGGGCAAAGTCGATCCTGTGCTTCCTGATTACTTGCCACAAATTGTCACTAAGCTCGTCGCTACGAAATCCCTCTGCCGGTGCTTTTTGGGGGCCGAGGCGCCCCGAAGCGATGATGACCTCAGAATGGGCTTGGTTGGGTCCCTTTTAGGGTTTAGGGTTTGGGGTTTGGGGTTTGGGGTTTGGGGTTTAGGGTTTAGGGGCTTGGGTTCTGCTTCTGATGAACCAGGGATCCACTTCGGCGGTGCTTTTTACAAGGGGGGCCCACAGCCGCCTGTCTGCCGCCACGCTGCCGGGATGCATCCGAACCACATCCTGACTCACCAGAAACAATCTGGGCCCCTTGCCTTCTAGCACGTGAACCCTCAAACCCTTAAACCCCCAAACCCCCTCAGCCCTTACAAATCCTAAACCCCTAAACCCCTTAAAACCACTAGTGAACCCTAAAAGGTGCCGATAAAAACCCTAACCCCTACACCCCTCAACCCCTAAACCCCCCCAAACCCCTAAACCTCTAAACCCCTAAGCCCCTCAACCCCCGGGAAACCCCCTAAGCCCCCCTTATAACCCCCTTAACCCCTAAACACCCCTAAACCCTAAACCCTAAACCCCCCCTCTTGGTGATTAAAGAAACCAAGGAGCATCTCGAAGAGCCTTGGGGACCAGACGCGGCTGCCTCTGGGAGCCAAGCAGAGCTCGCTGCTCTGGAGGCTCTGGCGGTAGTCCTGCAAACAGGTTTAGGTTTTTTGGGTTTAGGGTTTAGGGTTTGGGTTTAGGGTTTAGGGTTGAGGGTTGAGGGTTGAGGGTTGAGGGTTGAGGGTTGAGGGTTGAGGGTTGAGGGTTTAGGGTTTAGGGTTTAGGGTTTAGGGTGTAGGGTTTAGGGTTTAGGGTTTAGGGTTTAGGGTTTAGGGTTTAGGGTTTAGGGTTTAGGGTTTAGGGTTTAGGGTTTAGGTTTTAGGGACTACCCTAAAACTTCTGGGAAATTAAGGGTTTTGAGGGGTTGTTGAGGGCAGTGTGGGGTTTTTAGGGTCTGAGGGTTTAGGGTTGAGAGCAGCTTGGGGTTCTTCGGGTTTGGGGTTTGGGGTTGAGGGTTTGGGCTTAAGGTTGAGAGGAAGGGTTCAGCAGAGTACAGGCAGAGATGGTGCCACCTCATGAAGCCTCAAACGGCATCAACAACTTGAGGACTGCTGGAAGAGACTAGAGGACGGCATCCTTGTCGCTCATCTTCTTCTCGATGCGCACCGGCTTCGTCAACTTCTGCTTCTGGATGCTCCTTTCAGCCGGCATGGGCGTGTGCATGCTTCCCCAGACAAGACACGGGGCCCAGCCTGATGGCCGCATACCGCACTCCCTTGACATAGCTCTTGTCCCACTTGCCCGCGAAGAAGACTGAGTAGCGCCGACTGCCGGAATCCTTCACGGCCTACAGGGACATCGAAGATGAAGAGAGATGGGGGTTTAATCAGGAAATAGACCCCCAAAGAGTAGGATTCCCTTCTAAGGAGGGCCCCAACAAAGTACCCCGAATATCGGAAACCCCCACATGAAAAAACCATGGCCACACAAAGCTGCTGCGGTGTGAGCAGCGGTGAGAAGCTCTGATCTCATCCCTGCCTTGCGGCCGGCGTGAGCCAGGGCGGTGTCCCCATTGCAAACCAGAGCGACATCCAGCTTGCTGTTGAAGGCATAACTAGGTGACAAAAATGGTGGTAAATGGGGGGGTTTCCGAAACTAGGGGTAGGTCCCGATTCTAAGGGAATCCTACTATTTGGGGGGAAATATTGGGGGGTCCCCTTATTTTCGTGAACCCCAAATGATGTCCGCAACATGGGCAGCTTCTAGTGCGCAGGCTGATGCGCACGCAAACCAAGACTCAGAGCAGGCAAGGCACACGCCGTACGCAAGACGATCACGAGTGTCGGCGGTGTTTGCCAGCACACTACCTACAAATACGAAGGGTTGAAGGGAGGAACCAGCAGCCCTTCAGAAGGCCTCTGCAGCCTAGCTGCCGTTGATGGCCAGTGCATTGGGCAGGTGATCCGAGCATAGATCCGATGGATTCTTCCGTTGTTCCGGACACCAGCTGGGCTCCACCTTGCCCATGTCCTTGGCTGGACGGGTTTAGGCGCGCAGGGTGCCCATCCCACTGTCCCCAACTTCAAGGTTTAAGAATTTCATGGCAAGCCGCATGTGCCGAAACCCAAAGATGCCTCCGGCCCTTGTACCTGCGCTCACCGTCACATGCAAAATTTGCAAAGCTTTCGGGACTCCGCGGCCTGTGGAAATACGGCCACTGGGAAGCAACCTTGCTCAACAAAGGATGCCCCCCAAAAAGAGTCCCTGCGCAGAGTCAAGCGCCCCCCCACCTTTGCAAAAGCCTGCTCAGGGCGGCACGGTCCGGAGAGCATTCCGCAGCTCCCGGGCTGCACGTTCTCCGCCCCCGCGGCGGCTGCGCACCTCGGCATCTTTTCCTGCCTGTGGCATGCAGGGAAAGTTAGGCATGCTGAGCCTGTGAACGCCAGCAGGACGTGAAGGTGGGGATGTAGAAGACCGTCGCGGCATCCGCGTTCTGGACTCGAAGGGATGAGGCGAGCGCCCGTGAGTAGAAGATCCACTCCACCCAGTACCCACGATTGCCTGACCTCATCATCTCTGCCAAAGGGTGTGTAATGTATGGTGATTCCACACTGTGGGTTCCACATCCAGTCACTCAGTTGCGTCTGCACGCTGTAAGGCGCAAGCTGTATTCTCCCACACTTTGTGGCCAAGGGGTATACAAAGATCCGCAGATGTTTCCGCATCTCCTCATATCCGAGCAACACAGAGGCACGGTACTTCAATTGAACCTGTTATGACTCGCAGGCTGTGTATAGGCAGCAGAAGGTTGACATTGTGAACGCTGCTTCAACTCCTGAGCCACGACTGACAGGTGAGCCTCCTCTCTCACGTCGCAGAGTATCTCTGAATCTTCCCCAGTACTGTGCCGAGCGTCTGCCAGCAGCTTCGGTAGCTCGCCCTCTTCGCAAGGAGCCATCAGCTTCACAAGGCAACACAACGCATGTTCAAGACTGCAAGATACTCTAAGTTGCAGCGCTGCCTTTGTGGAAGCTGGCGGCTTCTCTTCGCCTCGTTGCGCGCATCGGCAAGCATCGTCGGAACTCCTGTGGCACGCAAGGATCAACCTCCAGCAAAGGAAGCCCCTACCAGATCTGCAGCACCAGCAGCAAGCTGATGGATTTGGAAGGATTGGGAGGTCAACTGCAGAATCAGCAAAATCCCTGAAACCCTTCCCCATGTATTTGCTCTTGCACGTCCTGCTTTCGTCCGAAGGTAGAGATGTCGAGGTCATGCTGAACAATGCACCCGTTGTGGTGCTGTCATCACTGTGGTTGGTCCATTCGTATCCTCGACATTCCCGAAGGGCAGAATGTTGAACCAGGCAGGAACTCAAGAAGCGTGCACATGAGATGCCAGGTACTAGGCACCACACGCATCCACACAATAAAGCGCTTGGCCAAGGCACTAGTGGTCACCACCATGTCTAGGGCAGCCGTGCGATTTTCGCCCTCCCAGCACATCACTGCATCTAACTAACTGCCTTCAACTCTGAGGTGACCTGAGCACGCTCTGGGCAGGCCTGCGCCTGTGCACCACCAAGGGTGTAGTTCTGTGTGTCCCCGTCCTCCTCCTCCGACGGCTCAGCTTGTGAATAGTTGGCCTGGGCCTAGCCAACGAAAGGAAGGAGCAACACACTGATGTGCCGCGTGTGCCGTGATCATCACTTGACAGAGGCTGTGCCACTTCTCAACAAAGCTATTTGGCGCAAGTCTTTGCGCCTCTTCGCTGGCAGGAGTGGCCTGAGATTCAGGGGCAAGGCTTGTGAGTCGGGGCACCATCGGCATCATGGGCACCTTGGCTGACCTGGCCTCCAGGAACAGCGAGGTCTGGATGCTTGAGATGCCGGTGTTGAACCGGACCGTCTGCATCTTGAAGAGTCTCTTCATGACAGCGCCATGAAATGCCAGGCAGCACAGCACTCGACAAGGCAGCGTGTTTGGGATATGATTAAAGGTCGCATACCTCGGAGAGGAGGACGTAGAGAATCAGGGGGCCGGTCGAAAGCAGCAGCACCAGCCATGTTCGCCGAACCATGGCCCGTCATCGCGGACTAGCACTTTGAGATACTTTGAGGACTAAGCTTCGGAGGCTCTTGCCATAGCAGTTCGGCACGTGCCAGGTCGATCAGGGCATCGGATGCTGGAGCCGGGCGTGAGCAAGCTGGTGGCACTATGGAACGCTCCCCGCTCCCCACCCTAACGATCATGAGAGGCAAATCCTCACGCACGTAGCCCAAGCAACCCCAGTCACCCAGTCGGCGATGAGGCCGCGGCTGAGAAACAACATGGCCCAGCGGCGAGTAGTACTGCGGCAACGGGCAGGGAACAGCAAACTTCGGATGGTTGCCGCCACATGAACCGCGTAGCCACTACTGAAGTTCTACATAGAGAGCTCTCGATCAGACAGCTCCGGCTGCTTCAGCGGTGGTGACTCTGCGAGGCATCCACTTGGCATCTCCACGAGCAGATGCGCTAAAGGCTTTATGAGCCACCAGCTCCCCCCCTGAACGTCCAAACTCAGAGCCCGGCCAGGAAATCACGGAAGCCGTTGTTGGTCATCCACATGTTGCGCCTTGGACACTTTTGGCGTTCCTCTGACATGTCTGAAAAAGGACCTCAGAGTGCCTAAGATCTGGACTGAATGTAGTCGTACATTCCACTCATGCGCCCCACCAGTGACCTGAGGAAGGCATGGGATGTTTTAGCTGCGGACACTGCCCGGGAGGCAGTGGGCACACTTGGGTGTGCTGTCAAAATCTAGTGGCCCACATGGGTTCGAAAAGGTTCGATAAAAAAAGTGTATGGAATGCAAAGCTTTATACGCCCGTGTGCCTCTGAGTTCTGGCCAGGTGCAAGGAGCAACCGAAGTTCAACAAAAGCTAAGCAGGTCGGCCACTGCCGGACTGCATCTTGCTTGATAGCAAGCCGACCCATATCGGTTGAGAGTCAAGCAGTCAAGCTCTTAAAGCTCACATCGGGGACATGGGTTCCTGATATGCCTCAATGCTCTCTGAGTCTTTGAGCTCAAGACCACAGATGCGGCTTCTCAATCTGGTCTTCGGTGACCGAGCGGAGGAAAGGCACCCAGTCCTGATCGCGTGTGAAAGCTCACATCCTCCTAAACCCTAAACCCTAAACCCGAAACCCTAAACCCTAACCCCTATACCCGAAACCCGAAACCCGAAACTAAACCCTGATCCCTGGGTCTTCTCAAGTCGCCCCGAGGTCGGCACCTTCATCGCTCCCTTGATCATGATCACCCCGTCTTCCTCTTTTTTTATAAGGGCTTTTTGCGTACGTTGAGAGCTCGGCAGGCTTCGAGTTGCTCGATTTGTTGCCAGTTGAATCATACTGCACCGTGCCCCGCATGGATCTTGGCAACCGTTGCCTCAAACTGCTGGATCTGCGCAGGGCTGACGTCAAGATGCTGGGGGACCTTCGGACTGCATCTCTTAGAGAGAGAGAGAGGAAAAAAATAGAGAGAGAGACAGAAAGAGAGAAAGAGAGAGAGAGACAGAAAGAGAGAAAGAGAGAAAGAGAGAAAGAGAGAAAGAGAGAAAGAGAGAAAGAGAGAAAGAGAGAAAGAGAGAAAGAGAGAAAGAGAGAAAGAGAGAAAGAGAGAAAGAGAAAGAGAGAAAGAGAGAAAGAGAGAAAGAGAGAAAGAGAGAAAGAGAGAAAGAGAGAAAGAGAGAAAGAGAGAAAGAGAGAATGAGAGAGAATGAGAGAATGAGAGAATGAGAAGAAATGAGAGAATGAGAGAATGAGAGAATAGAGAAGAGAATGAGAGGGACATTGAGATGAGGAATGAGGGAGATGTGGGAGTGGGGGAGTGGGAGAGAGGGGGAGGGGGGACGGGGGGGGAGAGGAGAGAAGGGGAGAGGGGGGGAGAGGGGGAGAGAGGGGGCATCACAATTCGACTCCTAAAACGCCCCCCAACCTCCGTTTTTGAAGTTGGGGAGGGAGTGTTATGGGCCGGGCCTGGCCCGCCACGACGCCTTCGGGCAGGGGCACATCTGGAGCCTGGTGAAACGGCGGGGGGCTTGGGGCTTAGGGCTTTAGGGCTTGGGGCTTGGGGCTTAGGGCTTAGGGCTTCGGGCTTGAGATTCAGGGTTTAGGGTTTAGGGTTTAGGGTTCAGGGTCCTTGTGTCTCAGGGCTCAGGGTTTCTGGGGTTTGGGGCTTGGGGCGGCTCACCTGACAACCTTTTAGTCTGCAAATGCCTTGCTCCTGTGCTTCTGCTCACGGCTGACCTGTCCTCACATTTTTCATCTGTGCTGAGAGGTGTCTTGGACCGCGCCTTGAGCGCAGTCACATATACAACTACGACTACTAAACACGCCCCGCCAGGGATGCATTGCAAGGAGGGCTTCTCCCGCTTGCATCGAGGGGCGCACGAATACTCTAAGAGACCTCTCACGACGACGGCACCGACGCGACGGGGCTGTCCATCCGCCTGCCGAACACCGAGATCAGGATGCGGAGTACCATGAATCGGTTCCGGGATCCAGGCCTTCGGGCTTCGAATGGCTTATAGGGGTTTGGCTTATCTGCGTCGTCTCCCCCCCCCACCCAAATTACCCCTCCAAGCAGTCGACGCTCCCCTGCATGGCTGCCCTGCGAAACTCTCCAAACATAAATCAGCGCTTCAGGGAGCTTTCATGCAGGACTCTCTCGCTATTGGTGGTTCATGCTGAGGTCCCACAAGCTCTGGTACCTAAAATGGAGTCAATTGCAGAACCCAAATTCCCAATCAAGCTTGAAGACGGGTATAGAATCTGATTCTTAGCTTGAGCACTTTCTAATCACTGAGCACTTTTCTAACTACGATGCATACAGGCATTTGGGACCTCCTGGCACTCGTAACTGAATTTGGGCATGCACAATTTAACTTGAACATTTCAACATGTGAGTTTATTTTGCGATTCCAGAAATTGGTGGCGTGCAAGTGTTCAATTGGTCAGCTTGTCTGAGGACATACATAGTTGCTTGGTGTGCTCCCTTCGTTCGCTGGGCTCAATACATGTGCACTGAGGATGCGGATGACAGACATGTGGAACCTCTCATGACTCGGTGACCTCGAATTCAATCCGTTTCCACTTCGGGTTGGCTCCCGGGAAGGGGGAAAAGCACGTACACCACGAAAAAGCATGTCTAGAGATTCCAGGGCCTGAACCCTAAACCCCAAACCCTAAACCCATTGAAGAAAATGAAAAAACCGAACCAAAACAAGCTGCCCTCCTCCCCCCGCCCCCCCCCCCCTGCCCCCCCCCCCCCCCCCCGCCCCCCCCCCCGGCCCCCCCCCCCCACCCCCCCCCCGGCCCCCCCCCCCCCCGCACCCCCCCCCGCCACCCCCCCCCCCCCCCCCCCCCCCCCCCCCCCCCCCGCCCCCCCCCCCCCGTGCCCCCCCCCCCCCCCCCCGCCCCCCCCGCCACACGGAGGAGAGAAGAAACCCAAATTACTCCACACTTTAAGGATAATATTCCCTAAACCAAATAAAAATAATAAATAGAGCACACGGAGAAGAATGACCCCAATACTCCACACTTAAGGATATATTCCCTAAACCATATAAGGAATACTAAACCCTAAACCCTAAACCCTAATTAAGGGGGTATGGGAGCCCCTGAAAATTCTCAGCCTCCGGGGATCCTTGGGATTCGGCCGGCCGGCGGGCCTCCTCGGCCAGGGGGTGCCATGCTCTCACGGGGGGGGGTTACCTGTTTATGTCTTCTGTATATCTAGATATATATATATATATATATATATATATGCTACCCCCCCCCCAGCGACCTACCCTTTTTAAGGCCTTCTTAGGCCTTTTTAGGCCTTGTTAACAAAAAATAACAAAGAAGGCCCAAAAGTCGCGTAGTTAATCACCGGGTAATGAAGGACAGTTACTGGGACACCCACCTCACAGACCCCGATAAGCCAGCATTGGAAGAATCTACATTTTGAATCTGAAGCGGACAATGCTGTTTTTAGATGTTTAGATCAGTGTTTTCTATGCAAATTGTGCGTTTCAAGGGCAATTAATGTTTTGTTGAGCAACTAATTTATTTATACAATTGCATTTGTACGAGGCAAAATATTAATCAAACAGTGAAACATTTTTCTTGGTTCTATGCGAATTTAGCTACTAGAGTAATTATTAAGCAAAGAGCCCAATTTGACTCAAGTGAATACTATTTAAAGGAGCATACTCAACCAAGATACGAAATAAACACCATTCTCAACCAAAAAATGGCAAAGTGTGCGTTTAAAGTGCAAATACTGTATTTATACAATTGTGTTTGTACTAGGCAAAGTATGCTCTCTGAAAAGTCCACTGAAATACCTTATGTTTACATATTCATGAATCGTTTTTATTTTTGAAATGATCATTTTATGCGAATTTAGCTACTCGAGTAATTATTAAGCAAATAGCCCAATTTGACTCAAGTGAATCCCATTTAAAGGACCATACTCAACCAAAATACGAAAGAAGCACCATATTCAACCAAAATATGGCAAAGTGTGGTTTAAAGGGCAAATAGTGCTTTGTTGACCAACTAATGCATTGAAACAGTTGTGTTTATACCAGGCAAAGTACTGTTGAAGTACTATCTGCAAAGTCAAATGAAACACCTTATGTTTACATATTCATGAAACAATTTTTGTTTGAAGTATTCATTCTATGCGAATTTAACTACTAGAGGAATGCTTAAGCAAATAGCCCAATTTGACTCAAGTGAATACTATTTAAAGGACCATACTCAACCAAATACGAAATAAACACTTGCGGAAATGGAAACGGTTCTGCCTACATAACAATGAGACAAAGATTGCTGAAGTATTCACTAAAGACCACTTATATACTATGTCTGAAAAGCACAATTTGCATGAGCAAGCTTAAAAATGCACAATAATGGAAATAGAAGCGGTTCTACTTACATAACGATGAAACAAAGATGTCTGAAGTATTCAATAAAGACCACATATATACTATGCTTGAAAAACGCAACTTGCACAATCAGGCTTAAAAAATGCACAAGAATCCTAGAAAAGTACTTAGTGAAGGCCATACACAAGCAAATTCACAAATACATAAAAACATCCAAAAGCGCAAGCTTTTCAGGAGAATCTCTGGTAAAGTTTGGATTATAGAGTTTTGGGGTATTCCTGGACGAGTAGGAGTCACTTTTTAAGCAAACAATTCTAAGCAATAAATGCTTTTTCTCAAGACAAGTATTGCAAATGCTGCTTCTAGATAATTAATCGCATTTACCAGGCAAATATTATCCATGCGAATTGAGCTACCAGAGCACCAAGTAATGGCTGAATAAGGTCTACTACACTTGAGTACAACCAAAAGATGCACTAAACAATAGCGGCTCTACTTACATAATAACGAAACAAATAGTTCTGAAGCACTAGAAAGACCACTTGTATACTATTTCTGAAAAGCACAATTAGCATAAGCACACTTAAAAATGCGTAGTTGTTGCCTCGTGACCGTGAAGGCGAACCAAAAAGCCAAAATACCAAAACCAAAAAACCAAAAATACCAAAACCAAAAAAACCAAAAAAAACAAAACCAAAAAAACCAAAAATACCAAAAAAAAACAATTTTCCGGGACTCTTGGAGAAGCCTCATAGGCATTTCCTGAGAGTCCCGGAAATATTTTTGGTTTTTTTGGTTTTGGTGTTTTTTTTGTTTTTTTGGTTTTGGTTTTTTTGGTTTTTTTGGTTTTGGTTTTTTGGTTTTTTTGGTTTTTTTGGTTTTGGTATTTTTGGTTTTTCTACTGTCCCGTGTATGCGATTTTAGTTGTATTTTAGTCTACGCCCTAGGAGATACGCTATATTGCACACCGAGTTTGCTTGCAGTGCAGCTGGGTGACTTGAGACAAGGCGAAAAAGGGTAGGTCACTGGGGGGGGGGGTACCATATATATATATATATATATATATATGCTGTATATATACATATTATATGTGTATATATATATGTCCCCAAAACAGTGTAATTCTCACTGCAGGAACCCCCAAAAAGTAGGGTGCCCGAATTATGGGACACCCCAGACGTCATTCGGCCCATGCCCCTTGACGCTTTTCAGGTTGAGGGCGGGGCTCTCACGCGGATAAGGGAGGCATCTCTATAGGTGCCGGAGCCAAGCGGCATCATCGGGCTCGGCGAGCGGTTGGATAAAGATGCAGAGACCGAGGAGCCTGACGACAGCGGAGGGCCTGCCGGCTCGGATTTCAGCTCTCAAGTCTTAGCCCTTAGACAGCCTTATGGCCTTATGGGGGTTTACGAAAAGGGGGGGCCCCAACTTCGATCCCCAATTAGTAGGATTCCCTTGGAATAAGGACCCCCTAGAAGGTACCCCTAGTTGTTGAAACCCCCTTGTAGAAAATGGATCTTCTCTGGCCTCCCGAGCTTGTTCTCACCTTAAGCTCCTCCGTCAGCTCCTCCTGGAAACGAAGACTCGAGCGGATCTGGCTCTCGGAGCATTTCTTCCGACATGATGCCCTATGATGCCCTACCGCGCACACAGATGCACTGAGTTGAGGAAAAAGCTCGCTGTCTCCTTGACCGTCACCAGGACTGAGATCTGCCGCCGTGCTGCTGCAATCTGCTCGGACAGCACAGTCATTTGCTGTCTGAGCGTGGCCACACGCTCCTTGACGAAGGAGTTCTCCAGACTGGCGATGGGTGTTGATGTCTTGTTCAAAACGAACCCCTTATCAAAAAAGGCCCAAGGGGAGACCCACTCGCATGCGAACCCCGCCCACCTGGATGGCTGCTTGGGCACGGGCACCTTAACATGGACAGCCGAGAGCAATATGAAGAAGAAACAATGAAATAATTGAAATGAATTAATTAGTTGGCAGGCGCTCCCTGGTCTTGAGTCCGAAAATTCCATCCCCGGCGGCGGAGGGGCCGGGGGGGGGGGGGGGGGCATCTTTGAGATCAATCGGACCCCCCCTTGACCCGTGTGTTTTTGTGAAGGGCACCTCGCGGACCGCGTCTTCGGACGGGGCCAGGACGTTGAAAAGCTTCTGCTCCATGGCGGCCAGCATACATGCTTGGCCATCTCGTCCCAACTCGCTCAGCCCTCAGTGGGCTTACACGAACACTCTGAGCTGCATCAGGCAGCCTTGCACAGGCTTACGATGTGCAACCTCTGCCGATCCCTCACGTCAGATACGCATATGCCGAGTCCAAGGAGCCAGGAGAGTCTTGCGCTTCCAGAAGGGCATTCTGGACGAGTGCTTCGCTGCTTTCGGGCAGCTCCCACAACTGCAAAGGGCTTGATGGGCTTGCAATAGCTGCGGCTTGGCTTGCTGGCAGGAGCCTCCTAGATTTTCTATTCTAAAGGGGCCCTACACAGGTCCGAGCGGACCTGCGGGTTTGAGCCAGCTTGGACTCCATTCATATCCAATCTGCAGGAACAGGGAAGTTTAACCATGGCCGACTGGGATGCCTTGCTAGACCCCGTGAGCATCCCTCGACGAGCACCACCACTACCATTCTCACCACCGCTACCTCCCTCAACGCGACAACATCGACAACCACCAACAGGATAATCATCCGCAATCTGGGTGTATTCCAAGGAAACCGCTCAAAAACGGCGCATGCCCCCAACAGAAAGGCTAAACCCGGCTCGCAACAGCGAGGTTGAGAATTCCCTGCGCCTGACTTCGCAGCGCCGAAATGTCCAGGGTGTTCTGCCGGTTGAGGCGGTCGACCCTGTCAATCAAGGCCTCCGAAGAGCCAGACGAAGGCCAAAAATCTGCACTGGGTTCAGGGTCTTGTGCTTCTGTTTGTTGAAGCCGTGCGTCGCTGTGGACATTGGATTTCTTGCAGTGTTGCAACGCTGAAAATGACCCAAATTCAACATCTCTGCTTTGCACGATGCTTAGCTAGAAGCTATGCTCACTGATGTAGAGCCGAAGAAAATGGCAGAAAGTCACGCGAAAGCGGGGCACCTTCCTCTCCGTCTTCTGTATTCGCAGTTCGGCGAGATCGCTGCCCAGCAGCTCCCTCGTCTTCTGCTGGAGCATCTGCCGCGACGTGTCGAGTTCCAGGTCCAACCTTGGAATTGCGACTTTCCGACTCTTGTAATTCTCTTTGCACTTCATCTATGTACTACAAGTTTTTCCGGCGCTTACTCTGCACAAATGGCCACACCAAGACGCTTCTCGAGGAGCGCCATGCGGGCGAAGCTGTCTAAGCCAGGAATACAGCCTTCCAAACTGTGGAGGATCCGCATCGCCGACCTGAAGAATCCCAGACATTGGACCCGACCGCCAAGGTCTGTGATGATCTGTGGCTTCAAGCAGTTTACAGGGTTTACAGGGTTTACTAGTCGGTTCTCCGCTTCAATGCACATCGTGGCCGACGCCCGATGTGGCCGGGGCGCTCCTTCTGCAGCTTGGCAATCTCGGCCATGGCCTGTGCCTCAAGCTACAACAGACTTGCGCAAGGGCAAGCTTGACTCAACTCAGCATGTAGAAACGCAGCCGAGAAACTCGCGTCACTTCCCGTCCAGTCAGGGAATCCTTGAAGCCCGCTGTGGAGCTCCACTTGTTGCCAGCTTGGGATTTCGAGTTCCCTGACGGGTCACACATGTCACACGTCGCTCTGTGTTACGGCATGGTACCGCGAACTCTGTTGTGAGAACCTACTCCCTTTCATCTAAAACCCTCAAACATGACTAGAGGATCTGCCGAGGCTCCCCAAGCCATTGTGGTCGACAGAAAGGCTCGGTCCTCCCGACACTCTCGCATCCCTGCTAAGGCTGGCAGGCCTGCATATCCTGCATGCATCTGCATGCTGCACCAAAACCTCACTCTACGTAACCACCAAGATCCACCAAGCCAGCAACATGGCCCCGCAACATCTCACATTCCGAAAGCCAAAGTCGCAGCCCTCAAGCATTCACAGAAAAGAAAAAAAAAAAAAACGGGCGGGCCGGCGGCGGTTTTCGCCCTGCGCTCGCCAGGCTCGGCGAAGCTGGCGCTGCTGGCGAGGTTGGCGGGGTCGACGAAGTCAGCGCGGCCGGCGAGGCCGGCGAAGTCGGTGCCGCCCGCACAGCCGGTGCAGCTGCAGTGGCCGGCGCTACCCCGGAAGTCGGCGTTGACACCGAGGAGACCCTGAAATCATGCACATATCACTCAGGAAGTCAGGAAGTGCTTGCACTGGGTGCTTTATGTTCTGGGATGATGGATTCTGCTGGGTTCTCGGAGGGGCGCTGCCTCTGTCGGGTTGCTCCGATGTCGCTTCTGGAGGCTTTGGAGCCCGCGCGGTCCTCCTCGGAAAGCACACTCATGAACACCTGCGTGCAGCTGCCTGAGAACAATCCAGCTAGATCCAAGCTAGAGCTCCGTCTGTGAACGCTGTGGTTCGCCATCGTCGCCCTTGCCGCTTTGCACAGAGGGTAGCGAGTCCAGTGGCCCGCCTCGCGAACTTTGCTCGAACCATCTAGAGCTTCTGATTCATGCATCTGCAGAAGCAAATTTCCTGGTAAGACTCTGCCCATAGTTCTCTGCAACAAACAGAGGAAGAGGGAGTAGTATGGAGCTAGCTTCTGCCCTGGACAGCCTTCACTGCCCAAGATGTCGCCGGGCGTTCCACCATGGCCCTCCATGGGCCATAATCCTACCGCTTCATCTCGGCAGTCACAGCGTGGTGTTTGTTTGTGTGTTTGTGTTCGCTGTGGCCAGATCATGCGGCAGGGTCGAGAAGCTTTCAGATGCACGTGCTGCGCCTGCTGACTTCTCGCTACATATCGCAGAGGGCACTGTGAAGTGTCTGCGCCGTTAGCCAATTCCACAAATTAGAAACAAGAAACTACACCTTGAACCAGCACACGGCGCGCAGACGTGTTTCATCCATGGTCTCATCACATCATCTGCTCGGCTGCATCGCTCGAGATGAGACCAGGAGTACCATGGCGACACCTTTGCAAGGCGCCGATGGAAGTTCAGAACCCGGTGCTCTAGGCCTGGACGCCGACACTGAGCTTGGCGATGTTCAGAGCCTCGGCCACGTCGGAAAGCGCGCGGAAAGAACGGGCGAAGGGTACATGCGGCGAGTAGTCGTGCTCATGACGAGTGAGGTTTTCCAAAAAGGTATCTACAGCAGGGAGTGCTTCATAATTCATAACAGCATGCAGTAGTCATGCGAGACTTTGAATGAACTATCTTACCGCCTGCCCTGGAACCTCGACCCCGCTTTTGTAGCACAATCCAGAGCAGGAGAGTTCACTTCAGGTACTGGTAGCCTGGACCTGCCGGTTTGGCCTGGCGGTGCTCAGCTACTCAGGGCGCCACCTTTCCAGCAATGGATTGATCCTCACAGCGCGAAAATGCAGATCGGGGTCTAAGCAGGAGGAGGTTGCGAACCTTCTTGTCGCTCTCGATAGATCTCGATGAGACAATGAGAACACACACACACACACACAAGCCGTGTCCGGCATAGAGATGCGCCGAATCCCATCGAGGGCCATCACGGAGCCGGCAACTGGGGATTCAACAGGCTGGGCACAGAGCTCGGGCTCGGGTGCTTGCAAGGCTGCTAAGTTATCAGGACCTATCAGGTGACGACAGCTGAGGTCATGCATCAAGCGCAAGCTGAGCACCAGCAGAAAACCTTCCATGGGGACATGGCCAGTCAAGGCCAGGTCGTTGGCCCTGACCACCTGTTCCACCCTGCACAGCGAGCAGGAATTTGCAAATGCGGATGCAGCAAGCGAACGACATCAAACGCTGCAAAGGAGAGATCGCCAAGCTGGTCATAAATGCCCCTCGCTTGCATCCGCACTTGTTTGACATACTACGTTCGCACCTTCCCGTTGTCACTTAGACCCCGCTGCTGAGGCCCTGACCCTTCAATGAACTGAAACGGCTGTGAATCGTCTGCGAAGCCCACGGGACGGCCAGTGACCAGGTACTGCGTGATCATTCCTGCGATAGGCTCAAGTTTCCAATGTCGGAATTGTTCGGGAGTCCTGCATGACATTCCATTGCAGACCTAAACTGGGTCATGTTGACAGTTCACCAGTGGGCGACCTAGTGGACACTCGCGAGCACTTTTTAGTTCACAAGCACGCCGAATGGCGAAGTACGTCGTGCCTTCCGGCCGGCGAGGCTTGATTGCGCAAGGACGCTTCGCTAACCTCGTGCCATGTCGACGCCACGACACGACGTCCTGCATCTTGTGCGAGAACCGCTGGATACCACCGGTGCGCACGCTTGTGGGGGGGATTGTCCGCTCAAAGGTTAACGCGGCCTTGTCGAATCCCAGATGTCTCGGACCGACTAAGGTTCTGAAGCACACATCTCTATTGTAGACTGCGCATTCAGTGTTGCTTAGTTTTTCGATCAGAACTCACTGACTCAGCGTGTGCCCAGGGATACGGCTCATCCCGAGGCCTGACGGGGGATTCTGCACACGGGCTCACTCGAAAGTGAGAGGGTCAAACCTGCACATGGCTTCTCTGTGGAATGCAGCCGACTCGCATCCGGGGAATCGTACTCTTCCTGTGATGATTCGTTCAATAACTGTCTTGTGATTCGCTTCTCGATGATTGTTCCTAAGAGCTTCCTTCCAGAAGGCACTCATACCAGGAAAGGCGGTTGGTCTCTTCTTCGAGGGGACGGCGTCACCTGGGAACTCATGCCCCCCTGCGAAAAAATCTGGTGGTTCGTAGTTTAACGTCGCGCCGTGGACGATGCCACACGCATGCACGCCGCACTCGATGTCTATCCAGACCTCGTGTCTACACAGATGCGACCAGATCATCATCCAGACGAAGACAGACATAAAGGGCCCTTGCCATGACTCAGTGTGCTTTGGTTGCTGCATGCTTTAAGATTGCTTTAAGTTAGGGCATCCTGGTTCCTGGTCGGAGCGCATCTTCCGGAAATCCAGTTGTCAGGGCTAGGAATGGGGGAGGCCGTGCTTCTGAAGTCTCGAGGTCGCATGCAGCCGCCTGCTTGCACGTCGTATCGTGCAGGGCTGTGTCGTATTCTGACTTCGGAGACTTGTTGCTGGGGTCTGGTCTTCACACATAAACTTAAATACGACTTGACTTTTGTTTGCAGCTTCAGTATGGCTCGCTGCTCGCGCTTGGCGCGGCTGGGCGAAGGTGGGCACTTTAGCGTGCTGTCTCACCGGATTTTGTGACGCTTCAGTGGGTGGCTTTTTCGATGTATTGGTTCTTTAGCATAACCGGTGTTTCTCAGTTTGAAATCGCAGACCTGACATGACAAGGGCAGCGACGCCTGCGAATGCCAGCATCGCCAGGCGACCGTTCTGCAACTCCTGGCCCGCACATCGCATGCCCACACAAGCTCAAGAAGGACTCAACACGCCGAAACCTGGTGATCTGGTGTGAGATGTCTCTGGCACTCCCCATGGCCAACCACACTTCCTTGTACTGCTTCTCCGCCAGCTCTTGGACGGTCATGTCCCAGCTCATCTGGCAGAAGCAACAAAAGCATGTTGTATGAAAATACGTAAAGGCAGATTGTGTTTATGTATAAACTGTACAAACATATGTGTTTCTCCTAGTGCAATGCAATCTACGGTTGCCCATCAACCTGGGCTCTATATACACACACGTATATCTTTATACATTTTTATACATACATACATACATACATACATACATACATACATACATACATACATACATACATACATACATACATACATACATACATACATATCTATTTATGTACTTATTTACATGTGCATATACATCTATATATACATACATATACGGCGCCTTCCAGCCATTCGTCATGGGACCGGCACCGAGGCCCAGGTCGCCGGCGATGGCATCCTCAGGGGAATTCGGGGTTTTGGATAATATGAAATATGAATGGTATGGGATGCAAAATACTACTCCTGAATATTCATGATATTAAACATGTTCATGATAATGAACACATTGATAAGATATTAACGACAATAATGACATTCATGATATTGATGATACTAATGACAATGGATGATATCAATGAAATTAATGATAGTCAGGATTTTCATGATATTCATGACATTCATGATACCTTTATGATACTTGCATTTATGACGAACCATGTTCATAAGGGAGGTTCTCAGAGGGGCCTTCAGGGGGAGTTATGAGGATAGCGTAGGACACACCTTAGGCACCTTGAAAGGGCAAGATGGCGCCGTCCTGGTTGACGAAGAGACGGTATCCTCGGAAAGCCTGCTATGTCGAGCGTTGATCATCGCATCAGAAGCTTCGAGGTTTTGGGTTACAAACGGCCTCCAGGAGCGCCATCATCTGAACAAGCTCCCATGTGGAATCAGAGGCCGCTTGCTCCGATGGCATAACTCCTGACATGGCAGCACAACTGCTTGATGAAGATTCCGAATGTCGTGGAGCCGACTGCAATCTGTGGCCTGGGAATGAGGAGTCGACGATGACCTTGCAGATAGCTGCAGCTAGCCGCCGAGCAGAATGTTGGGAGATGCACTCGACGTGACGTGCTTCCAGCGTGCTTCCGGGCCTTGAAGACGGCCAGCATCGCCACGCGTCCGTGCATGAGCTCGGCCTGGTGCGGGCGATGCCGAACAACGCGCAGTGGGCGCACCACAAGAACCGGCCTCTCGGTACCATCGCATCGCATCAAACTCCACACCGAAGTTCTCGAGCACCTGCAGCCCATGATGGGAAACTCGGAACTGCTCATAGCTGTTGATACACGAACTTCACAGAGCGGATGCATGCGAGAAATTGCGAGAAATGGCTGAGGATCCGAGGAAACTCAGAGGTTGCATCACAGCAGAAAGATAAAAAGCTGGAAAAGTGCTCGCTGACATGCGCCTGAAGCGGGGATGTCTCTCGCTGTGCCCACGGGAAGAGGGAGCATGAGGCGAGAAAAGAGGTTGGAAGACAGCATCCACGCAAGGTTAACGATCTCTGCTGGGCGGGTGGAAGGTGGTGAGAGGGCTTCGGTGCAGTAGGTACTGTGGAAGTGATGTCTTGGAGAGGAAGGCTCACAGCTTCTGGAGGTGCGCAGGAGGCACTCATTTTCCTGCCTGTGAGAACGGCAAAAGCCAAACATCGATTGGTGGATGCTTGAGGAGCAGCAGAAACAACCGATGCCCGTCAATCACGACAGCGCGATGGAATGTCAAGGAAGAATGGCTAAGGAGAAGAAAGCAGCCGTCCAGCGAGAGGAGGAAGACACACGGCTGGTGTCACCAGCAAAAAGACCATGGGCTGGCTTGATCCCTTCTGCAATCAGGGGGGTTTCCTGACACGAGGCAGAGCCAATCGAAGGGACAGTGAAGGGACGCACGAAGCCTCGTTGATGTACTCATCTGCACCGAACCTCACATATCTCAGGCATGGCATGGACCATCATGAGTCAGCTGGAGGGTCCGTTTTCCTGTCATTTAACTTATTCCTCTTAGGGGGCCCCTGGTGCCCGATTGCTACAAGTAGGGCTGCCACCCGAGCGGGTCGAAACCCAAGTCGCCAACAAGGCTCGGGTTGGTGGGGATGTTCCTGGCGCAGGAGCTCTGCGAGCAGGCCTGGAAAGAAGTTGAAAGGTACATGGGGCTCAAGTGCCCGCGGAGCGGTCCTCAAATGTGCGGGCACCGGCACGAATGGCAACGCCCGCGACATCGCCTCGGGGCAACAGAGTTTCTATTGCAAAGCTCTGGCCGACGGGAACCGTTTTAGGGCTCGGACTGGCTTCTCTTCACTCTTTGAGGAAGAAACTACTGCCTCCAGTGCAACAGTTGTGGACAGAGATTCGCACTGCCGGTACAGGCTTTCGATGGTTGGCAGCCCCCACTTGCTCTGCCTGTCGGGCAGCTCGCCCTCGCTGCGACGTGGTGAGTGCCTGAACCGGCACATGTCTAAAAAGGTTCGGGACAAAGATCGGGAAGTGTTAGGTGTCAGGTGAGATCAGATACCGCCAGGAGCAGAAGGATGCGCAGCGACTTCTGGATCTCCGGTGCTCTCAGGGCCACGCTGCTGCGGCTGTGGCACAAACACCCAGGGCTGCCAGCGTCTGGCCTCGGGCTCTGACGGCTTCGAGCGAGCCCTTTACACAAGACTGCACCGTCGCCCTCAAGAAGTTGGACTTTGTCATGCTTTGCATCATGTGTTGCATGAACTGCTCCCAGGTCCCAGCCAGAGTTACTGGTCGGGCTGTCAACCGACCTCCAGTCCACAGCAAAGCAGGATACGCACAGGCAAATCAAGATGCAAAGCGCACATCAGCGAGCGAGCGAGAGAGAGAGAGTGAGAGAGTGAGAGAGTGAGCGAGTCAGAGAGTGAGAGAGTGAGAGAGTGAGAGAGTAGAGTGAGAGAGTGAGAGAGTGAGAGAGTGAGAGAGTGAGAGAGTGAGAGAGTGAGAGAGTGAGAGAGTGAGAGAGTGAGAGAGTGAGAGAGTGAGAGAGTGAGAGAGTGAGAGAGTGAGAGAGTGAGAGAGTGAGAGAGTGAAAGAGTGAGAGAGTGAGAGAGTGAGAGAGTGAGAGAGTGAGAGAGTGCGAGAGTGCGAGAGTGCGAGAGTGAGAGGGTGAGAAAAGCAAAACCATGAGGTTCAAAATGTAGAACCTTTGGATTGCACCTCCTTCGCAAGGATGTGCCCGCATGCTTCTCGACTGATGAAGGAGAAATGAAAGCCTCTCAACTTTGAGGGATGCTCTGCTTTCCAACACCCTAATACAACTGCAGTTGAAGATACCATTGTAAACCATTGTAGCATGTTCACACCATGAACGTCATGTGCAAGGTTTGTCGCCTCCCAACCCACGCTTGCTGCCAGAGTTGTCGTGGCAGCGGCGGCGGCAACCGCGGTGGTGGTAACTGCACGTAGATTGAAGATGCTGTGGGGCAACCAACTGCGATGCCAACAGAGCGTTGCGCAGCTCAATTAAGCGTTTAGAATTCTGCAAAGCCAAGCAGCTGCGTCGACCAGTCATGGTCCGCCCTCCTAGCAGACCTGGGAAGCAACAACAAGACTCAAAAGCTCAGAACATGAAACAGCTCAACTTCAACAGAAGGAAAAACACAAACCACAGCTCCAGGCCCTGCCTGTGCAACTTTGCACGTCCAAGACGGCACTCTTGGGCAAGTTTGCGAACGCTGAGCCAGGGCCAAAGGACGGCGTTTTCGGCACAGGTTGGTATGTCCACAACTCCCCAAGCCCATGCCTCCGTGTCCTACTTGCTGGCAGGTAAACCAAACTTGTGTCAACAATTTGCAGGGACTTTGCTGTGCGCAATCAATGCAAAACTCGAAGAGTCGCGGCCATTTTGAATGACTGAGCACCATCAGCACGCCAACTGCAAGAATCTACTCAACCTCTTCCGAATTGATCAGTCACTAGTGGCTTTTGCCTGCAGAATGATGTCATGTTCCACGCCACTAAGCTTGCACGAGCTATCGCACACCAACGCTTGTATACAGTAGACTGTTCAGGGAGCCAGACAGAACAGGGCACCTTGTCGAAAGTGTGTAGAGCTCCCGTGATGGACCTGGAAACAGGACAGGGCTGGATGGCGGCATTGCAGTGGCAGCGAAGGAGATCAAACTCAAGAATTACGCTGCAACAACAGGCTTCGAGGGGGACCTGCATCGACTTCCAGTTGATCAGCACCAGGATGCCGCGACGAGGGGAACCGTGACGGCATAGGCCTCTGCAGCACCCGAGGCCCTAGCAATCGCCATACACCATGCGCCCTCGTACTCCTCGCATGTTCAAGTCTGGCCGTTCTTCAGGGTGTAAGTTCACCACATTTCACCACCTCGCCCAAAAACCCGAGGCCCAGGCCATGAGAATGTCCAACGATGACCTTCCTTCCTCCAGGTGCGCACCGATTTAGCAGTATCGCCTTGGGGGGCTCCCCTACGCTGATCCGTCCGTCGTTTTTATATGAGGGTACTGCGCCGGAAATTCTAGAGAACGGCCCACTTGTTGCTTCAAGCTGATGTCGCTTGACAGTGTCCACTACGGTTTCTTGCCTACCGAGCCTGCAACCGAGAGCTGTGAGAGCATGTGCTACGGCCACACAAAGCCAATTGACGAACCACACGACACCATTCGACAAATATCTGAAATGACAAAGCACTCGATCAGCTCCTTTGGGTTTTGAAGACACTCAGGCTCATGACACAACTACCCTTTCTATGCTCCGCCTTGAGCCTTGAGGTCACACTATAGCAGGGTTTCACCAAAATGCGAACCCGTTGCTGCGAGTTTCCACTCCTTATTTCGGGCTAGGGACTCCGCCAGTGACCAGAGTAATCGTGACTGCAAGCTAAGGCCATGCACTGCAATGTTGTGCGAACTCCTGACATCCGGAAACAAGCCTCTACGCCCCAAGCCCAAAAAATGCCAGTGGCCCCCGAAATTAAAGTAAGCTGTGGCCCTTGAACAAATGGCCATTGTTCCGCATTTGTGGATCTTTTTTGTATGGGATCCCTGCAGGGGTTCAAGTTCACGAGGCCCTGATGACCTTAAACCCTAAACCTTCAACCCCAAACCCCCCAAATCCTGAAGCCGGTTGTCCCAAACCACCCAGGCCACTCAGTGTAAGGCTTCTACTGTTCCTTGTGCCGTGCCAGCGCCCGTTCCTGCCAATTCAGAACTGCAAGGCTCCGCTTATATCGGGCCTTAGGGATCTTTAGGGGTTAGGTTTGTTGTTGTTTAGGGTCTTGTTAGGGAATTCTGCGGGCCTTGAAAGCAAAAACCAAACTACTATTGGGCTGATACTCTATCTGTATCATTCAGGAAAACAGCTAGGTTCACTGTCTTTCTTGGCAGGGGGATGGATGAGTTTTCAGAGCGGAAGGGAAACGAGCTCGAACGAAGCAAGAAGCCGGAGACGCCTGCAAACCCACGAGCCCATGGTGGCTTCTAAGCTGCATGATGCCCAAGCCTGCTACAAAGCTGGCCTTCGTAGCCCTAAACCCTAAACCCTAAACCCTAAACCCTAAACCCTAAACATCCCTAAACCATCTGGTCAGTTGTCTGAACGACGGACCCCGGCAAGCCCAACGATTGCAACCTTGAGAGCTGGGGATGGGTTAAACGCTTCAGTCCCTTTTCAGTGTGTTCTCAGCCCCAAGCCCTTCAACCTCCTTTTCCCTCAACCCCAAAACCCTGAACCCCTAAACCGAACCCTTTTACTCCCCGATTTCTGGAGCAGCTCCAAACTCTGCCCCTCCATCTGCCAGGTTTTTTGGGGGCGGTCTTAAGTTTCAGAGCACTGGTAAGTTTTTTCGGGGCTTAGATAGTTTGAGGTTGAAAGCTTTAAACCTGTAGGCCTTGTGTGCTTCCTCAGCACTAGGATGCAACGACGCGTGGGACCGTCACGTCATAGACCTCTGCAGCGCCCGAGGCCCTACCAATCGCCACACACCATGTGTCCTCGAATTTTCCCTGCGAGGTTCGGCAAACCACGACAATGATTGAGGGCATGCTCAAGTATGGCCGTTCTTTCAGGGTTTGACTTGGTCCGTCCAAAAGCAAGCTCACCACACCACCTCGCCCAAAACTTTCGAGACCCAGGCCATGAAGATGTCGAACGATGACCTTCTTTCCTCCAGGCGCGCACCGATTCAGCAGTTTGGCCTATTTGGGCTTGGGCTTTGGGCCTGGCAG